CTTCTTTCCTAGCTTCCCGGTCTCAGTCTCACGTCGCCACTACGTACAATTTGCATTTGCAAGCAAGTGCGACTGACGGGAGTGACTGATTTCCCAGATTTCCCAGTTAATTACTGCATCTTCCTGGCTGTCGCTAAGCTAGCTGCGCGCACTAGCTTCTCCTACTGCACCTTCCCTCCCACACCATTTTAGATCCAGCACGCAGTCCCGTCCCCTCCCACCTGCCTGTCTGTCTGCCCGGCCGCCTGCCTACCTGCCACCATACCATACCATCTCTATCCCCATACCCATACCCATACCTACCCATCCCATCCCCATCTCCATCGACCATCATTAACCCTCCATCCACCATCGGCTTTCCGCCATCACACACACCCGCTCCATCGCATCGCATCGCATAGTATCGTTCAACCATCCCGTTATCAATCAGTCAGTCAATCAACGCGTGTTCTCAAGTATTCGACGGGTTTGTCGAGTTTTTGTTTGTTACGCGAAAGCTCTTTCGTCTTACTTGCGCGCTTTGCGCTGATCGGTAACTGGGCTTCTTTCGTGAGCCTCTCTTGACATCGTTGTCGCAGCCGTTGCACAACGCGATCCGCGTCTGCCATCGCATCAGTTCTATCACCCGACAAAGGTAAATCCAGCACCTCAGTTTTCTTTCTTTTTTATTTTGTCGCTTCTTTTCTTGGTTTTTGGCACTTGCTTCTTTCCGGCGTTATATTCCACTATCTTGTCTTATCCTGCTTCGTTTCTTGTCTTGTTCGCCTTTGCTCTTCTTCGCACGCCCATCCCGCCGCTGCCGCGCACTTTGTCTGGATTGCTACGATCTTGTCTCGGTTTGGATCAACTCCCGTCTGGAGCCTATGTCCCGGCCTGCCCTTGACTCCGAGCCAAGGCCTGGCTGGCCGAGTCTCACATCACAAGCCCAGGCAGGCTTCCCACTTTTGCCTACCATATAATCGACAATCTGCCATTCACGCTCAACGACGCGCCTCATTCTGGCCACCAACCACGTGCGACTGATGTTGCCCTCCTTCTGCATCTTCTCCAACCCTTCAGCTCGCCAGTCCAAACATCTCAGGACACGTCGCTATTACCTTCCTGTGGTCGCTACTTTCCCTGTTCCCCGCTGGCTCGGTAGCTCTGTCATGTACTCCGCCCAGCAAACCGGCGCTGATAATGCGACAATCAATCCAGCCGCCCTCAGCTCGCCTGGTAAGTTCAATAACTCTATTTTATCCCCGCTGTGATCGCATCACCTCTTAAAACATCTACCTGAAACTCTGTCGTTTCATGAGCATGCGCAAGCTTGAATATCGCTTGCGCGCAAACTCCATGATGAATACATTTGCCCCGCACTGCGCCGCTCGCGTCCCTCCTCCGGGATATGGACTGGCGAAATAGGTTGCGCCACCTCATACATTAACATTTTTATTCACCCCATGAGTCAATATTCTAACGGGTATTGTAAAGTTATAGGTCTTTCGCATCAGCCGCAGCGCTCGCTTAAGCGCGGTCATTCTCCCGAGCTTTATGACGCGCCACAACCTGGTGACGATGGTATGTCGGCGGGCAAGTAGTCTGGTGTCGCTCTGCTTTCTGCGACGCCCGACTTCCTTGTGCCAGACAGTCCAAACTTGCTATTTTTTTCTTCTTCCTCAGTGTTGGAACTACTGTTTTACATTTCTTTACGTTGATCTCTGTCGCAGCATTCTTACAAAATGATGATGCGGTGGAAAAGTGCTGACCATTCTCACAATTGTAGGTGATACGAAACCATTTCGAAAACGAGCCAAACCAATGAATAAACGATCTTCGGGGAGCATTTCCGAGGCTCCTGGGCAGGCTGCGGCCTCGACCCTTCCTCAGGCTATCCCTCCACCTCAAACTCCCCAGTCTCAAGGCTCAGCGCTGCCACAAGCCAGTCCTGCCTACACACCGGCCCAGGCACAGATGCCGCCCAAAACCACCCCGACAAAATCGACTCTCAAAGCGCTACCAACTGTGCGGGACCATACAACCGACCAGCTTAATGCTTCCGGCGATGAGTATCTACCCCGCGAGATCGACGAGTTCGGAGAGAAGAAAGTTCAACAGAATGGTACATTGAACGGAGGTCGAGAATACAAGTGCCGGACGTTTCTGGTTCCCAACAGAGGTGATAAGCTTTTCATGCTTGCTACCGAGTGTGCCAGGGTTTTGGGCTACAGAGACTCGTATCTTCTGTTTAACAAAAACAGGTCCCTGTTCAAGATTATTGCCAGCCAGGCGGAAAAGGACGATTTGGTCGCGCAGGAAATCCTTCCCTTCTCGTACCGTTCCAGACAAATTGCAATCGTTACTGCCAGGTCAATGTTCCGACAATTTGGAAGCCGTGTGATTGTCAACGGTAGAAGAGTTCGCGATGACTATTGGGAAACCAAGGCGCGAAAACAGGGCTTCACCGAAGCTGATCTTGCTGGAGAGAAGCGCCCCGGTGCTACAAAGGCAAGAGAGGCGGCTGAGGCACAACAGAACAATGTCTTGCTGGCTGGACCCCATCCAGAGATTGTGTATAGCAACAACCCAGGACCGTTCCCCGGCCCCCCGCAGCCGCACCTTGTTCAACCAGGTATGATCGGACCACCACCCGGAACTACGACAAGAATGCCCGGATTGACACTAGGATCAGACCTCAGCGACTCCCGGCCGCGCGATTATTCAGGAATCCTCAAAGGCGGACCTCGTCAGGAGATTACCGGCCCTGCTTACCAAGACCAGACTCGTCCATCGCCCCTCGGGGAGCTCAATGCACAAGCTCATCATGCCGCAGATTTCAGCAGGTCAGTTAACCAGCAGCGAGATATGCGCAACGACTATCTCCAGGGCCTTTGGCGACGTCCACATGAGCAGCCTCCCTCCAATCTGACCCAGCAGCCCGTAGCCCCGGCCGATACTTCCAATACTGCAACTAGCCGACCGTCGCATTCACCCCATACCACTGCCACGGCCATGTCCCAGCAGCCTGGACTAGTATCCACACAGAGCCCTCAGATGATGATGACCACTGCGCCCTACTCACAGTCTATCAGCGCGCAGAGCAGTCTTACTCAGGCGCCAATGAGAGGTATGGCTCACTCACCAACGCAGTCGAATATCAGGCCAACACTCCCAGGCTCCACAGGCTCCATGTCACAAGGAACGCCCGGCTATAACTACCAGTCAGGTCAAATGTGGCCACAGACTCCTCAGGCGCCTCAACATAGCTACGGCAGCTACACTGCTCAGTCCCAGGCCCCTCACCCTTCGCAGTCACCTTCTTCGCATCTCCGTCAGTCTAGCTCCGGTCAGATGCAGAGTATGCAGTTCCCCGGCATGGCTGGCATGCAGTATGGTGCAGGACAGAGCATGTATCCCACAGATCAGACACCTCGACAATACATGCCTCAAGGTGGAGCCGGAGCGCCATCGGTCTCCCAAGGCTGGTCTGGTCAACATTCGCCAGCGCAGCAATGGTGGACTCCTGGGCAACAGCCTCAATAGGATCGGAGACCCAGATGGTGATGCGAAATGACGGAACGATCTGATCTACATTTACATTCTTATTCGGAGGCTTAACCTGTTCGTGTGGTGTTTTTACTTTCTTCTTCAGTTGTCTTGTGTTTCATATATTTTGATCTTGGAGACTACTCTCTTCTTTGGTCTGGACCCCTCGCTCGATATTCCAGCATATATGTCGTCGAGGGGGCTATGCGCATCTTAATAGGCCTATTGGCTTGAAGAATTGCTTATAGTTTTGGCCTGGCTGGGATAGAGGAGTCGGGCAGGACAGGAAACATGGAATCGCTGCTTGTGTCTTTGTTTCTTTTCCTCTTGCTTATCTTTGCTTGCAATTTTGACTTTGCTTTAGGGGGTTTGGTTGAGTACATGCGTGGACCACAACATACCATGTTATTTCTTGTTACAGATAGGGATTATCTTTGGAGGCATTTGATTTCGATTTATTTCATCTTTTTTTGGGCAAACTATTCGTTGATTTCAGTGGTTTCGTGGATGAGGTTCCGATGGCGACTCGCTTGTGCGTCGCAGGATCGTTTGTGCTGGCGAGGCATATATCTATTAGGCTTTCATTTTGATACCACGTCGCTCTTCAGGTCGTCTTTCAACATTTCATTTTATCGAGATACAATTTTGCCTCATCGTGAAGCCTTGCAGGGAGTATTGCTCCGGAAGGTGTCAACCTTTGTTAAGAACAGCCTGTCTCTACTTCGGTTCCCGCCCCCCCTATGCTAGCGATCGGCTATCTTGTTCATGTCTATAGGCTTTAATTAATTTTCCAGGTTGCGTTTCTTTTCAGTGTGTACAATGGGCAAATATTTGTATCTTGGGTCCGGCTTTCTGAGAGTGAGGTCAATACTAGACGAGAATTTGGTCTAAACAACAATGATTGTACTTGATGATGCTATCATGCATGATTCGTTTCGTTTCGTTTCGTATCTTGTTCCTATATTGACCCAAATGCCTGCGACTAGTGCTGTGAGACAAACTCGGCGTGTTGTCTGTGTTCGTGCTTTGTTACACATGATGACAGCCTGTCATGACCCGGCCCAGCGAATCGGACTGTCGGGGATGTTGTCGTCCAGTATCATGGTGTTACACGTGCCATTGGAGCGGCAGCGTGGTGACATCCGTCGGAATGTTTGTGTCTGTACAGGCACTCGCGGCTAGGCTTGTTTTGTGAGAGGGCGGCAAGACGTGCTTGAGGGGAGTTTATGAAAGTGTGTCACACAACAGTTGACAGCTAAGGTTGAAGCGCGGTAGGTGTCCGGATAGAGAGCCGCAAAGGTCGTTTATAGTTGCAATGGTTCAGAGGACTGGCAGTATACTTGGAGTCGTTGACGACAAGTGTCCATCAATGAGAGCTCACAGCGTAAGAATTATGGTCCAATAGCATTATCTATCAATCTCAGCCAGTCGTCCTGAGAGTCAGCAAAGCAGACTTGCCTCTGCTTTTCAAAATTCTAATCGCTCTCATCACCATCCAAAGCCTCGTCTCTCTCATTCTTTCTTTCCTTGATCTCGAGGGCGTCTTGGGTATCGTCGCCACTAGCTTCTCCCTCGCCCTCTTCTTCTTCCTCTTCTTCCACCTCATCATCATCGGAATCTTCAGGGATCTCAACCTCGTCTTCAGTCACGGCGTCCTCCTCGGCATCGGCGTTACCAGGCTCAACACGAGGGCGCTTAGCGAGAGGGCCTGTGGAAGCGATTGTTGTGTCTGCGTCGGTCTCGACGTGAGATGTATCGGGCATATCGGTGTCTGCACCGTCCGACTTTTTGGCACGAACCTTTTGGCGGTAGGATGTGCGCTTCTCGGTCTGGATAGCATTGAATTCTTGGTTCTATGTTAGCGGTTTTCTTCTCTTTTTGTATAGCAAAGGCTACCTTTTCACGAAGAAACGCGACAAGGTAAGAAATCAACGTACTGGCAAACTCGGCTTCGAGAGGTTCTCGGAGGAAACCAAATTCGGTCTCTTCAAGGGCCTTGAAGACATCTGCAGGTGATATAGTCTTTTTGCCAGCATTTACGGTGTTCTCGTTGGCGCTAGGAACTAAGTTAGTAAGGTCCCCTCCCTGATGAAAAGGCGGTTTCCAGTAGGTGAGACGTACTGGGACGCTAGGTAGTTGATGAAGACGGTGGTGCTTTGGCTGAGAGCCATGATAGCATTGGCCTGGATTTGTGTGTTGGGTGGCAGTACACCCTTAGATAATCGAGTGATTATAGATTTTGGGAGGGTCAGGTCCTGGTGGACATGTTAGCCACTGGTTTTTGAGAAGTGCTTCCGTCCATTTAGCCTACCTCAATGGTGATGTGCTCCTTATGCTCTTTCTCCTTTTCCTTGTCTTTGTCCTTGTTCTTTTCTGTAGTCTGAACAGGAGATGACCCAGCTTCACCTTCGGCGGCGACAATTTCACTACCTGCGGGTGCTGGTGCTGATGCTGGCGCAGGGGCATCAGCTTGTGTGGGTGCTGGTGCTGCTGGGCTCTGTTCTAGCGGTGACACGTCGTCCATTGGGACAAACCGCGCGGTCGAAGTGTCGCTCTTGCGCGAGTTGGATTTCCGGGGCGGCATTGTGAGTGGTGATGGTAAGCGGTATGTTGTTGTATGACACGGATAAAAGGTTTCTGAGCGTTGACAACACGGAAACTTTTCTGGCTGATGTAGGCTTGGCGACGAGCCAAATTGTCTGCCTTTTTATGACGCCCTTGTTATGATGGAAAATATGCTTTCAATATAGTAACCACTTGGTCACTCTACTCTTACCCCTTTCAACCAAGTTGAAAGTGAGAGTGAAATGTATGAAATGTTGATTCTCCACTTCCTTTTACAAGAGTTGATTCGTATTATTCATATGATGTGGCTCTTCTCAATTGCCGGGTTGTTATCAATGGCGATAGTCGGTTGTTGATTAGAGTAGGTGAGCGAGCGAGTATGGGAGGTGAGCGAGCGAGTATGGGAGGTGAAGTGAAGTGAGGTTAGTTGCAAGTTTAGTGAACGCGGTAGATGTGGCTTGACCAGACGCGATGCCCCGCTATCAGTGGCTAGAGACGCGTTAAGTGGTTTCATCGTGGGACAGGCTTTCTACTGAGGTATCTATCTATCTATTGTAATGATGAAGGGAAAGACTACGAAAAATGAGAAGGAGCAAATATTTGCCTACAACTATGGAAAGTATACAAAGACTGTTGAAACCAAATCAAAGTGGAGAGTCACCGAGTTGGATTGAAGGAAGGCAGCCAAAGGTAAAGTCACATCGCCTATCGCTCACGTATTCGATTCTACCCGTCCATGTCACAAGGGTCTCAGTCCCTGAGGATCTTGGTAAAAAAGATATAAGAATGTTCAATCTTGTTCAATTGGGTTTGTGTGTATCTATCTATACATCTAGCAGATAGGTATGCAGCTAGATAAGCTAAGGTAACGTAGTTGGTTGGGGTTTCATCCTACTCTGCCAGACAGCCATCTGTCATGTTGCTGCTCCCAATTTGACAGAATCCCTCTCCATATCATATCGATCGACTCGATATCATGACATCTTATCGCATGAAACGAACACTGTTATGTTCCCTTCATGTCGCTCGCTTGCTTGATCGTAAAAACATTTGTAAGAAAAAATAAAGGAAAGTCTGGGGTATATCCATCATCAAAATGTACAAACAAAGATCCTCCGTGTTCCAGCCGGCATATGCCAGGATATAAAAATCATGCTCCGCTAAGGGAGTAAAATGAGGCGGATTCGACCGAAGCTCATTGCTATGCTGCCTCTTTGCAAAGAGGAGTGAGAAGTGAAAAATAAAATGAAAAAAGAGTGGATTAATGGGTATTGTTGAAAAGAATGTTGGTGTGTTGAGGTGCTTCGTCATGCCTCCGAACCTCTTGGTCATTAACGAAATGAGATAATATCTCCAAGTCAATGCCAAAGACCCATTTCGCCCTCAATGACCGTCGCTTTGCAAAGCACATCAAAGCAAAGCAAAGCCAAGATACTGGTCCATGATTGTGTGGACCGATAGAGTCTTTCTAGAAATGGGTCAAGACGATTCGAGCCCCGCTATATATCGCGGTGACTGGGGTCATGACGGGGTTTGAAACAAGCCGTCACGGAAACAATTTCTCCATGCGGTTTTGAATGGTAGGGTAACCTCGAATACCGGGGTAAGCATGTTCCATTCGCTTACTTGTTTGATGAGATGACAGAAACGTCAGGTTTTGCTTTTTCCCTTCTTCGGTTCTGAACTTCAGATGCAGACGAATATCCGAATTCAACCGATAGCCCTGCCAATCTCCGATTGACGAACGAGCGGCCGTGGTGAAAGGCCCCCGAGATAGACTTCTTCGTTGAATGATAGACGATTCATGTTGGACATGGAATGCATTCGATGATGTTGCCGTCTAATGTCCAGGGATTGGTGCGTCCGGGGTAGGTATTCGCTGGAGCTACGAGTGCCGAAGAATGCATCGGGATAGTGACCATGCCAAGGATCTCGGGGTGAAGCTGTGCTCATGGTACTGCTGCGGCTGCTTCGAGTTCGGCTATGACGAGAAGGGGGAAGTTTGGCCAATCGTGAAGGCTGACGCTTGATGGGTGGGATGAAGGCTTCTTCTCCTTGGACAGCTTCATCGGTGAGGCCTGGTCGTGAGTTGGGGGCGCGAGCAAGGACTGGAGTCGGCGGCACATCAATGCTGCGCTTGTGGTGAATTGATCGAGGGGAGAGTTCCTCGGAAACTCGGGGATGGGGACGGTCGTAGATGATAACACTTGGGGGTTTGCGGATAGAGCTGAATGAAGTGCTCTTCTGTCTTTGCCGGTACTCGAGTTGTTGTTGCTCTAAATCTCTGGCCTCCCTGTTGGCAGCTTCGTTGGCAGCTTCGATTATCTGTGCCTTCTCGTGGCTCCTATCCCGCTTCCACGACTCGATTTCCTCATCATCGATAGGGGTAATGCCTCGTTTCATGAAGAGGAATCTGCGCCGTTGACGGCTACGGCGCCAGAAAAAACATCCAACTGCGGTTATGGCGGTGACAGGAACCACGGTCGCGAGGACAATGATGATTACTTGGAGTTGGGAGTCCTGCATCGTGATATCTCCATCATGTATCTGTACGTGAAGGCCTGGGTGAAAGTATTGGTTGAGAGCACCTGTTGCTGTTGGAAAGGTGCAAGTGAGAAAAGATGGGCGAGTGTTGAAGCCTGACAAGAAATGCTTCAAACAGCGAAACAACTAAAGATATGATTAGAATATGTTCCAGATATTGTATAGTTGAGCTGATGTTTGGTGATATTGGACGTTTGGGGTCACATCAAGCGATACGACCATTGCATATAATTCATGCAAAATGGTCTACTCTTAATTGAGAGATAAAATTGATGTGCAAAGCAAGGAAAAGTAAAAAAAAAACTAACAATCGAGTCACTGGTCCGGATAGGGCCGGTCGAAAGGATTTGACTCGACGGGGATTGGCACAGACCGAGTCGGTGTAAGTCACCTCGTGGTTTCGACGTTGATCAGGACGTCGGGAGATCGAACCTGATAAGATGGGATGAGGTGAAGGAGTTTAGTTGATGATATATCGACCAGGAACTCAATGGCCCTGTAGATGGACGAAGGTCAAGGAGCCAAACAGAGATGGGGGGACGGTTGAAGCTATATAGAGACTGGGGGTTTCAAAGGGTGGGAGAGGGTGTGTAGAAACGAATACTAGTATAAAGCGTCATGGATCATCACGGTCAGCGTGCACTGTTAACAAATTACTAAGACGGTGTTAACCACATGTTGTTACTGCATGTTCTACTGCCAGTACGAGAGCAAGAGCAAGCAAGACAAACGAGATGGTGAGAGGCAGGAGCGGAGGTGTAAGGAAGGAGCGGAGCGTAGTGGGGGTAGTGGATAGTGAACTAAGAAAAGGGTGTAAGTCAAGTAATGGATGTGATGCGAAGTCAAGAAGTGAGCTGCTGATACATGAAACCCCTGGTCAGCTACAGAGACTGACCTGCCAAGAACACAGGTGACAACCCAAAAACAGAACAGAACAGAACAGACAGAACTCGGCTGCAATTTGCCCAATATACACTTCGATCAGGTACAGGGTTCCAAAAATGCCCTGCATTGCATTGCGCTGCACCGCTCTGCAGTCTCTTCTCAAAGAGTCGAACCTATCCATCAAAGACAACGCATACCTCAGTACTCTTGCATCTGGATTTTCTGTATGAAATGACCCAAGGCAAGGTAAGGAGATCGAGGCCAGCATACAGTACAGCCAATACAAGCCGGTATTCGACGTGTGCCTGAAAGAGAGTGAAACTAAATAATTCCCGCACAGCCAATCCAGCTCGACTCGTGCCTTGCGTCTCACTCACTGTTTTTTTCGTTGTCTCTTCCATCCAGTCAGCCAGTCCGGCGCAGTCAGTGGAACGAACCCCTGGAGACTCTGTGCCCATATTTTTCTAGCGTGATGCAGCGTGGTGGAGTTCCTAAAACGCCACGCCAGGTCCCAGAACAGAACGGGCGACAGGGGCCTTAATGGACTCTAGTGCCACTGCACGATGGATTTTAGTGGGCCACTCCAGTAACTAAGATACACTAAACTCTCCAGCATCACTTTAACGTGGCATCCTCAGAGAGGGCCAAGGCTGGTGATAGTGATAGAGATCCTTACTGTATAGGTAAGTCAGGTTGAGCCTTGTGTCGTAACTACCTAGTATTCTACCGATTCATGCGTTGCAAATTGTTCCAATAAATCTATATTTGTTTCATTATTACGATGCCAGCCTTACAACATAATGGAAGGTACCATACAGCTCCTACCTGTCAGTCAGAACTTCCGTTGCAACAAGGTACATATTGTTCCTTCCCTTCATTCTCAACCTCACTCAATCTCGATCTCGATCTGGAAAGAGCTTGCCCTCAATTAACATCAGAGACATCCAAGTGATGCTGGCACCTTCTGTCTGTGACTTGACTTGACTTCTCATCCATCACGAAATGCTCACTCTGACTTTCTGTCTCATCCCTTTCCAATAATCCAAAACTCTCACCGGTATCAACACATCCACGAATCGAGATTCTAGCCAGGATCCCCCAGATTCACAGCCTCACCTCCTCTTCATGAAGCCCCTCACATAATCAATTGCCCGTCTTTTCCCCTTCTCGTCTAAAAACACGAATCCAGTTGGCTCCTTTAAAGGGTCTAAGACATGCAGCTGAACAAGCGCTTGTTCATAGCAAGGGAGAAGGATGCGTGCGTATCCATATTAAGAAAAACAGGTTACGACTCGAGATACCTAACAACGCATTACAAATAGATACATACCATACCTTTCCAAGAGCAGAAAAAAGCAAAGACAGCACACGGCTCAGGCCCCTCGGTTATTTCCTAGGTCGTGGCGGTCGGTATGTCACTCTCTCATCTCACGGGCTTACACTCGACTGATATGGCTGCCATGCTTTGTGTTATTCTGAGATGGAATAGGAAATGGAGCTGCAAGGGGGCAAAGGTCAGATAACAAGGTTGCGAATGGCCTCGAAAAAGCGTCCTAACCTGGAATGCGCGGAGATTGGCTCACGCTTTGCCTTTGCTCTGCCATCGTGGACCATGTCTCTCATCTGTCACGTCCCCATATACATGTCGACAATGCGGTCTAGAATGAAACGCGCCATGATGGTGTTATTCAGGCCGGCAAACTCTCCACAATCTTCTACCTATGTGATCAACACGGGAGATTAGCCCGGTTAAATGGCTTCCTGAATACGTGGGCTTCTGCAACATTGTACCATTTGGTTACGACGCAACTTGCGGTTTACAACAAAAATCCCATCATTGTACTGTGGTATCTCATCATGCCTTGTTCCATCATGACATATCACTTTCAGTTGAACCGAAACACCTGGGCCGGGCCGGCTACTTGAGCTTTCTGTCCCTGTCAGCAGCTAGGGTTGTACAGACGTGTGCATACGGAATCTCGAGTGCCCGAAAGATAACAACAGTTCGTTGGCTTGGCAAGTCTTTTCGCATGCGAGTATTTAATTTATTCGCGACGTTGGAGGAGCATCAAACAACTACCCGTTGTGGGGAAGTTCCCCTTCGGGAGTTTTAGACTTGGGTGGAATAATTCCTAGGGTCTTGATCTGATATCATGGCAAGGCATGAAGCAGGCAGGGTCTAACATTGCTTCTGACTGAGCGTTTTGTCTTTCGCAGGTCGGATAACTGCTATAGAAAGTTTATCAACTCAGGTCTTTTCATCGACTTCGGCCACGTTTACTTCTGCTTTTGATTTACCGGTACAGAGGCAATTGTCCACCATGACCATACGGGCAAATGCCAACACATTCGACATGGACTTGCCTACTTGGGTAGGGAGGCTGCCCAGCCTTCAAATCAGCGAGCCTATCATCTCGACCGTTTCAACCTTCCAAGGTCCAAAATAAGCCAGCCTTTCAGCCACGAAACCCAGGCCCTGTTCTTAAATACTGTTCAGCGAATTTGTCCCTCATTCACTACGTATCAGGATGGCGGATTTGTTGGACGCCAAACCCAGACTTCAGCAAGACAATGCTGAAGAAGTTGAAACTTTGTACGTTTCTTGATAATGGATTCTTATCAGAGCCTCATTGAAGGAATCATCTGGGAATCAACCGCCGTCTATACGCGGATTCTTCTCTGCTGACGACGCTCTTCTAGAACCTACAAGCTCCGCTTAGTTTTGCTTGTTCCTGGTTCCTGTCCTGACGGATCACGCCACCAGTGCAGCTGAAAAATACTGCACTGCGATACCAACCAAGATTTATCCCCACCTCAAAAAAATGGTAAATCTCCGCCCCCAATACTCCTGATACAGACCGCTATATCGTAACGAATAGCGGTTCCAATTGATCGATGGTTGGTGCGAATCTCAGCACTCGTCATCTGGATCAGCCATTGTCGAATGCTGTAGCTTCGCTATTCTTTACGCTTGGTAGTGTTGTTCTGTCTCCTTTACAATGCTCGTGGCAGGCATATTGTCTCAAAGTCCATCATGGCGATCGTGATTCCTATCTGAAGAAGCGCAAGCAAGGGAACAGCAAGCCTGAGCGTTCGCCGACTTTGCCCAAGTGAGCCATGGTCTCCGAGGGGCCAAGCGAAACCGTGCCATGATAAACGGGCGGGAAGAGCCTATCAGCGGGACGGCACACTGACCGATCTTGCTGTTAGTCTCTGTCTACGTCGCTACGACTCTCTGGGTGATCCTCTTAGCCTTTTCGCCTAACCTTTTTCTGTATGGGCGCCGGTCTCAGTTACGATTGTCTCTCTCCTAGCGCATCACGTTCTCTCGTGAGCCTGATTCTCATTCATCACCAGCCATTTATCTGAGTGATCGGCTTCGCCTTTTCCCGTAGCCCAGTTCTGAAGAGTCTTGCTGCTTCTGCTTCCCTACTTTTTGCCGAAGCGATATCGATTTTCTCATGGATCCAAGTTCATTGAACCACTTGGACCATGGCTTCAGGGGCAAAGATGCACCAGCGTGAAAAAATCTCTAGCATGCTTTTCTCGTTACAGAGTTTATTGCCTCATGACCTCAAAGGCTGAAGAGGTACAAAGGCTCAGCAAAACCTACCTTTGGCAAGCAATACGTACTCTGCAGAGGACCATGGCCATGATGAGGATGCACAATCACACCCTTGTCCATGTCCATGTCCATTCCGAGTGTGGAGAAGGAAAATCAGGGGCCCAAGCTCAGCTCTTAAGGTTGTTGGTGAACATCTCTCCACCAAGTTCACACACACGATACATACACCGCTTCTTTAGCAAAGGATGCGATGAGACAATACGAGCTCCAGATGTTTGAGTGCACAACAAGACAAACTAGTACAGAGCAATGGCTTATCCAAGTGCTCAAATCATCTAACAAGGCTATTGTTAGAGCCGGTTGCGTTGATGTATGTTGCTCTTCTGCCAAGCCTCCATCTACCGCAATACCAGCTGTAGTGTTCTGCTGCACTACCTACTGGCCTGCAGGCTCGGCTAGGAAAGGTAGTAGGTTCCTGGACCAAGCACACCTCAACTGAAATGGGCTGAAGGGCCAGCCACAGCTAACCTTTTCTTACTTGATTGCGCTTCTGCTGCAAGGCACGCGCCTTCTTAAACCATGGCACAATCTGCGAGGGGTAGATTTGGGATGGGATGGGATGAGATGGCTAGAGGGGACGAGCAAGAGAGCAATGTCCAGGGTCGGCCGCTGGTTGGTCCAGATCGGTCGTTTTGTTCTCTTCCCCTCTTCCTGCGAACGAACTGTGACTTAGTTAGATCGGGACCCGAATGCTTCTCCAGACCAAGTCCGTGTCCTTGCCGTCTTACCACTCGTCAAAGCACTCACATCTGGCATAGCGACGGGACCATCAGGAGATGACTTGCAGCAATAGTTCGATGCGGATGGGATGGGACAATACAATCCTGTGCTATCCCCGATATGCTCTTCTCTTTTCTTCTCTCACTTCTTGGGCTCGGTGCACGGCACAAGGCTGAATGGGTATAATTACGCTCGGGCTTGAACAGAGGGCCAAGGCTAGGTGAGAGGAAAGCAAGTGGTCCACCATCTTGAAGACTCCAAACTTACAACTAATCAGTGATCAGTGACTGGAATTTGTAAGTTCACAATTGGCATCAAACACAGGGATCTAGTTTCCTCCGAGATCTCAAAGGCAGACAACTCTTATCTCCGTCCAAGCATTGCAGCGACGTGACAGGTTTCATTAGCTTCGAAAATAACGCAATGGAACACAGCGACTCGATGCCACCATGCCTACATAGAATGTGTATGCTACATTGCTCAGGATTCTCATAGCCAATGCTACTGCATACCCACCAACTCGCAGTTGAGCACCAACCAGCGTCATTGAGAAGCAAGAACCCACTTACATGTGTTTCTCCTCCCCCGCCGTTTCAAACGTCAATGTACTGTACGCCATCGCATTGGACAGGGTCTAAACAAGGGACCGTTCTTGGTCTGTTTCTGCTAATGCAATGTACGTTGATCCTTCGGCCCTCTCTCTCTCTGAGCTATACTCTGAAATCTCTATTATACGTCTCAACTTGACTGACAGTCTCTGATTTCTTATATATCTGACATAGGTAGGCTATGGAAAGCCTGGCATATTTTCCTCCAATTGCAGTTTCTTTGCCTCCCGACAATGCTGTCATCTGGATGCAATAAGACCCTGTTGCGGGCATAAGGGCTGAAGCACAGTACTACTGTTCTTCGGAGGGGACGAGAACCGATTGTCAAGGTATCCACTGGTTCTTCCATGTCCAAAGAAGATTGAAATTACTTGTCTTACTCATTGTAGGATCTTCTCCTCAATTTCTTCTTTGCTGTAACTAGTCGCATGACTCGTGTATCATAACGTCTCAGTTTCTGACAAGAGCCGCAGGACCCGTTTGCTGCAAGAAAGTCCCGATTCCACCCACGATTGAATGTGGCTTGGCTTGGCTTTGTTTGACAATCTGAACCGCTTCTGAGGCTGTGGCAGGCTAATTAATGTAAACTACATAGTGCAGCAAGGGCCAAGTACAGGCATCATCCCTGTCTGAAGGAAGTCGATCGTTAAGCGATCTCTTGAAGAAACTCGATGCTTCTTGATACTATTGAAAAAAACGCTGAAGACTTTCCTTCATCCGAGTTCAGACTTTTCAAAAGATGTTTGTGCAGAGTTTGATTCACTGTCATACTGGATTGGTCTGGATTGGGGTGAATTGACTCTTGTTGAGCCAATGCTCCACCGATATCCTATTCACGGTGGCCAATTCAAGACTTGCAGCCGATGCTGCAACCAAGAGGCAATGCAAGTAGACGAAAAATGAAGCGTTCGAGAATCAACTCCCCCACAATCATTCAATCAACAGTCAACTACTTCTGCAGGAAAAGGCCACTGCGGTATTCGGTGGAGTTTGGACTCCATCTCGAAGCAACAGCTAATGCACTCCAAGCTGACTCGCATTCAAAATTATCATGACCTGGTCCAATCCAACAGAGACACACAAGAGATAGAATATCCACCGTGAACTTTGCCAATGCCGAGTGGATTCTTTTTCACGACTGCATACGAACCATGGCGGCCCAACTTAACCGAGCTCCCACTTGATATACTCCTCCTCTGAGGCGATGCATGATGCGGCTCTTTGACTGAACTTGACGAAGCACAGAAAAGAAAAGAAAAAAGAAAAAAATGGGATCCAACCGGTTATTGTGATGGAGCAGGGATCTTCCAGCAAATCATGCGTGCAGAAGACGTATACAAGCCGCGTGCGGTGCCAGCAGATGATGGCTTACTATCCTATCGTGTCACTTCCCAAGACTGTGGTCGAGGTTCATTTCTTTGTGCTGCGAACCTTTCCTAGGGCTGAGAGAAATTGGAAGGCCTCAAAATCAGGTTGCAGCTGCATCTTGGTCAAAGTGAATCCGTTGGCTGTCCCTGAATGACATTAACAGCCCAGGGCCGCAAAAGGTGGTCGCATGAAACGTGGCATAACACAACATAACTAACATACATGCCACCGACTCACCTTCCTGTTCCTCTCGAGAGATACCGCTATTTTCTTGTGTGTAGGGCTATTGAGCATAAATTATACATTGTCACGCCGTTGCTGACAGCCTGCCCCGAGACCAATTACTACGCTGCCCATGTCGATCCTGTTGTTTCAAGATTCTTGTTCTTTGTCGGTTCCCGGCTAGATAGGACTCTCAGTACAGACCAGGCGTCGGCCTGTCCAGATTATCTGGTTACCTATACCCGAGACTCACTATAGGAGAATGATCATGGATGGTGCATCCATCACGATTATTTGCCCGATGATATTAGACTGTCATCACCGTGCAAGGTTACACTTTCTATCCGCGTGTCTATAGCATACCAAACAATTGATATCTGCCTTCGGAACTGGATGCTTTGGCAGCATAGCAATCATGTCATCTGGCATCTCGGTATATCCTATGCTGGTTGTCACAGCCAGATGAACCCATAACATTATACAACAAGGCGATATACATCTCGGCATTCGGAATTCCTACCATCCGTTATTAGCACTTCTCTAGTGCTATCCAGGATGTAAAACTCATCTTCTTGGAGTGAAACCGAGACGCAAAGACTGACTCGTGAAGCCACGGGCAACAGCCTGAGCCTCACGCCCGTGACATTGCCGCGCATAGTCCCAAGCCACAATACTATAACTCTGCGGCTTTAAGTTATCAAAGTTTGTACTTGCGTTTCGCGATTTGATATGGTAGGGGTTTGATGACTGGCGGTGTGTTTGTGCTTCGACTGGTCATCCCGGTGGTGCAGGGTAGGTTGTTTGGGTTGAACATAGTCACTTGGGCGAATACTATCAGATTGATCATTGTGTTCGTTTGAAAGTCTGCACTTTGTCTTTATTTGAAAGAATTACTTTTGGCTCATGGTTGTTTGAGTTCGCTGTGTTGACATTCTCTGTTGACCTTGACTATATGGTAGGTGTTCTAACACATCTTTATATCTATTATCTAACAAAAATATCTTGTGATGAAAGGAAACTCAACTCAATTAGTCCATCAGACTCAAATATCAAGTCATTCACTCTATATCAACTCAAATTTGATGCCCGACTTTTATCTTTCGCACTCAAATCTCAAGTGTCCTGCTGGTTGATACCCCTTAATCAAGATATGCATGCTTACCATCCGCCTCCTACTCGCCTCTATGACGGTCAAACGTCAATGTCAATGCACTCACATACTACATACACAGAAAGAGTAGTCGGTCAAAAAGAAGAAATGAAATCTGATAAAATAGACAAAAGCTACAGACAAAAGCTACAGACAAAAGCAAGAAAGAAAGACGCAAACGACTCAATAAGCCACTCGCATCCTACATTGACCCGTTCTCTCGACTCCCATAATCTCAACAACTACGCTGGATGACACTTGTCGTTCTCTTCTCACCAGCGACCAACAAGCCGTTAGTTAGCGCTGTAAAGGTCCTCCTCTTCCTCCTCTTCCTCCTCTTCCTCTTTCTCTTGTTCCCACTGGTTCTCCTCCTTTTGTTCCTTTTCTTCTTTATCTCCCTCTTCTGGACTCTGTGAGTCTTCATCTAAAGACTCAAAAAACCATTTAAACTGCTCTCTCTCTAACTCAGAATCGAGACTTGTATTTCCATTCTCCAACAACATACACTCGTGCCATGCCTCATCAGCTCTACGAAGACGTTCCTGACAATGCTTGAGTTCTGTATACATTCCGATATCTCTCAGGAAGTCCAAGACATCGTAAGTACACTCTTTCGAATGGTCATCGTCGGATAACTTGCAAAGAACATTCATGAACTGCGAAGAATCTGCGTCTCGTGCCCACTCGAGCATGCGGCACTGGATCTTGATCCAGGTAACGACCCATTCGGCATCAAGACTACCAGAAGCAAGGCGGGACTCAATGGTAGGATGCGTATCCCGCCTTCTCAAAGGGAACAGCTCATTAGCACTCTGTCCAGTCCAGTTGGTGGTGTGGTACTTGTAGGTCTTGCTACCATCGCGCTCAGTCATCAAGTATGCTATCTGGTGTACACCAACATCGCATGCTAGAAGCTCCGCAATACCTTTCCATGTAGTGTTGGCCCCGAGTTCGGCCGGCGTGTAGCCCTTCACTTTCGTTCGCTCATTGTCCAGCAATGGCGCTTGGCCAGTTGTCCGACTGTCTGTCTTCATTTTGGAGTCCGAAAAGTTGATCTGAGGAGGTAGTTCGCGACGAGTGGTTTCGCTGTCCAGCAGCGCACCTCTTTCTTCCGAGCAAAGCTCCATGTTTCGAAGTCTGTCCAATGTCTCACGTCGTGCCTCTTGAGGTCTTTTAGGCCGATGGAAAGGTTCGCTCTCTTCTTTCTCCCAATCTGAATCATCGCCATCATACTCTAACACCAGAGACATCTGATCGTCGTCGTCTGTGTGAAGGAGTTTACGCAAATCTCCGTGTGAAGCAACAGGGTGTTCTCCTAATCGTCTCGCTCGTGAGATATAGCGAGGTACTATTTTTGGTAATTTAAGGATCTCATGGCGCGCCTGTTCTGCAGTTGCACCAATGGCCAAGTTAATACGGTGGCAGCGTCGAATAGACATCGCCGTGCGTTCAGGGAGAGTCCGCTCAGGGCAATGAAGAGTAGACAGCACTGATTCAGATGCCCATAGAAGCGCAGCGTAGTTTCTGAGCGCGCGCATATCGAGCTGATGAGACCCATTGCCAACGTGAACATGGAGGCCGCATGTCGGATTGACTCGGACACGGAGGTTGGTGGTCAGCAGTCGAATGACTGACGAAACGAGATTGTATGCCTCTTCGCACGAATACATTGGTGGACTCGATATTTCTACCGGGAGCCAGTCGATGTAGCAAGGATCCTGTTTACTTAGGGGGGTTACCTTAGTCACGGTATGGTCAGCTGTGACTAACCACAGTTGCTCCTCTGAGCCGTGGCCATCTTGGCTTGATGTGATGAATCCGTGCTTCTAGAGTAGTTCTTCGACAGCTCTGCAACCGTCAGAGTATCGTGTAGCTGGTGCGAGGCCAGGAATGGCTTCATCAACGTCCTTGCCGTCCTCTGCTATGCAAGCCACGAGAAACTCCAACTCAACACCGAAACTAACACGAGGGGGGCGCGTATAATTGTCCTGCTGCGTGCTGTCAGCCTTGTGCCCTTCGTATTGGGCAGCTATCTTGCCTGTCTGCTCCATGATTGTTTGTTGAGTGATATTGAAAAGGTCCAACGTCGTTTTTGTTTGAAGTTGCTAGTTCAGTATGTAATCTTGAGCGAAAAGCGTGCGTTGTTGGGAGATTAAAAGGTTGGGAGGCGACAGTGGCATATCTTATATATACCGTCTCGGCGTTGTGTACTCGACATTATGTACTCGACAGTGATAGTGTTCGCAATCCGGAGTGCCAACATTGAGCAACCAGCATTCATGTTCTTTGAACAAGTCGAAAGCAGAGTTAAGTCGATTAGAACACCCCAAACAATTATCTGCGAACAGTGTTTAGATTCAAGGGCCTGTTCGTTTGAGCTGTATGGTGAAGACAACCTCTGTGGCTTGTAGGAGTGTTGGATCTAGTCGTTGCTAGACAGGTTGGTACAAACGAACCATTCAGAAAAGCCGCTGGATGATAGGGCAGACCATGAACTCTGACAACCTGGGTTGAACATAGCTCGAGGCCATGCCATTAGGCCAATGCAGCAACTGCCTGTCTACGATTGCTCAACGTCATCCCATAGCCATATTCAACACACTGACCGCAGTCTATAGTCACTCGGTGGAAAACAGTTGTGCAGATAAACAGTTTCTTCATTGTTTGTTCAATATCAAAGTTTCCTACTCCGTTTCGCCTCTTGCTATGATTGAATTGGATGGTAAAGCATAAACAAATAACCACCATTGCCGTTGCAACTCTCTTCCTTCTCCCGAAAGACTGCGAGGCTGTCATTCAATTGCAGGCCACCATCTAATTCACCAAACCGCCTGTCGGTACGCCGAAGCGTGTCATTACCTCATCCAAGCTTTAACAAAGCTTCCATCATCGAGTCTTTACTCATCAAAAGGTATCGGGTTGCATGTCGAAAAGGTGTACTATGTAATAAAGTGGGCAAAAGAAGTGAAAATAAGCTGCTGGAAGCAATCCCGACACGACACCCACTGACAAGGTACGGCACGTGGTGGGGTACCAGGGTGGTGTCGTGGCACTGCTGATCACAGCACCCCATGCTTCAACTCCAAGACTTAGATGAGGTAGGCCAGCATACCGAGAGCAACGGCGGCGGCGGCACCCTTGCCGGCTGGTGCCATAGTAGGGGCGGCAAAGGCATCAGAAGCTGTTGTTGACACAGCCTCCGCAGAACCACTAGTGTCCGATGAAGTCTGAGTGGCCGTGGCAGTAGCAGTGCCGCTGGTAGTGCTGCTATCGTCGTCATCGTCGTCGTCGTCGTTGCTAGCAACATTCTTAGGAGGGTTTTGCTCGGCGCAGAGGGGCTGGATCTTGGTTCGGCACTCCTTGGTGCCCTCAGAGGTGCTGGTCTTCGCGACGCAATCGGCAAGGAGTTGGTTGCAGATGAAGGTAGGGATGGTCTGGGTGTAGTACTGAAGACCAGGAGCCGAGCTGTTGGAAGAGCATGTGCATTCCCACTTCAGGGTGTTCTGAATCAACGTGTTAGTTTTTGTTTACAGTCTGAGCGTTTAGTAAACATACGTCGTCACAGTTGTTCTTGTCGGTGTTATCACTGCAAAGAGTATCGCAGGTATTCTGCTGGGCTCCACACCAACCGGCTGTAACAAATTAGTATACATTGAAAGTTAATAACTGGAGCATTTTCACCACGTACATCGCCTGGCGAGATCGACAGCGTTGGGGTCGTCAAGGGTCATGTCGAGAGAGCTCTTATAGTTCTTGACAGTCTGGGCCGAGACGGCCGAGATGGCCATGGCGAGAATAGCAAAAGATGAACGCATCTTGAAAGATGATCGTGATGAGTTGAACTGAGTGTTTGTTTGTGAAAGTGATGTGAGAACCAAGTGGTGCGATAAGCGGAACGATGATATGCGATATCGTTGTTGATGCTTTCACAAGATGACTTTGATGATAACAGTCCGTTTTATGTTGTTGATGCGGCAAGTGGAAGACGGAAGGAAGAGAGGAGAGGAGAGACACAAACGCGGAGAGCCAAGGGCAGTGCGTTAGAATTTAAACGACGGGAGGCAGGTAGCTTTTTTTTCTTGGGAGGAAGGCAACGATCGGATGTGGCCTGGCTTGGCTTTGTCTGGGCAGGTGCGGTCACTGACCTCGGTTTGATTAGGTAGGAGCCATCTGCTCTGGTCTCTGCTCTGGACCTGGACTTTCCAGCTCTCGGCCCCGGCACCCACAATCCGGACATCCAAGACGGTCAAGACCGCAAAGTCAGTGGAGGTCTAGGATCTCCATCTCTAGCTCTGAGCTAGCTGTTGGACCAATAGAATAACTCCCTGGAGACATCTGCCATTGACTTTGCTCCATCAATCGCCGCAAAACTCTCCCCCCTCTCAACAAGGGAAAAGACGCACAGGCACAAGTCGGCTAGAGGTCACATCGTGCCCACACCTTCCTTGTCTTAGCCACTTACCTCACACCATCATAGCCATGTCGCGCTTGGCAAGTCGCCTTTTCCGGTTTAGTCGTCATGACTACCCTCAACCACCACATTTCTCCGCGCCCGCGCAGGAACTATGAGAATCGTGAAGCCAAGCCGCGACCTTCGCAGTAGGGATCGAGATGCGGGCTGTTGCCATGGGTCTTTTCCGGATAAAATCCATCGTGTTGAAGAAAAGGAAGAGAAAGGCAAGGAACACAGTCAGGCCCAGGCAAGCGGTTGTAGCCGAATGGGCAGGTGGGACAATCAATTGTCACCCGTATATTACGACCAGGATTGGACTGAATTTTGTATCAATGCATGGGCTACAGGCATTAGAATGAGCTGGGCGGGCACCAAATTCTAGATATCACCCTGGATTCTAGCGGCGGTGCTCCCTCTCTGTCCTACAGAATCGCCTACCACAGGGATCTCCCCAGCGCAGACTTACACCACATTGTCTCCCTTGGCTTGGTCTTGGTTTTGGTCATGACGGACAAGCGAAAGCTCCGACCAAAGAGGCCCATATTTGACACGAGCCAATTATTTCAGGTGCTCTGCATCACCATTGTCTCTGAATTCGGACACGGACCATCTTGGCGGCCTTCCATATCACCGTCATTATCCCAATGCTGGCAACAGTGAGAAACGGAAACGGAAACGAAACCAGAGCCAGAACTGTCTTGACTTGAGTCTTGCTTGATACAGTTCAGAGGAGGTCGGTCACGAATGGCCACCCTTGGCAACATAACTTTGAGGAGGAGGTTGGCCAAGCAATGTTTACCATAAGTGCTTGGCGCAAAGGTTGGTCTGTCGTAGCGCGACCGAATACTGGAGCTTGCCCAGAAGTGCCTCCGGAACAGACGGAATTGTGGAAGCAAAAAAGACAATCTTCTTTCGATCCTGTCCGCTCATGGGAGAAATGGCCGCCAAGATGCTAATCTTCCTCAACAGGGCCACGGCACCTGAGCGCCGATGTGTTAAATGACCGGACCTTTTGTCCATGTTGGGTTGGGTACTGGTAGGTTATCTTCTCCTACCTACTACGGTACCCAACCTCATCACAACAACCTATAGCACATCGTTTGACTGTAAAAACATGTCATGACACAAATAGGTTTCACACTGGTCTGAGAAAGTAGTATCGCCCGCCTACCAGCCTTGTATCGCATGATTCTTTCGTGACTTTGCGACACATGGAGGCGAGGCAAAAAACAAACATACTCTGAAATTGTTCTTGTTTTTCACCCTCTCGCTCTTCACCGAGCTTGTCAAAGTGACAATCGGAGCGGACGATAGAAGACTTGGCGAGCGCGATTCTCCACTCCTGGTCCACGTCCCCTGGTCTTGTCCCATCTAAAGTGCGTCACTCAATCATGCCCGTCGTGAACTAATCTGCCCGTTTCTCCCCCCTGCTCAGTGTCGCATATTCTTCGCTTTGTTGTTTTGGTCGTCGCAGTTAGTCACTGAAGGCCCGTGTATGGATGATATCAGGTTGAGAACTGCGGCCTCTATATCTCCACCTACCACCGACTGTTAATATCTTTCCTCAAACATGGTCCTTGTCAGCAAGCCTCCTGTCAGCTCTCGCCAATCAGAAGGATTGTTCGGGACCCCAGAAACGATCAACAAGCCAGCGAGCGCCATTCGGACGGATATATACCGAAAAGCACCGTGTTGGCTGGGTGTAAGTTGACTGCCAATATGCAGATAGGTATCTTGTCCCTATGTGGTGAACGGCTTGAATATTGACATCGTCAATATTCGTTGAGTATATACAGCTCAAGAGGTCATGATGACAATGGCTCCCGTTGCGCTCGTCAGTAGGAACCTTATCCAACCCCCCTTGGGCATGGCCGCAAAGAGGCTGGGTGTTGTCAACTTCGCCAAACCCTATTTCGACCGTTGATGTGGTTACTGGGCAGCTTCGTCGTATCGTTTATGTTACTGCCAATATCATTTCAAATCCTTTGGATTTTCGATCGACTGACGAGCTCTTCCTAGATCGTGAGATACCTTCGTTGCTTACCATTGTGTTGAATATACATATATAAGGACCTTGGGTTTGTGGCGCTATGCACAGTCAAGCTGCAGTGGCTTGGCCATCCCCAACGTTCTGGACCCTTTTAGCCACATCGCGGATGAGTTAACGTTAGCTAGTCTGCATCTCATCCCATCTCAAGGGACTCGACTGTTGGCAATGCATGAGTTGTCATGAGGCCACGCGTACCATCTTCAACATGCATAAAACGTTAAGTTGAGAGTTGGTGCAATGGAATTGACCGATAGACCGAAGTTTATCTTCTGGATCATGCTGTGAAAAAGAGTCTCTGTTCAGTTGCATGTCATGATGCCGCGTGTTCCATATGAAAATGAGGGTCTAAGATGCGAATCTTGCTGCATTCCCTAGCGGCTCGGCACGTTCTTCCGGATCCATGTGTTTTCATCTCGTATTCGAGATAAGAGCATTCGTCATGGTAAAAAACCCATAATTGATAATGCATCTCGAGCTAGTCTGACCTGCGTGTTATCACACATGTCTTTTGATTCAGTACTCTCCTCTCTCTTCTGGCCTGTTGTGAATTACAAACACTGAGATGTGCCTGTGTTGAGATGTTATACGGCGAGTTCTCGAATTTGGTTGTTCAATATAAGTCAACAGTAAGATTCGCGATGAGACAGACGGGACATTTGCATTCATTTTCTCTACAGGGTAGCCAACTTTGATAACCTGCCCGGGATCAGTGGGGGTGGGGCCGGGAACACAAGAGACGAAATAATTTAGTCACCTTATGCTAATTTAGGATAGCATTTAGGCTACATCTTTTCTGTAGGCTTGTTAGAGCTGGAGGACAATTCATTTGACACCGCACCTGGGAGCTCAATTATTAGCGATCCACTCCACTGTCCCTGCATGGTAGACGATCTCAAGCTCCTAACATCCATTGGTTGATGAGGTAGGTAGCTCTGAAGCACAAACTTAATACTTACAACTTCATCAACCAAAGTACTGCTTGCAACCTTTATCGACGACGTTCACTGTTATCGCCAATCTCAATACAGCCCGGGCTTCAGAAACCGAATCCTTATCGATGCAATCATCAAATACTTAGCCACCAAAAACGAACATCTATGTGTGGCTTCCACTGACCCCTCCATCTCTTCCCCTTTCCAACGTCTAGATCTTACAGTATCTACGCACAACATGGACCAATTACCGCGAGAGCTGATCGATGCGATACTCCGGCAATGCGTAGCCCTTGGTCCTAAAAATACAGTCCTCAACCTCCGCCTTGTTTGCCGCGTCTTTGACCAGGTCCTGAAGCCTTTCGCGTGTCAAACGCTTGACTTAGAATTCTCGCGCTTGAGTAAGGCAAGCGGCGTAGCGCCCCAGATCGATGCGCTACAGACAATCGGTTACCACTGCAAAAGCCTCTATATCGATCTGATGGTTCTTCGGGATGACCGTAAGTTATGACTGTCGGGCAGGGTGTCGGAAGAATGGGTCACTGAGAGCATAAGGGACGAAACAAGTTCTTCTCATGCTGGCTTAGGCTACGAAATAAGAGACGAATCAATTTGGTCACCTTATGCTGGCTTAGGATAGCATTAGGCTACTTTATTTTGTAGTCTAAGCTAGCATAAGAGATGAAACTGTTACGTCCCTTACGCTCTCAGCGACATGTCTTCTCACACCATAATGTGTGCTTTGGAATTGCCTCAGCTAACATGAATAATTGGCCAGTGGAAGTTGAGTTCCTTGATACAGTCTTCGCGCGGGTCCCATCTATGACAGACTTCTGTCAAACGTTACACAAGAAATACTGCATGAATGAAACATCATTCACCGAGACAGATTACTATCGGACCGTAGAGGAAATGTTATTCTACTGTCGCGAAGTCAATCGCTTGCGCCTCAACCTCCCCTTTCAGCTCGTTGGCCGCCATTGCAATGCCGCCACCATGATCTTGGCCAACACGCTCAAGGCATTCGCACAAAGACCCGAAGAAGACTCAGCAAAGCTCAATACCCTTGTTATTGAGAATGTGACTGACGTCGCAATACGTCATCTGTGGATGAACCCAATTGACGTGATGAATATCATAAGGGTACTCGAGGTTCTAGAGCATCTTGTGCTGACATTGAGACGGCACGAAAACGAGCCCATAACCGTCGGCTTGTTTGGATCTTGTTTGTGGAATATTGTTGAGAACGCGGGGGAGCTAAAGAGCCTCTGCCTGATCGGGATGGACCACGATGACCGCCCACGAGGGTTGAAGCAGACGAAATTCTGGCAGATGCCGGTCGACGAGTGGCGCGCAAAGTCACTGCCCGCGCCAAACGTCATACACTCCAATCTGACATGTTTGGAGCTCAAGCGAATTGAGTTATGCCCCGAAGTATTTCTCTGTACTGTGGAAAATTTCGGTTCTACACTGCAAGAGCTCTATCTGAACGAAGTCTATCTTAAGGTTGAGCAGTCACGAGACTGGAATGAGGATTCTAAGAAGGTCCTCTGGGTCGGAATGCCCAACCAGCGTCCTGCAGAGGATTGCCAATGGATTGCTATGGCACTGAGATGTGCTGCACCTCACTTGAGAATCTGCCGGGCATCGTTTCTGGCGTATGATCATTACATACGGGAAGACATGCCCAGCCAGCCAGAGTTCGATCTCGTAGACCCTTGCGGTCTCGGTCGAAGTATCTCACAACGCTTTGTCGAGGTGGTCATGGGGGTACGCCAACCCGCAGCGCGAGATGTCGTCGAGTACCTACCTGCAGACCCCCAATTCGACTATCTCTTGAACAACCTCCACTCAAGAAACCGTGCTTTGAGGGTAGTAGAGTACGATACTAACGCATATCAGACAGCTGTCGCAAACTCCACATCGGAATGGCAACGCAGCATTGATGGCATCTTCCCCAATTGCAATTCTAACACCCTTGATGAGCTTCACTACATCGCTGAGACTGCATGTCAGGGCATGAACGAGATACACAGCCGTCGCAATGAGTGGTCTGCCGAAAGTAGTATGGCAAATGAATTCACAGAGAATCTGTTCAGTATTCCCGCCTCTGACGACGAACACATTTGACGAAGAGTCAGGCCGCCTCGTCAGATCAGAAGAATTAGCCGCTAAAAGCATAAGAGACGAAATAATTTGGTCACCATATTGAAGCTTAGGCTAGCACTTATGCTACTTTATTTTGGCAGCCTAAGCCTAAGAGGATGATTCTTCTGTTACCCGTCTGCGCCCGTCTCACATGGATGATGAAAATCACGAACGATTAACTGTAGACAATCTCGATAATCCGAAATAAATTTCTTTAGGTAGCTTACTATTAGCAAGACCCAATGCCAAACCGATGCAACTTGCATCTCTTTTTAATCCTAGCCGCTGTATAAATGCTTTCCCATTGGGGAATTGAATAAAACCCCCTCTCTTTCTGTTTTGCTTTAAAGCATCCTGAACAAAGGAAACAATTTTTCATAACATGTCGTCATAGCATCTTCTATATATAAAAAGGAAACCGGAAGTCGAAGTACTCAAAAACATACGCTTAGTGTCCGTTGGAGCCGTTAACACCGTTGGCCTTGGCTGCAGAGGTAGCCTTCTCGAGGGCCTGGAGGACATCGTTGGTGAGATCTTGAGCGTCCTCGACACCGCAGCTGATACGGACAAGGTCGTCAAAGATACCGACGGCCTCACGCTGATCCCGAGGGATACCGGCGTGGGTCATGCTGCTGGGAACCTCAACAAGACTCTCGACACCACCCAGACTCTCGGCGAGGGTGAAGATCTTGGTCACCTGGCAGAAGCGCTCAGCGGCAGCGTGGCCACCCTGGATGCGGAAAGAAAGCATACCACCGCCAAGGGCGTCGCGGTGCTGCTTCTTGGCGATATGTCGGTGGGGGTGAGAGTCAAGGCCGGGGTAATTGACAGCAATGACCAGAGGAGAAGCCTCGAGAGCTCTAGCGACAGCGTCGGCGTTGCGGCTAGCCTCGCGAGCTCGCAGGTGCAGGGTCTTGAGACCACGGTGGGCGAGCCAGGAGTCGAAGGCGGAGGGAACAGCACCAATGGCGTTCTGGAGGAAGCTCAGACGAGTCTTGAGCTCGTCGCTGTTGAAGGCAGCAACACCCATAACTACATCACTGTGGCCATTGATGTACTTGGTGACACTGTGGACGACGATATCGGCACCGAAGTCGAGAGGGTTCTGGACGTAGGGAGAGAGGAAAGTGTTGTCGACAACGACGAGAACGCCATGCTTGTGGGCCTCGGTAACGACAGCTCGGATATCGACGAGGCGCAATGTAGGGTTGCTGGGGGTCTCGATCCAGATCAGGCGAGTATCGGGGGTGATGTGCTCGGCGATGTCAACCTCGATCTCTGGTGTGAAGGTGACCTTGACGCCGTGGGCCTTTGCAACCTGGGTGAAGTAACGGTGGGTACCGCCGTAGACATCGGAGACGGAGATGACATGGCTGCCGGCAGCCAGACTCTGGAGAATGGTGGCGGTGGTGGCGGAACCGGAGGAGAAAGCAAGAGCGTACTTGGCGTGCTCAAGAGCAGCGACAGCGGTCTCGAAGTTGGTACGGTTAGGGTTGGAGGATCGAGAGTACTCGTACTCGCCGACGGGCTTGCCAACAGCGGACTGAGCAAAGGTGGTAGACAGAGAGATAGACTCGATCACGGCTCCGGTGGCGGGGTCATGTGGAGCACCGGCGTGGACGGCCAGAGTACCGAAGTTGTGGACGGGGGACGGAGGACGAGGTGGGGTGGCCACGGGGTCCGAGTTGAGAGGAGCGGCAGACATGATTACTGGTAGAATTGAGGTTGTATGGGAGGAATTGAGGGTATATAGAGAGGAAGAGAAGAGTAGGAGGAGAGAGAGGAAGAGAAGCGGTGGATGAGTGTGGTCAAAGACCTATTTATTATAACAAGTATAAACTCGGCGCTCCGGTGACAAAGTGAGTGGAGGTCGAGGCGGGGCTAGAAAAAATCGAGAAAAAAAAGCCTTTTTTCTCTTCCCTTGTTGCCCTGGTCGGTAATGCAGGCTAGATGGACCCTTTTTATATCAAGAGCTAGAGCTTGGTAGAACAGCTGTTGTGCAATTCCGCTGCGCCAAGTCACGGAGCTTCTTCCTTCTAATCGACAGAAAGGAATGCCTCGGTTTGACGCGATACAGGGCTCAGATGATGTGTAAATAAAAGGGCGGAGGGCAGGTCGAATTTGATCTAGTCTTGTTTCTCGCAAGTAGACGTGTCGTCAATGATGGTCAAGACAGTCTTGAATTGAAACCTTTTGACGATCACGTCACAGCAGCCTTTTCCTAGCGAGGGAAGAGGACCACGGACTCTCGGTGAGATTGGCTCAACAGATTAATAATAGTGAATGGAACACGGAGAAAATAAACGTAAAAAGAATTGACGTGACTCGACTCGTGCCCGTGAGGATGTAACTGTTTTCGCCTTGTCGGGTATCGGCTCTCGGTGTACAGAGTACAGTATTGAAGTAGATATCGTCGGATTAGACTAAGACAATGGAAGACAAGATTGTGGAATCATGGAAGGGTCCAGGGAAGAAAAAACTGGGTTTCTTGAATTAATTTATATCTGCTTCTAGCGCTCAAGTTGCACAACAGAAAGAATTGGATTAATCAGACATCTTTCCATGGTTCTTTTTCCTATTCCATTCCATTCATTTGTAAGAGACGAAAGAAAAGTGCAAACAAAGTTAAAAATGGATTGATTACACGATCAACATGTATCGGATACCCCCTGTGTACTTGCCCCTCCATTAGTTTCACACCAAACCTGGGTGAATATCTTATGTATCTGACCGTATATTCATGATGGATGGTCCGAATGGCGCCGCCTCTTTTTGCCTGTCGTCATCCTTCAAAGCAAGGGCAAGAGAAGAGAAGAAGGTGAGACAACGGCCGAAGAATGCTTACAGTTACACTCAAAAGTCAATTCCCGCCTGTGTATCGTATCGTTGCAGTTGTGTCCGTGACAGGACCTTACTCAATATACCTAATTTGGCCTCCATGATAAACGTGTCACTCTCATTCTGCTTCCAGAAACGGTTTATCTCTGTTTTTCTTTCTCACTGTAACCTAATATCCGATTATTGTGCAGATGGCAGCTCTACATGGATACCTACCTACATCCAATATGCGCTTCTTACTGCAGCGACAAAGGTCCCTTCTTCCCTGTCATCATCGGTCCTGTGCCGTGCCCAAGCTTACAAAGACAACTTCTTCCAAGTATCTCTATCTTGTCGCGCAATGCGCGCGAATACAACCACGGCTTTGCGCCGGGCAGATGCGGTGTTCTCGGCGATAAGTGGAGGTCAGAACAGGGGTTTGTATGTATCTTCATCCATACGATCTGCGAGAATCAATCCACGAGAGAATGTGGAGGGACGGACTTGGTGAAGCGTATTGAACAAACTGGCTAGACCAGGTACTTGATGAGTTCATGCTTTGATCGGTGAGGCTCTGGCGCATCATGTGGTCGATGTCGTGATAGAAGTCTTTGCTCAGCTTCGGCTCTCGCTGTAAGCTGTATCTGACAAATTAGCCCCGCCAATTGCGATATGTATCAAGACTGCTGCGATGATAAACACATATTCTATAAGGTCGCAATCATCTCCGTGAAACTTTGCCCCTATCAAAACACAAAACCATCACAGGCCTTCATCTTTGGGACGTCGTCAAATAGAATCCACGACCGACTTCCCGTGCAAGGATGCACCTCTTGGTGTGAACAACCTCCGTTCCCGAGCTCTTTGGTGTGGCAGCATTCAACTGTGCAGCGTAATAGCAAGGAAGAATGAATGAATAAGCATGCAGTTTTTGTCGGTGTTCCCCTCCCCCGCAGAATTTCACAGTCGCAGTTCGCAGATCACCGAGGGGAAGAAGTCCTGCCAGAAAAGATAAGCCGTTCCTTGCAGCCCGTAGTGATTATGTATTATCCCGTGATTGTATGTGTCGTCACATTTGCCCCAAAATAGAGGTCAGTCAGCTAGCCTCATCAATACAGTAGACGATACAAATCGCTATTTTATGCCATTTGATTCACTAGACCCTTGAATTATAGCTTCAAAGTGTTTTTGAATTGATGTTGAGCTTCAGACAACCTTCCAAGGCTACCATGATACTGATTGATATGATGCCTTATCCACCATCTTTCTGCCTTAGCCGAACTGCTCCATCGCATCATCCATACTAAGGTAGACAGACATCCATATATGCAGCTTACATACTTTGCAGTGGGCTGACCTCTACCGTTAAAGTTAACAAGAGCCCCATAAGCCTCCGACATATCCTCACGCCCATCTACTGTACCAATTATGGTCATTATTACAATACCATCCTCGCGTATCCGTACATACGTTGATCTACCGGATCATCCATCAGCTTACATGTTCCATCCCAAGTAATCGGAATAACCAATCGCCGACGGCACAATGTTCTCACAATCTGACCGACACTACAGCCTTATTGGGCGACATCATTAACAGACGGCAGATCTCATGATACGATCGGACCACACAAAGTCCGACAAGAGCCCCTAAAAGTTGATTCCATGTCTCTGGGTGGACGAACGAACGAACGAACGAGTGTTTACGTTGCCTTGGGGATGTACTCGTCATAGGGGTCCCTCATATTCCAATTCAATTGACACAGCCTCAATCGATATAATTGATTTCAGCCAAAAGCAAAGTAAAAAACATGGAAATTTCGAACTTGAAGGATGCGCACTGTAATGTGTCGCCTAGATAGGGGTCCATGCGTAATCTTGAGTGTGTCCGCGTGAGTGAATGTCTCTGAGATGTCTCTCATACCACAGGGTCTTTACCGTCTCTTTAACTGTCTCTAACATGAACCCATTTTCCCTTTAGCAGGAGAGATGAAAGATTCTAGTATGGGCCGGTCTGATTCTTTTTTATCTTGTTCTCAGTCCACTTGCCTACGTGGTTTCCCTTTAGGCGAGGGAGATTACCATCAACAAAGCGTCAATCTTGCGGCTCCACTCATGTCATGACAGGCTCCAGGCCCGGCGCCGAAACCCACCGAACTCCCCACTGGACCACCGACTTGTCCGGCCCGCGATGAGATGAGACAGGCACAGCACAGCACATCACAGCACACGACAGCCCTGGCAGGTAGGCTACAGACTGCAGGGCGGGTAGGTCCCCGTCCGTCTATCCCTGTTTTCCTGTTGTGGCAGTGCAGCTTTCGTTCTTTCCATCCAAACCCACAGCTTCCATTCGCTAAATTCGAAGCCTTCCAGGCCTATAAACTGCTGGGGGGTTAGGTCGTCGCTCCACTGACTGCACGCCTAAGCTAGGTACCTAGGTCGGTGTCCTCCACCTCATTCAATGCTGGCTGCCCTGACTGAGCTGCAACTCTCCTGCCCTCATTTGCATTGGATCCCCATCACATTCGATCACAATACGCCCGATTCTCCTTCACCGCACTTGCTTCCAAGCGAAGCAACCACCACCTCACTTCACCTTACCTCAGCTCCTCCCGTCCTTCCTATCTGGAACTTTATCTCTTCACTTCTTCTTCAAGTAATCATCGTGCTCAACCACGATTGTCGCCTCTCTCGATCTTCAACACGCGTCATGGAATTCTAATCTTTATAATTCTCATCATATCTCTCCACAACTGCTTCTCCTTCTCCTTTACTCAAAGCCAGCCGCCATTGAGGTCCCCCCTGCCTCTACGGCCATGCTTCGATTTTGCTCACGATTCAGGGTCCTCTCCATATATTTTCCAGGAGCTTGTTGACAGTCGACACGTGAAAATCCTTTTCTGTTTCTCTCTTTTGCTTCAACTCCTTGTCATAATGCCGCCTCGTCGCTCTCACAAAAAGTCCCGTGCGGGCTGCCGTCGCTGTAAGAATAGGAAGATCAAGGTATGTCCTGTTGATTCTTTACTTATGCCGCCGCGCATCGTACCATATTGCACGTCTTTCATTTGGTCATGCTATACCAGCAATGGCTTGACTCGTCTGAGACTGTCTTATCGGCGCTTTTGCTGACTCAAAAATTCCTCTGGTTATAGTGCGACGAAGTTCATCCACGATGCGGCAACTGTGCCAAGCACGGTGTCCCTTGCGATTTCAGCAACCCCGACGTCCTCGAAGAACTTGCAATCTCTACCAACATCAGTACTGAGAGCGTTGGCGCACCTACTCCCTCGCCGGCGCCCACCGTCAACTTCAATTCCGCTCCAAGAACCCCATTAACACGCCCACGTGCCCCTTCAAGTCCAGCAAGAGCACCGAGACCAAACCCCTCTCCACCGACTTCCGTCTACTCCCAACCTTCGATCAGCTCGTCCACTCCTACTATAGACCATGGCGAACGAATGCTCGAGTTGCGTCTCATGCATCATTACACCAATGTCACTTCGAAAACGCTCCTGACTAATTCACCAGCCGCTGAGGATATCTGGCAGCGCGCCGTTCCGCAGATGGCTTTCTCTGGCAACGGCAAAACGTATCTCGCTGATGCCATCTTGTCTGTGGCAGCGCTCCATTTGCGTTCCATGTCTCCGAACGATAAGGCGTTGGTGCGAGCTTCTCATGCCTATTCGGCCTCTTCTCTTTCGGCCTTTGGTGCATCATTAGGTGCGGGAATTACACCCGAAAATGCAGAGGCTCTCTTCCTCACAGCAACGTTGATTGCTTTCCAAGCTAGCGCATCTCGTATTTTTGTCAAAGACGATGGGGATGCCGCTCCTGGAGACTCAGCAGGCCGATATGTGCCTCCGCTCTCTTGGTTCCATGCCTTCCAAGGTGTCAAGACGGTTGTCGCAAATTCCTGGCAGTGGATTCACCATAGCGATATCGTTAAAGTGGTCATTGACTCGCAGCCTGGTTTCCAGCTAAATCTCAACCCGCGCTCGCCTGACTCGTTCTTCGGTCATATGCTTGAAGGGTTAGCCGATGAGTTGGATAACGAAGACCCTCGCCTAGTTGCTTCAACTACTCAAGCTTACTCACACGCTGTCAGCGTACTTAATTGGGCGCATAAAAACTATCATGCAGCAGCAGCCCTTACCTTTCCCGCCACTGTCTCCAAACGATACGTCGATCTTGTTGATGCGAGACGGCCTCGGGCTCTTGCCATCCTCGCTTGCTTCTTTGCCTTGTTGAAACGCATGGACAACGTCTGGTGGCTGCAAGATGTTGCTCGTCGGGAGGTTATGGGACTCGTCAGCTTATTCGAGTCTGGATCGAAATGGTGGCGTCATCTTGAATGGCCAATAAGGATTGCCTTGTTAGACGGCAGTTCTATACCACAAGATATTTGGGGTACTGAATTGGAAGAACAAGCACCAGAGCAACAGAACGTTCTTGGCTCTATGACACAGCATATTGAGATGTTTGCTGAGATGCTGCATCAGCATACACAGCCACCCATTCCTATTGCCGACGAGGACCTCATCGTACCCGATTCCCCCGACTGAGGAAGGCCAGCAACTATGCATTGCTGTGATGGCGAGATATTGGGTTTGAGAGCTGGTCTCGAGGCCCTTTTCATTTTATCAGCAATCAGCAACCAGCTTGAGTATTGCGGTTGTGTGTGTGTGGACTTGATTCATTTGCAACACGATAGACAAGCGCAGCCGATTTTGCTCTACGCACTTTATGATTCATGACCATCTGCTTCATACAACGGACTAATACGGCTTGCACCGAAATGTCTTATGGTTGACTACCCCTACTTATGGGCTAGGTAACTGTTTTATGTGACTAGATTCAACCCTGCTGCTTGGTGCGCTGAAGCACCAAGCTGGAATGGCTTTGATTTCAGACATTGCCTGCCTGTTATTGATTGGACTCAGATTGGTGTACCTCTTCCCACGTTTTGGATTCTATGACCTGCCATGATTCGTATGAGTTGGAGGATAGAACCAGGTATGGGAAACAACTAGATAGATAAGCCCAAGCATACTGTCGTGCTTTTTGTGGCTATCTTAATCGTTAGAAAGGGCCAAGTAAATGAGCTCCCTTGGCATAATTAGTACATAATAATTCTTTATAGCAATAGATGAATCCGGTTCGGGGCTTTTCGTGCATGGTCCTTCGAGTAGAATAACGGCATATAGGGGCCGAATGAAGTTCATGAGATTTCCTAGAGGTAACTTTCCTTCACGCCAGATGCCGAGTAGATGTTGCGCAAGCAAGTTAGCGAGTGTTGGCGGATGCAATCACAGCAGAATACTAGCAAAGAATATAACAGTCCCTGTTGTTTGCGGAGCTTTGCCCATTAAATCAATTATTGTTATGGCCTCCCTAGGACCTTTTCCAAGACGCCCAACTCCGAGCCTGTAATGCGGTGTATCTACTACTGCTTTATTCTCTTGGTCTCCTCCTCCTTCTCTTCAACAACATCTGCCACATCCGCAGCATCCTTTCGACTTCGCTTCAGACCCTTCATCTTGCGGAGCTGCAACTCGCTAAGATCCTGCTTGCCCAAGTGTACGCGACCAATCTTGTCACCCATGGAATCAGTCGTGATATTCTTCTTGGTACGCTCTTCGAGGCCGCGGGGCTTCTTCAGGGCCTCCTTGAGCATCGACTCATCAGGCTCTCGGACACGACCAACTCGGAAGTCCATGCGAGGACCGATCTCCTCAACCTCGACACGTGGAAGACGCTGACCAGATCGCTTGGTGCTGATGGTGTAGACTCGCAGGTGGATCGCAGGCTTGACATCGCCGTCGCCAGTGCTGTCCTCAGCGCTGATGGAGATAATGTACTGGAGACCCTCAACGTCGATCTTGTCGCTGGGCTCACCTCTGAAGAAATCGGTAAGCATGCTCTTGGCGAGAGTGAATTCGTTGCTAACGGGGCTTTCGAAGGCGGTGCCAGCAAACAGAATCATAGGTCGCAGACCGATGGCGAACTTCTTCGTCTTGAACTGGGCAATGGTGCGGAAGCTCTCGGGGTCGAGGTAGAGCTCGAGCATATCAAGAACCTTGTAACCAAAGGTACGGACAAAGGTCATGGTGTGGGGGCGCTTCTTTTGGCTGCTGCCGAAGACGAGAAGAGAAGCGTCGTTCTTCTCGGAGAAAAACTCGAGCGAAGTGGCATCGTCAAAAGGGTGGATGGCGTTCTTCTTAGTGAACTTCTTGGCCAGAGGCTGGCGCATCTGGTGAAGGTCGTTAAGGGCATCCTGGACAATCTGAGAGCATGATGTTCCGCGAAGGAAGAGGCATGTCTTGGGGTTCTCGTTGGCCTTGGGCTCGCGCTTCTCGAGCGCACGCTTTGAACGCGCATTGCGAGGTTTACTTTATGTACGTTAGTATATCAAAGAGAGAATTATTTTCAAGAATCGATTGGACATACACTTGTCGGAGCATCTTGGTGGGGTTTGATAGATGTACCGTGTGATATTGGTGATGATGCTTCAATCGGGACGGAGGTTGGCTAAAGACTTTGGAAGGAGCGCAAAGGAAAAAAAATATTCTTATCGATAAAGCATGCGCCGCTCACCGTTCACCGAGAGGCAGTAAGGTCCCTTTTCGGTGAGATAGGAAACCCCTGTTGTTTGGCTCGCCCATCCACCCCGCAGTCACGTGCACTGCCACTTCTCCCACATCGGCAAGTGCTACCGATGAAGGCAAGGACGGCGGAGCCTCGGTATTTTCCCCGCCATAGCGCGGGCGTCTTGTCGGGTTTCGCTAGTTCATGGTTGCAGTTCGACAATCTTCCACCTGTAAACTACGCCTCCTCACGGTTATCTCTCCTGTATCAATAAAGCAAAGACCTCATCATCAACCTGAAAGCCTCGTCATCTCTGATATTGCTCCAATATATCCGAATATTTAGGAACAACTACATATACCGCTAATCATCATGTCGTTTATGGGTGGCGCTGAATGTTCGACATCTGGGAACCCGCTTAGCCAGCTTCACAAGCATACTCAGAATGACAGAACCCTTCAGCAAGACCGCCTCGTCGGTCGGGGTCCTGGTGGACAACTCAATGGTTTCCGCAGTCAAAGCGCGAATGCGCCTCAAGACGAGGTATGCTCATGAGTAAGGCTGCTGAACATATTACTAATACGTATACCTTGATGCCATAGATGATGAATGGCTTTCTCAACCAGGGCCCGAGCCTTCAACAAGAATTCCCTATGCAGCCGGGCCAGATGGGCCCTCTCAACCCAGCCCAATCCCATATGCGAGCTAACTCTGCGTCGCCAACATGGGCGCATGACTTCAATGGCCAGCCAGCAATGGAATCAGCTTTCCAACCGCCCGCTGGCGCGCAGTCACACTTTAACGCTGACGAGTTTGCCCGTTTCCAGCAGCTTAACACACAAGGTTCCTCTGCCAGAGCAAGCCCGATGCAAAGCAACGCCCCTAATCAGATGAACCAACAACGACCTATGATGGGCGGTATGATGAACCGATCGATGGGTATGGGCTATAGCCCCATGTTCCAACCCATGTACCAAAACCAGCAGCCCATGCATCAACACCAACCACAGCAGCAGGACGCCAAGGGCAAGGGCCGGCTCGTGGAACTCGACGACCATAAGTGGGAGGAGCAGTTCGCCTCGATGGAACTCCAAGACAATACTAAGGAACAAGAAGAGGCGAATGTCGCAGAGCGCGAGCTTAACGAGATGGATAAGGGCTTAACATCTGAGATCAACGAGTATGGTGACTTTGAATCTATCTGGAAAGGAATACAAGCTGAGACCGCTCCTAGACAAGACTTTGACCAGTTCGACAGCGAATGGAACAACAACATGATGCCCGACTTCGAGGGTATGGGCGACTGGGGCCGCCTCGGCGATCCAGCTGTCGAAACATATCTGTTTGAACAGGATAACTTCTTCCGCGACGAAAAGAACGCTTTTGAGGAGGGTGTGCGCATTATGAGGGAGGGCGGGAACCTTTCCCTCGCTGCTTTGGCTTTCGAGTCTGCCGTTCAACAGAACCCCGATCATACCGAGGCATGGGTTTACTTGGGAACGGCCCAAGCACAGAACGAGAAGGAGACGGCGGCTATCCGGGCTCTTGAGCAAGCGCTCAAACAGGACCCTAACAACCTAGCAGCGTTGATGGGCTTGGCTGTATCATATACCAACGAAGGTTACGACAGCACCGCATATCGAACCCTCGAACGATGGTTGTCGGTCAAGTATCCTAATATTCTCGACCCCAAGGACCTGCACCCTCCTGCAGAAATGGGTTTTACAGACCGTCAACAGCTGCATGACAAGGTTACAAATCTCTTCATCAAGGCCGCACAGCTGAGCCCTGACGGTGAGCATATGGATCCTGACGTGCAAGTTGGTCTTGGAGTTCTTTTCTACGGCGCAGAGGACTACGATAAGGCAGTTGACTGCTTCCAGTCAGCCCTACATTCATCGGAGGTTGGTACCTCCAACCAGCAAGAGCAGCTGCATCTCCTCTGGAACCGCCTTGGCGCTACCCTCGCCAACAGTGGACGTTCCGAGGAGGCCATTGCGGCATACCAAGAGGCGCTCGCCATGGCCCCCAACTTTGTACGTGCTCGTTACAACTTGGGTGTCAGCTGCATCAACATCCACTGCCACCATGAAGCTGCCTGCCACTTCCTAGCCGCCCTGGAGATGCACAAGGCCATCGAGAAGTCCGGTCGGAGCAAAGCATACGAGATTCTTGGCGATAACGCTTCTGGGGTCGATGAGACACTTGACCGTATGTCAGCGCAGAACAGAAGCAGCACCCTATACGACACCCTGAGGCGTGTCTTTACACAGATGGGTCGGCGGGATCTGGCGGAAAAGACCGTTGCGGGTGTAGATCCAGACGTGTTCAGACCAGAGTTTGAGTTTTAAGGCTGCGGGATTCCCATCTCAAATGAAATGACTTACATGATGAAGCGGTCTGCATAGCGGAAGATAAGAGAGATAGTTATGATGTTTTGACAGCGGGTAATATCTATCCGAGTTGGTCTAGATGTTGCACATAAAAGGCATGCATAAGCTTGGGACAATATCTTATAGCGCATATGTTTCGTCCTTGGAGCAACAATGTCATATTGCATATAACAGTCTCTAAAGTCCATCACCATACATGCGTGTCTGAATGGCAACGCCATCTAAAATTATATCTTGATGCATTTACATCGAAGCCCCGTCTTCCTCTACTGTGTCAACAAGCGGTCACCGCTGCGTGTAACTGTAACATTCTCATATGTAAGGGGGGCCGCTTGGTGTATCCTTCTTGATATATCAGTCAGTCTTTTCAGTCTGTATTGCCTGCAGATGCCACAGTAACAGACAACCATGCTATTCTGGTTTCCGTCCTTCTTTCTCTCTTTTTTTTCTTCTCTTTTTTCAGGACGACTTGTCTTGGCTCCGGCCCTAGGAGAAGACCGAACAAGAGGCATGCAGTCTAAACCGTTACCATCGCGGAAGCGAAACTGGCGCCAACGGATCGAACCCTTGAGGCTTAAATCATTGACTAACTTAGCATGCAGCTTTTAATTAGTGATAAACAAGTGTTGAAAAAAAGGAAAAGTGCTTTCTCCGGCCATTTTCACCTCAACAAAACCCACTCTTCTACGGCGTCGGCGATTCAATGAGGCTTGTTCGCCTGATCTCTTATGACTCGCAAATTGGTGATGCTTGAGCGTCTAGGCCCTCAGCTGTTTAACGTTAGCTGAGAGACGGTTTCATCTCAATTGACGGCAGCGCCAAATTATCGTCGACGTAAGTTTCGAGGACACTGGCAATGCGGATTTGTCCGAACCACTGACGCGTCTCGGAGCAGTCTTTTTCCCGGGGTGCTTCGCCGATGGACATGATGATCTGCCTCAACTTGCGCATGCTAGAGTGTGAGTGACATATCGCTATCCTTAATCTCCTCGTTATTTCCAATGAACTCTCATCTCCACTTACACCATTAGACCATCTCGTCTCATCTCATCTGCTGCTTTGCCACGCCGAGCTGCCGACGTAGTGTGGAGGTTGAGTAGGTTTCCGACGTAGCGATCTTTCGGGTATCTTGAGATCACTGATGACTAGCTGGACAGTTCCAGCCTCCAGGGCCGGGCAGGCCATGCTATTACGGGTAAAGTGCACCGTCGAATGCATGTCTCTCCCAAAAGAGACTCAAGCCATGCAGCCGCTACAGAAAACCCCGTACCGTGCGGTACGCAAGCTATTGGATTTCCTCCCCGAGGTGGGGAGACGGGTCTGAGATATGCAAGGGGAAGGTAAGTTGCGATAAAAGATGGCCAACAGCTAAATTCCAAGATATTGAAAGAAAAGCAAAACACAACAAAGGAATGAGACATGGAGTCGGTGACATCGTTTTCTCAGGCACTTGACTGACGTGATTGGGTTGGGCAAAAGACCGATATAGGACTGCTATAACTGGTGAGGGGTGTACTCCATAATCAAGTTAATTTGATGATGCATGTCGTCAAACCGTGATGCCATACCGTGCTATGCTTTATTGGAGGAGGGTGCCATGTTCTTGGCCAGATCCTGCAGAGTTGTCATTCTCCATACCCTCATGCAGGCGTCCATAAAATGAACCATCCGATTCGCTTGGTCTTGGCCCGAAAAGTAAGGTCGGGTGTGTCTCGAGTCTTGAGCAGACAAAACATCAGGCCATGTTGCCATTCTCTATGGATATAATATTTGTGGGTGTTGAAAGAAGTGGTGGTAGAAAACATGATTTCCTAAACAAATATATCAATAATAGGAACAGAGGGCGCTGAGCGATGGATTCGGGGACCATGAGCTCAATACAAGTGAGTGCTTGATCGGGACAGAGAAGTACGGTACCCTGATTCCTGAGACAACTTTATACTGTGTAGTACGTCGTCTTGTTGCTAGACCCGAGCAGCAACAAGGTGGGTGATGAGGATCCATGTGTTCGTCAATGTACTGGAGTTGTTTTCCTATTTGATCGACGATTTCACCGATGAGTGCCGCATAGCAATCCAAACATCTACCGACGGATGAGGCGCTCATCCTAAAATAGTCAACGATAGGCAAGATCATTTCTGTACCGCCGGCGCACTCAACTTAGAATGAGGAGCTCCATGAACCCGTCGGCATAACAGGACTGTAGTGAAGCTGAAGAGTGCATATGTGTGTCTCGGACTCTCCAAATCAAACTCAATCAGCCGTCAGGTAAAATATTGATACGATGCCGGTTTAGCTGGAGTACCCTGGTTGTCTAATTCAGCACTGTGAGAATTATATCAGTTAGGATACGATATCCTGTCAATCATTGGTCGTCAATCTCCGTCGTTCCCAATCGACCGAAAGTCGTCGGACTGCTACTCAAAAAGACTTCGTTCAAGAGTATTACGAGACGGTCCCAGTCTTCTTCGAAGTGAATGTTTTTCGAGTGCAGGTACAATGAGCTGCATCAATGTGAATTTTCGAAACCTGCAGTGTGGCATACTGTGAGCTATCCATTAGTTCAACCTTGTCGGCTAACAGTACTTACTTTGACTTTCTTGAGATCGCTGGGTTTTACCAAACGGTTGGGTCTAAAATACAACCTTGTTCGATCCACAACTATGAACCTACTATGTATAGTCCCACGTCAACAAAATCAGAGTTCGGTTGTAAAGGCCGACTCCCCGCTATGGATGAGGATACTGTATTGATGAAGGCTAACTGGTGGACAATAATCGAGGGGGCTGCTTCTCATCTGACATGTATCAATTAGGTCCATACGGGTACGCAGAGCTGAACATACCAATGTCTCAACTTCCCCAGCTTGAACATACAGTACCGTGGCAGCGGTGACTTTCTCATCATCCTGCCGCCATGCTGCCACTGCCACATACGTACAAGACCAGCAGTCGGATTGCAGATAAGATTGCTGTATCGCCTTCCAGTACAAACATCAATTCGTCTTGGTTCGGTGACGCGGTGTGTGACCAGTAGCAAGCGAGTTGGCGTGATAATGTATGACTGTATCACTGCAGTCAAGCCAAACAAGCGCGGTATGTCAGTCATCGCAATTACAGTGCCGGCACTTGCTGTAGCACCAGGCCTCCAGCATGGATTGCTTCCATGACAAGAGCACCATCGAGATTTATCTTTTAGGTGTATAGATTCTGTTTCTAACGGGTCTGTCAGCCTTTGTGAATTGCATTACCTATGACGACGAATAAGTTTCAACAAGTTCTCAGTTAGCAACGTACATCTTTACCTCTATGACATCTGCAGATAGGTAGATAATACAAGCTCAGTACGTGCATAACATCAAGAGAGCCGGGCATCTCCCAATTGACAGCGCCAATCGTATATGACATGTCGCACCAAGGGAACCGCCAAGTATCGGCGGCCCTCAGCTTGGTCTAATGGTGCAAGGGATGGAATAAAAACAGTAGTGACTCTCAAGAGATCGGATTCTGGATGACATCAAGCTGATATGGCGCTTTTTGTGATTGGTATACCGAGTTGACCGTATCATCAAGGACATGCACAATCCACACTCGGCTTGATCATAAAGACGACCACCCTATGGTAAGAAGTGCCGCGGGATTGCACAGAAACATAGTTTCTACATCAATACCCTGCAGCCACGAGCCAACGGGAAATAGGAGCAGTGATCGGCGTTTTCTCTTAGCGGTAAATTGAAGAAACGATAGCAAGGATCTTCAGGAGAAACCCCGCGAAAGGAGAAACAAGCCGGGCATATGGTAGGCCTTTTGAATTCGAGTTTGGTGTGGAAACCCGCAGGAAGGGATCTTTGTTTGACACTCAAGTATCCGTACACTATCGTATCATCGACTTGGCTGTACTACGTTGCAGCGGGTAGCACCTTGCTTCTTCGCACGTGCGACTCTTTGTCCATAACGCGAGGCATCTGAGTTCGGTACGTCTAGGTTCAAGTACGCTCGCGTGGCAGGACCACCTAGATGAGTTGTTTATTTAGTTTGCTAGCAGACTTGATATTGCCATACAATATGGGAATTGAGCGAAAGACAGGCAGTCTGCTGTAGGTAGAGGTAGTTTCATCAAGGCAGGTACAGAAGTACTTTGGGATAGAGGCGCCGAGGCATGGTCAGGCTGAGGCGGCAAGGTGCATGGGCTGAATTTCTGGCGCAAGGAATCCCCTCTCAGGCCGAGGCAAAGCCTGCCCGGCGAAAAGGGACTGCGAAGTATAAAATCGATATCAGGCTTAGTATATGGAGGCTAGGAGGTTAGTTGACAGGGACAAGATGTGGTAATAGCGGTTAAGCTACGAATACAAGACCGGCAGGTACAGGTAGGTGCACTTACCTTGGTTAGTAGGTAGGTAATTGAAATGTTTTTGGTTGGCCGTACCTTCCTTGCAATTCATTTCATGTCATCGAAGGAAGCTCTAGCCAGTGACCTTCCTACTCACAGGAGCACTTGAACAGTAAGGTGCTTTAGTAGGTAGGAACAACTCTGCTCCATGGCTGATTTCCCAATCAATTTTGATATTTCCTGTTTACATGATACTTTTCTCAACGCGCGATCAGTGTCTTTCTCAGTTGCGCACTCAAGCACCGTATCGCATCACCCTTGTCAATTGGCCCGGCTAGCTCATCAAGATCAACGCCCCTAAATCCTAAATCGTACTGGTCCCCCAGGGCGGCTAGATCTTGGGTGCGCCGCCTAGCCACACCCCACGCACTCACCGCACGTGTCTGTCGGCAACGCAGACTCTGCAGGCGTTTGTTGGTAGACACAAGTAGCAAAGATTGACGAGGTCTCCCGCCTACACAATTCCAGCCGATTGTTTCAAAGTGGTAACGTCTGGGAAATTCGAGCATGACAAGTACTGTGCGCATCTACAGTATACGAACGCCTTTAACCGCTTCACTAGGGACTGTACAGTACTGCATTGTACCTACCTACCTGGGAAAGATGTGGCCAAGCCCGATGGGATCTACAAGGTTCGGCGTACCTGGGCTACTTGGTCTGCCACATGGCACTACGCAAGGCAAGTTCTGGAGCACACTACCCTAGAGCTGCACGTCAAGACGCACTTTGAACCAGGCAAGAAGCAGAGGATGAGGATGTCCTATCATAGTTAGGTATCATCTACGACACTGGGCAAAGACTTATTGGTGGACCAACCGATCTGCGGCACAGTCTGCTCTGAAAGATGGTTCTCACGTGGCTGCGGAAGATCGCGCGCATGTGGTGCTGGGATGCTGGACGCTTCGCTCCTAGTTCACCCTACAAGGGGGGGTTTAGCTTTGGGGGCGAGGCGAGAGAAAGAGACAACGACCCAGTCCCGTTGAAGCTAGAAGACATGGGCCCTTGAGAGTTGAGACCCTGGTCACTGTAACACGGGCCTCGAGAACAGCATGGCTTCTGATGGGGTCGTGGGCGCACTAGTCACGGCGCACGAGACGCCCTGGCTTGGTGTAAGCCATCCCCTCACAAGATTGACAGTTCTGTCCATGGACTGGTTGACTGGCGAGCATCCCGCAGCATCGCACGGCAGACCCCGGAAAATCATTCGCCATTGCTTCAGATTAAAGAGAATCGATATTATTGCACACGCAGATTTTCGTCCTGGGTACGAGCTCAACACATTGAAAAGACTAGCCTTCAGATGACCTAAATAACCTCTTTCCCGCAACAATGTGGAATTTTGGTTGGAAATCAGATTCTGTCAAGTTCTGCATAGGCAGTCATTGTCTTCCCTTATTATTATGCACGTGGACAGTCTCCCTAGAGTGCTGACAGTCAATAGCGGGCACCAACTGGCATGTGGATGACCGCATTCTGCGTTGTGGCCGGCATATAAGGTGCCGGTACATCAATGTTCTGTGCCAGCAACAGAAGACCCCAGGCTCAATATCATTACGATTTAGCACACTACGCTCCCCCAATGACAAATCAAGCTTTCAGAGCTTCAAGGTTCTTGCTGCTTTTACAGTACTGTCCCGTACAATGCCAAGTAGGCTTTGACAGGCCATACTTACTACTAGGCAAATGATTGTTATTTCAGACATGTTTCTGTGCATGTCTGGACAGAGCAGAGGCCTGGGCTGATGTGTTTAGCTTTCACTTGAGATTAAGCAACCATCATCACGTCTTTAGTGGGTAACGGATGCTGCACATACTGATATATGCTGCACCCAGGCCTGAGGCTCAGCAACCACATGGCGTCCAATTCTAGTTACGCCTCCACTATCCCCAAGCTCTCCGCACCTCCATGACTTTGGATAATGGAAAAAACAAGGTTTTCGGGAGTCCCAGAAAGGGGACGAAGAGAAGAGATACTGGAGTCCTGAAGTGAAAGGTGGCTTCTGACGCTGCCAGATGGACCACTCAGCGATTTACACCCCTACTGTAGTAAGGCTTTGCAACATTACACTCCCCACGATAGTGACTACCTAGTATTCCATTATTAGATGTACTGTACTCTACTTGCCCACATGGACCGAGGAGTTGGTGGGGGCTACAGACTCCACAAGTAAACTATACCTGGTACCGCGACTTGTACGAAATCTCTAGCTCGGAGCCTTAAAACGCTTTTCCAGATTCGCTCCGTTAGATGTGCAGAGTTGTCCGAATGCCTCGGTGAATGGTTAATACAATTGTGGGCAAGTAAAAAGACAAAGACCGATTCCAAGTACACAGGTCACATATTATCCCCGCATTGCTTATGATGGTAAACGACTCGTCAAGTCGAGCTGTTCATAAGGTTGCCAACATATATGACGCCCCCTGAACACGGCACGAGGTTTGGTGTACAGCTTACGCAAGTACCTGTACGTACCTCTCGCTCGAACAAGGATTACAGGATGACTTTTAAGTGCCGTAGCAGCATTTGAAAACATCGAAGAGCCTACAGTACTGTAGATGCTGGCCAGACCTAGTTTGAACGAAACCTAGTGGAGGTAAGGCCACGGCCGGCCACTGGTTTGTCCTGTCCAGACCTGCCTCAGATGAGCCGTCGGTCCCCTGCTTTGGGGCTTACTTTAAGCGGTGCCTACTGTATGCAATTGCAGGGGATCATTTCAGCGTGCTACAATCCATAGGATGGAGGTTTCGAGACATGGAGTCTGTCTACCATGTGTGTTCAAGTGTTGAGAAAACGAGGCTTGGACGCAAGTCATTCCAATATTTCTGGTTTCCGGTCGAGATGACCCCTGTTTCCTGTCAAGTTGAATAAGAATACACTTGCTTTCCTTTCTCAGTCACTGTTGGATTGAGTTATTGTTTGCTTGTAAGACCTTTCAATTAGTGATTTTCTTAGTTAGTTTGTAGTTTAGTCCAGCCTCCATCTCTGGGCTTAGGTTCCTTACTCACTCGCCCCAGTTAGGCACTATAAGGTAGTACCTAACCTAGGGTCCTGTACTGTACTGTCCATCCTGTCCCGCTACAGCCCACCCAAGTCTCGAGTACATACATACACACCTCCACGGGCTGCTAGGTTCAGTATTTACCTTGCCTTGCCTTGCGTACATGTACAGTAAGGTAGGTTGGTAGTATTGGAGCGGGCAGGTTTGCTGCTGGGCTGTCTTCCCCGGGCTCTCTCTTCCTTGTACAGTACCTAGTGCCATCCCCCCCGTCTGTCACTTTCGCCAGGGTCAGTCTCATGTGCACTTTTCCCTCTTCAATTCCACTTTCTTTCCTTTCATTCACAAATTTACCATATCCACGTATTGATCGCATCGCTTCTCACACTATCGACGCTCCCTTTCCCAATCTATCTCCAGGGCTAATGCTCTGACACGCCCGTAATTCTTCGTTTCGAAAGTAGTCGACTTCTGTCGCGTCTATCCTGTCGGCTTCGAGACCAATTCAAGTCCAGTCCAGTCCAGTCCAGTCCAGTCCAGTCAAGTTCAACCTAATTGCAACTTGCACTCTGTCTTGTTGCACCTACGCCTCTTGCCTGGTTCCTGCGACTGTACTCCAATACCGGCTTCGCCGTTAAGCGCAAACAATCGAATTGTGTCATCCTCGCCGTTTGTCGGGTTATCGTTTCTCAGGGGACTTTTTGGGGACTCAGCTGTAACTTATCGGCTGGACTCGACTAGGTTGTGTACGCGACATCCTCGATATCGATTGATTTCTCAACAACCATGGACGCCCACAACCAGCAGCGCTTACCTCCCAAGGCGGCTGGCCTCAACAACATCCTCAACAGCGAACACGCTCCAGGTCCTATCCAGAACGGTACTCCCCACATGCGAGATTCGGGCTTCTATTCCAACGGGGACGCCTCCAGTAAGCGTACGCTGCTCGTTGTCACCGATTATAACACCTGCGTTCTGCCGCTGACCTGATTTATCCAGACACATCTGCAGCATCTTTCAATGTAAATGGTCTCAGCCCAGCTGGTTCCAGCTATCCATCTTCGTCGCACGAAAAGACACCTTCACCGATCGCTGCCAACATGGTTCCCCAAACAGCTGTATCGCCCTCGACAACCAACATGAGCGTCGCCGCCATGGTATCCCCCAACACAACAGGCGGCCTTGATCCACGCCGTGATCGGCCCATATCAATCGAGTCCAGCGGCACCGGCCATACGATGGGCGAAACTTTGGCACCTGGAATGGCGGCACTAAGGCGAGAAAGCGTTGATAGTCGCATGAACCAAACCTTCAGTGATCTGCGCCTTAACAACTCCCCCTACGCATCCAACAACCACTCGACGACCTCGATTCAAAACACCCTTCACAGTCAACGGAACCCCCACCATCTTTCGGCCCATCGAATTTCCAATGGCTACCAACCAAGCGCAGAACGGAATCCTGATAACAAGACCGTCAAGACAGCACCTGCTATTACTGGACCTGCGACTGGGCACATTGCTCGAGCGGCAGAGCCTACCAAGGGTCAGGCATGGGCTTTCCCTGAAGAAGAGATCCAACGAGTTGGTGGCGCACCCACGTACACTGACTCAAGGCGCAGCAGCATTACAGAGTCAATTGCGAGCAGCCAGTTCACGACCGAGTCGCGCCTCCCGGCCGGTCAACTGAGGCTCGAGACCGACTATTCCCGCATGTCTAGTGCCCCGGACTTCCCACCTGTCCATCACCACTCTATGCAACACAAGCAATTGAGTGATCTCCAGGCTGAGGAAGGCAATGGGCCCACAGGGTCACAGCCGTATAGCAGAACACCGGAGTTGAGGGTCAGCCACAAACTCGCCGAGCGCAAGAGGAGAACCGAAATGAAGGAGTTGTTCGACCAACTCCGTGACCTTATGCCCCAAGAGCGAGGCTCAAAGGCTTCCAAATGGGAAATTCTGACGAAAGGTACGCATACAAGCCCAAGGACAAATGCGGCTACTAACCTAGGTATTAGCCATCGCCGAGCATCAAAAGCAGCACGAACATATCAGAGTGCTCACAACTCACTACAACAGCGCTGCTGCAGAAGTCGAAATACTTCGCGGTGAGATGAGTAGGCTAGTCGAGGAGAATCGCCAGCTCAGAGGATCTTCATCTTCAGCACCAACGCCATCCTCAAGACCTGCGTCTACAACTTATCAAGGGGATCATTATGCCACTCCTAACCGACCAGAGCTGCCACCTATCCGCTCACTGAGCAACAACGTGGCCAATGGTCCAGACTCAATGACTGGTGTCCAGTACGACAACCCTCAAAGTAATGGGTACCGGCAAGAGCGATACTAGAGCTCCTGAAGCTGTGTTCTCCGCCATCTTTTCCAATTTATTGGAGCCCATTTAATGAATGAATGACGGCAAAAAAGTTATGACAAGCGAGGGTGATGCAGCCTTGCGGTTACAATTCTGAAGAGCACAGAACTGGGCGCTACCATCTTGAGTATCGTGTCAGCGACACTCGGGGCCATCAGCTCACTGGAACCATTAGACTTGCTTTGTTTTATTGTTTGATTTATTTCTCAAATGCACCAGTACGGCGAACAGCCCGGGGACTGGTTTTTTTTTTCTTGTGTCGACTTGTTCAGTGTTTGGTCCAAAACCCAACCATGGGCCTACTACATTCTAGGGACGGAGATATTAGGAGTTATCTGTTTCCTTTTCTTTTTGGGCTGTACAGGCTACTTAATGGTATAGGTATCCACGGTAGGGTTGGGAAGATACAGGTACGGGTTGGAAGGGTCGGTCTCGGATTTTGAACCTAAAAAAAGAAAGGGGACATGGGAATAGGAGGGTGGCGACGGCGTGAGGATGGTTGGTGTAAGGCGTTTATACCCACTTAGCAAAGGCAGCAGAGTAGAGCAAAGGGGATGATAGTAAAGAAGAGATTACAACGTGATGTGTTGTATTAGCCTGAGAGCGATAATGGAAGCGAGAATCAGTGTAACTCAGGCATGTCATGTGCGGATGTAAAAATGAGTGATCCATTGTGATTTGAACCAAGCTTATTATTTTAAACTGATAGTCTACAAAGTCAAGTATGGATGGAGGTAAGTATCCTGCGCCTTTATATCGAGTTGTATCAGACAAAGATAGATTACAGTACTGTGTAGTCTATGTGCCAAGGAGGGGAGGATCCATTTGTGATGCAAGGCTTTGATGAAACAAACTGATCTGATAAGATAAAGAATAGTCTAAATGCCATTCTGATATACCCAAGATGGGATGAATATTAATCATTCCCGGAAGGTACAAAGTCGGAGCCGGGCGATCAACTGAGGTCGGGCGGAGTCGGAGTTGCGGAGTTGCGGAGTTGCGGAGTTTCCCAAGGCCCCGCAAAGGAAAAGTCCCCGATTTGGCCTGTCAAACGAGACGACAAGGCAAGTGCTTACGGAGACGTACCTGCCTCACCTCGTAGTGTAAGCCGGAGGTCCAACTTCATTATTAGACTACCTACATTTCAGGCAGGATCTGGATAGCTCTCTCCCTACTTCTTTCTCCGACATTGTCAAGTCCGCTCCCCTTCCCCATTCCTCAACCTTCATCCTCTCATAGACCCTCTTACACACTACATACATATATACCATGGAATCATTCAGCCCACTTGCTGCGCGCAAGATGGACAGGGCAGCTGCTTCAAGACAGAAGAGCTGTAACGCCTGCGTGAGAGGCAAGCGCAAGTGCGACAAGAAAACGCCCCGGTGCACTCGCTGTGCGGCAAAGGGCCTTGACTGCGTCTACCAGAGGTTACCGCCAGGAGCGAACTTCCACGACGACGATTTATGCATCACGGATTCTTTAAACGACGTTCCTGACTTTGATATGGGCTTTGATATCAACAACCTAGGAGGAACAACAACAACAGACTCTAGCGTCAGCAACACTACACCGGATAGCCTGAGCAGAACCACCACCTCATCCATAGAGCTCGATTCTCCTCTCGACTTCTCCATCATCGACCATCTCATGGCTAACGATACTTCGGTCGGCTCCGAGCTGTGGAGTCTGGGCGACTATGGCAGTAACAAGCTGAACATACCGTCTATACCATCTATGCCCACAACACAGGTCGTTCTCCGTGATACAGCTATCCTGGATAACATGGAGCCCTGTATGGGTGAAGTCAACCCCTTGGATGTGTATGATCCTCGCTCGCGAGTGGGTTACACCGTTGATGCTATCACGAACCTGTATCGCGACTTCGCAAAGACCCGCCGTCTTCCCTTCATCCACCCTCGCTTCTATGGTTCCAACCTACCAAAGACGCTACTAGCAGCCTTCTCAGCGGCATCTGCGTACTCTGCCCGCACTCCCGAGAATAAAGGATGGGTATTTAAGCTCATCGCCGACATGGCCAAGGACATCCACCGCGAAGGCGAGTGCGCTTCGACACCGGGAGAAAAGTTGGCGAGGGTTCAGGCCTTGGTCGTGTTGGATTCTATTCGCATGTTTGACGGTGATGTGACGATGAGGGCGACGAGTGAGCGTGAGCTGCCGCAGTTCATGGCTTGGATGTTCGCACTTAAGGAGATCGAGGAAGAGCTGAAATTCGGGGATGAACCGGCTGCTACCATGTTAAAGGGGCCGCCTCCACAAAGCTGGGAGGTAAGTTGTTGGGCGGAGTATGTCAAGATCTTTAACTTACTAATGTTTGCAAAGGCTTGGTTGCTCGCTGAGAGTATACGACGAACCATCGTTATGGCTTTTGCTTTCGTATGCGTGACCAGTATACTAAAGTCGAACGAACGTATGTCAGCCACGTGTCCTATCTATGCAATGCAGTACGATGTATAACTAACTCCTTTTTTACAGCTCCTTGCGATATCATGGCACCAAACTTTCAGTTCACCGCCTCGAAATATCTTTGGGAGGCGGACTCCTCGATAGCCTTCTTCCGCGCGTGGCAAACAAAGCCCCAATTCCCGGTCCGAAACCTTGATTTTAAGGGTATCTGGATGCACGCGCGGCCGGAAGATGTTGATGAGTTTACAAAGTTAATGCTTACTGCGTGAGTAACGTTGCATTCTTTGTCAACGCAGACTGTGGCTAACCTTCGAATAGACAAATGGGTCCTGAAGCCATGGACCACTTCATGGTTGGCCATGTGTGCTAAGGTTTACGATTGACGAGACTGATTTGACTCAAGTATCTGATACTGCATGGGCCTTTGATATTATGAGATCACTCGTATGAGTTTAGCAGGCGTTTTCACGATATTACGGATTTAGGTTCAAGGGACAAATTGACTACTGAGATCTGATACTATAGGGATACAATAATGAGAGGATTCGAGACATTTGCGTCGAAACTACTGGCTGATAATCACTTTGTCCTCACATATCGCTCTCGGCGACTCTCCAGACCAATCTCTCGCCACTGACCTCCTTGTTTCTCAAGATATCAACTGCTTTTTGCGCCCTTTCGACAGCTGATGAACCCTCTACTACGCGGTACCTGTTAGGCTTGATAATGCCATCCTTGAGGAGTTGAGGTACGACCTCTGGCTGCAACCTTTCCCCGAAGAACTCATTCTGCCATATGTTAGAGAGGTACTTGCATGAAATATTTGGGAGCAGCTTACTGAAAGATAGAAATGAGTGCGGACACCTCGGACTTCGACCCCATCAGCCCATTCTCCAATCAAAACCTTGGAGACATCCATCTCATACTCCGGCTCCTCTTCCACCGTAGCGTCTTTGAGGATGACAGGTAGCATGACTGCCACGATGCTGCCAGGCTGAGCAATCCTTGTTAGAGGTTTGAGAGTACCATCAAGCGACCCGATACAGTCGATGATGTACGGCAATTTGGGTTCTGGCTTGTTCTCAATCGAGTTGAGAACCTGCTCAACGACACCGGCCCTGCGGTAGTCGAAAGTCTGGGTTGCGCCTATGCTTCGAAGGTAGTCATGCTGCTTCTCACTGGCTACAGCAATGAGATTCTTGAAACCCCAGTGCTTGAGAACTTGGAGCGCATATATGCCCACGCTGCTGGAAGCACCCCAGATGAGGACGGGACTGTCCGCTTCCTTGGGAGTGTAATTCTCTGGCACAGGCCAAGGAAGCTCCAATTTCAGATCTGCAGTAACAGTATGAAATACTGTGACCAGATTCACTGAGACTGTCACAGCTTCTTGGTATGAAATGCCGCCTGGGATCTTGGATACAAGATATGCAGGAATGGTGATGTACTCCTGATGATTCGCTTCCTTTCCCCCATGAAAAGCAAAGGCAACAACGCGATCACCGACATCCAACCCCTTTAGATCACCACCATCTCCAACAGCGACTACTTTTCCAGCAGCGCCGCCACTGCCCATCTGAGATGGGTACTCGGGGATGAGAAGACCTCCATCAGCACGGTGAAGGTCGAGAGGCGTTGATGAAGTCCAGGCGACGCGGACGAGGACTTCTCCTGGGGCCGGAGGATGAACGGAGACGGTTTGTGAGGTGAAAGGCTTGCGCTTTGCAGGGAGGACTACAGCCTGTTGAGTTGAAGGGATGGAAGCAGACAAAGAAGACATGGTGAAGATGTACTGTGTGGTATGCAAGTAAGACTGCGATTAGATTGATGATATGCTAACATCTAGTGATTGAATACATCTATATATACGTTTCCTGCTGGTATTATTCATAGTCTGTGATATGTAAAGTTGAATCCCATGTTCTGTATTGTTAGCTTGAATTTGTAATCTGGAACTCCGTGGAGCAGCTGTCCCCACTCATCATGATGAACCATGATAGCATCTACAAAAGGAAATTCTGTGGATCAATGCTTCCGATTTTGGATAAAGATAGACAACAAACAGGACATTTGATATTTCCAAGTACAATGGAAATACTGCAGAGGCACATAGATTATTAATCAGCCAATGTACATTAATAAGGAAACATATATTCGAACATGTGGTTTATGGGAATACAAAGTCAGTTATCAATACGGACGCTCTTTATTGACCAGACGACTTGTTATAAACGGCTTTGATCGGATTCTCACGACAATAGAACTCCCTCTTATAATACAGGTTGACAGAGGAACATAACTACTTGGTTTTACATTAAATGCACCCGAAGTTGAGATAATACATCAGCCACGCTTTTCATGTATACTCAATGCTTCTAATTTATCCTATGCTTACACCAGAATAGATGGACGATACTTGATTCGTCTGACCTTTCACGGCTACATCCATTTTTCTTTTCCCATGTAGAATATATAACAAAAATAGAACAACACAACGCACAATACAACTGCAGATACGCTCCTTCAAGTAAGCCGATCGGTCTGGTGAACAACCTTTAGGAGTGCTTGTCCCTTTGGTTGGAAATGCTCATAAAAAAAAGTAAATGCATCATCCTGGACATTAGATGGCTCTTCTGCGTACCTCTACCGCAATACAGTCTCCATTTGTACTACGGAATGGTTCCAAGTTCGGAGGACTGTGCTGCCATGCATCTAGGGATGCTGACTTTTAGATCCATGAAAAGTCGTCGAAGGCAAGCCACCCGTAGGCCCCCTGGAGTGTGCTCATAGAGCCCCCCTTCTAATCGCAAGATACCTAGTGAGGTATCAAGAAGAAAGAAGCAAAGACAGAAACGGGTAAGACAAACGAAGAGTGCCGAGTCTTGGAAAGAACGACAAAGGAAGAAAAGGAGACTTGGCACGAAGGGCTTGGTGTATGTATCGAGGTCAACGAGTGCTGGTTTCTGCAACCCGACTCCATCAAAATCCACCCAACTGCGTCGATGAGCTCTCGGTGTTTTCCCCGCGTGGTCTTCAAATAATGACAGTGACAACCGAGAAATACAGCTACCGATTAGGTCCAGAATGTAAGTCGTGAGGCAGGCTGCACAGCGTGTCCAACACCAAACATGCCTTTTCTTTCTTATCGGACACCCATGAATTCCCATGGGCGGAAGTAGTTTACAAGGTAAACCGATTAGATTGACTTTTGGGGGTGGATGAAGGTCATTCAGTTGTCGATTAATGCCGCGGTGGCTGTCTATAATGCTGCTTTGCCATCCATCAGCTGAAAGCTTTGGTCAAGGTGGTGCGGACTTACCGTTCTATCGAAAAGAGCATCATAAACTCTCCTGGATCGAGTGCCAGATGAATGGAATTCTCTGTCTGGGCATGACACAGGGTCGTTGATCCTGTGAAGACCCAGCGTGGCCTCCCATTCAGATCTGGGTCAAACAGCGATATGATAGAGTTGCTTCCATGGACGCCAAACAGGACATGCTTTGTATAGTAGTGTAGCTGTTGGAGTGCATTGGGTCGTGCTAAGATAGCCAGATGATGGTAAAGTCTTCCAGTTGTAGGATTCTTATCCGACGCTTTATTGTACCAATAATGGGACACACTAGTCCAAATCTCCCGATCGCGAATATCATCATACTCAAGGGCCATACGGTATTGACCTAGGTCACCAAGACATTCTATCCAGGTGTCTTCAAAAGCTGGGACAGTCTCGTATAGTAAGGCCACCACAGAGTAAGCCAAGTATAGGAAAGTAAGCATATGATCCAAGGATTTAGACGAATGACGCAGTAGCTCAAGGAACGAATGAATGCCGTGTCTCCACATACGCGCAGGCATGGCATATTTGGTGGCTAAACGCTGTGAGGCAGGGCTTGCAGACGGATACTGACTTGCAAGAAAGAAATCGTGGTGTTCATGAAGTAAAGTGAGGTGCAATGCGATAAGGGCCTGCCACTGTTCGTCGTTGAGCTTAGAATCTGTCTTCGAGTTATTTTTGTCAGAGTTAGTATTGTCGACCTCGATGCATTTGGTCTCTACCATAATGAAACCTGCATAGATGCCCTTGACCTCAGCAACAAGTTGCTTTTGTGAAATGTGTTGAGCAGGCTTGTCTCGAGCGATGTTATCGTCGTTTCGCGAGCTGTGCTGTGTTCCGATGGAACGAGGGGCAGGACGAGGGTTGCAGTGTGTGTTGACAGGTAACCCTGTTGAGGTTTGTGTAGAAGTTGGAATTCGAGTTCCAGTTCTATCAAACGGCTCGAAGGGGGTTTGCAAGCGTTTGCAGCTCAACTTTGTGCTCTCAGCCTTGCTGTTGTCGAGATTGGGATCCCAGTCACTCGAGTCAGATTCGATATTCAGTTGCTGAGCATAACGTCCCGTGCCTGTTGAATGAGCCCAAATTCCCTTCCCCATCAAAAGGGAAGTAGTGGGGGCGCGGGCATCTCTTGGCTGCGGTTCACAATCATCGACATAGATATCGCTAGAGGGAAGAGAAGGGCAGCGTCCGAGAGAGGCTGCTGAAGTCCGAAAGCAAACACTCCCCATATTATCAGAGTCACTGTGGTCAATTGTCTCCATTCGCTATAGTTTGAGTATATGTTAGCTGGTCCAAGGAAGCGGTTGGAAAGCCTTACTTACCTCCGGACCACTTCCTGGTAGAGAACAAGAGTGACTAGCAAGGTAACTTGCCAAATAATTAGGGTTCTAATATAGTAAGATAATGCACCAAAGGGTTGGTTTCTGAGCATTTCTTACACGCATGTCGCAAGTGGTGCCCAGGACATCCTCTCTTCCTGGCTCCGGAAGAGAAGGACCAGGATCGAGGAGTACAGATTGAAGTAGAAGATCCATAGCTTCATGCTCATGAGAAAGATTCAACTTATATGTTTGAAATAGAGAAAACAGTCTAGGATTGTCAAGGAATATTGGAAAGAGTGATATTGAAACGTGTGTGGGAAGATGGAGCGCCTAAAAATAATGATGCAACACGAAGGAAGACGAAAGATATTTGTTTGGTATGAGATAGAAAGGGATTTGATAATGGCAAACAAACAGAGGATACTCTCAGCTATACAGCTGGCCAAGCGGCCTAAGCGGTCTAATGTAAGGCGCCTCGATGGAACAAGGAGTGAGAATCTATAGGACAATAGGCCTCCTATGTCGGAATGCGAACCACATTCACAAAGGCGAACCATTTCATTGTCGGTGACGTAGTTGCCTTCTTGCATATTCACTCATGGTTGGCTCCTTCCCCTTCTTTAGCTGACGTTGTTTCCTTGTTCTGAAACCAGGCTCTGCTCTTTCTCTTTTCGTTGACATTGAGGCTCTGCGGCTCTCTGAGTACTTCCCACCTACTTTGCTCTCCCGACACCAGTTCCTTCCCCCTCCCTTCTTGAACTACATGGCTTCGCTTCTGCTTAAACTGATCTAAAACAAAACCCTTCTTCATATTTCTTTCTTCTGGAAGATCATACTTGATCCCGACGAGACACCATCTATGTCAATAGCACCACAACAAGGCTCGGCTAGCTATGTTACAGATTTTGTGCCAAACAAGGACTTCAGCACGCAGAAGGCGGCTGAGAATTCAGATTCAAACTTCGAACGGCATCGTCAACCTAGCTATCTAAGAGAGAGTGATTTGAGTACAATAATTTTTGTTGTGGGCTGTGGTTCAACCGCCATCCTTGTTTACATACCGTCACTATTCCAACAGCCGGCCAAAGAGACTTGCTTAAGCAAGTTCCCAGTATGTTAATATCCACCCGATCGATTCATAGCTAATACTTGTCTTTCATCGTAGGCATGCGATCCTACACATCTACAAGTCCCGACGCAACTGCCCCAACCCCTACGCGCAGCTGTCACCTGCGAAACACTTCTGTGTATTCTCTCTATTGCCATATTTGCCCACTGGCTCTGTATCTCTCTATTGTTGCAGAATGCGCGCTGGAGGGAACGGTTCTCAATGTCATTGCTTATTGTTGGGGGACTTACGTTGGTATCCTCTCGAATAATCGGGGATTCGGCGGTCTTGTTTCTTCAAGTACTTCCTGTTATCTCTGATATATTTATCATTTCTTGTCTCTGCTTCGACCTTGTCAGTTGTTAAACGAAACATACTGCAAAGACTTTGGTTATAGAGATGCCATAGGATGGTGGCAATTGAGTAACTTACTCCTGTTATTATTATTTCACAACTTCATGTTATTATCACATCTCCTTAGACTTCAGTCAATCTATCGTTCGTTATACGGACCCTCATCATAACAAAATCGTTCTCAAGGCTTTGTGACCAATGGTGATGAGATCAAAGTACCCATGCTATTATCAAGAAGTCACTGAGATATATCAAACAGAGTAGAGGTATCATATCCTAGTATCATCCTTTGTACAAATCCAAACTCCAATCCAACCATTTTCACTCCTCAAACAGTTGCCGAGCCCATCAAAACCGTGCCGGAAGCAGGCCCAACATCAACGTGCTTCTGAGTCGCGCTACCGCTCTTCAAATCATCTCTTGTGGTCGGTGGACGTCCGAGGTCAGCGACGACGTTGCGGACTCTCTGTCGCATGCTCTTGTGGTGCTTAGAGCCATCACATGCAGTTGTGTCTGCTTCGGCTTTTGTCGGTGAGTCCGGGGTTGAGACTGAGATTTGGGCTTCTTTGGAAAAGACGGTTGAGCCTGAGAGGATGGAGGCTGCGTCGGAGCTCGAAGAGGGACGCTCCATGGTATCTTGATTGTAATGAAACTTTCTAGTATATATGACTGAGATCTGATAGTTTAAGAGGACGGAATAAGGACGAGAGAGAGACTAGCTAGGGATGAGAGTAGTCTTTATATGAGGTGCTGCGTACTGTATGCACCTTGTTTTCAGCTCTAGGACATCTCTAGGTCTGGATTGGGTCTAGATTTCTGTTTGGGTGGTGTTAGTGATAACCCCGCGCAGTTGCAGTTGCGCCCGCTTTTCAATTAACCTTATTTAATATGTTCCACTTATCGGGAGCATTTGATTCTTATGATAACAATCCAAGATACGTCTATAATATCACTATGTACTTGAAACAAGACCACCGATAAAAACAATGCTGGGGGATACATACTGATTCTCTCACAACAGCTGAGGTTTACAGAAATCTGGTGCTATCATGTTGTCTGCCCTGTCAGCCTTAAGACTTCAATGTAACCCTCCTCTTGATATCTCGAGGCCATCTATCATAACCATATCCACAACCATCCACATCAACAGCTGAACAATCCTCCTTGGTATACCAATAAATTGACTTCTTGAGATTCGATGAAGAAAGCTCCGTATCATCTAACTCGATCCTTGAGAAATCTCCAAACTGACTCTTGTTACCATCCTCGGTTTTAAAGGCTTCCCAAACACTGCGAATATCCCATGGCCCATAGTCAGAATACTCTTCATCTTCACCATAAACCTCGACTACCGCATTCGTCTTCTCCAGAAGCTGCGATGTCTGTTTCTTGCATTCATTCGTCCTGTACGCCCCGTTTTCCTTGTCCCAGATCACCCGGTACCATACAGTGCTGTCTTCTTGATAGCTGGTTGCTTTGTGAACCATGTTGTATAACTGACCCATGGTGAGACCCTTCAGAGGCGAGTTTGGATAGATCTGAGTAGTAGAAAGCTCGAACAGCCCTAATTGAACGTCGTAGAGGTGCAAGTATCCTAGAGATGGCGGCGGCGGTTGAGATACAAGCATCCGCCGCCAGCTAGAGGCGCTCATGGTAAAACTCTCAAGACGATCCGTCTTTTCCAACTTCAAGATCTTCTCGGATCCTCGTTTTGCATTCGGACCCTTGGGAGACCAGGGCAAACGAAGAAACGAATCCGCTCTTCGAAGGGATACGTACTCACGATCGATGTCGAAGAAGCATCTCCCAAACTTCTCAACCAACAGAGTGTTGAGGGTAAAGGACTCGGGCCTTTTTACCCCAGTTGAAGGCACAGGTTGGAAGAACAGCGCTTGCTGGATCTTGGACGATCTTGCCATTGTCGCGGCCCAGTACCGACATACGCGAGATGCAGAGACAAGAAGAGTCTTTAGATCGAGGTTCACGAGAACCAACTCCAGCAACTCTGGGATTGAGAGGATTCTGCCTGCAAAGTTTGCTTCTTCCATGGCAACGTTGAACTCTTCCATATCCAAAGAACAGTGGAAGGTAGAAATATGCCGTATATGGAAACGATGATGATAAATAGTCCAAAGCAGTCCACTTAACCAATCTTATGTGGAGAAAGTTGACTCAGGCATTGAGTTATCTGTGTACCATCATGGGATCCAAGCGTATGAAATAATGAGAAATTTATGCAAACTGTTGCCTGCTTGTCTGCCTACGCCTAGCGCAAGTCTTTTCCCTCGCCCGCAAACTGAATTGCAGCACAAAGTCCTGCTTCCTTTAAATGGATAGATGTCATGCGAGGTGTATAATGCTAGCCTATGCGAAGAGGTGTATATATCTGACATTCATTGGCCAAAGTGAAGTGATCAACGTTGTCGACTCCTTGCCATATAATGACTAGAGTCACAGTAACTTCATGACTGCCTCTTCACGACACAAAACAAAATGAAATCCCATGCGCCCAGACTCCAATTGCGCTGTCAAAAGACCCGAACGACAGCCCATTCGTACCCAATCCTGCAGTAAATTCTCGTACAGAAGCCCGACAAAGATTAGACAGGTCATGAATGAGCAGAAGAATAGAAGAAAAGATAAACATGTTGCGTATGCGCTGAATCAATTGCTTCGCGCTGTCATCTCGACGCGCTTGTTTCCGAGATCGACAATCTTGCCTACAAGGTTGCCTGCGTGATCCATCTCGGTGATATCGTCGGCGCCTCCTAAGCTCACGCCGTTGACCATGATGTTGGGCACAGTCCTTCGTCCAGTTGTCTCGAGCAGTTGGTCTTGTAGGGCTGAGCCTTGAGGGTGGACGTCGAGTTCGACAATGTATGGCTCGGGAGTGATGGAGTACTTTTCGATCAAGATGCTCTTGGCTTTCTTCGAGTGGGGGCAGTAAGTCTTGGAGAAGATGATGACTGTGAAATGGTTAGTAAATCTCTTTTATGGATCGTTTATCGAAACGTACCAGGAGACTTCTTGAGGATAGAGTCAAGTTCAGCGCGTGCCTCAAGTTCCACTTTGCTCCTTGTCTCTGTCTCGGGCTTCTTGTCGGCGGCGGCAGCAGCATTAGGAGCAGCAGCAGCAGCAGCAGCAGCATCGCCCTGCTCTCCAGCGGCCGGCTTAACAATCTTGTCCTTGTTCTGTCCCTCTGCCGAACTTCCAACGCCAACGACTTTCTTAGGGGGGTCGGGTCGCAGACCACCCTTCTCGTTTGCCTTGCCCTTGGCCTCTGCTTCAGCAGCCTTGAGACGTTGCTGCATTTCACTGGCCATTTTCTTATCCTCTTCGTCGATATCACCATCTCCGTCCTTGTCGTTATGCGATTGTCCAGCTTTCTCGCCCGTAGCAAAGTCCACAATAGGAGCGGGCATCTCGTTTGCGCTCATGGCATTTTGGGTCTTCTTGATAAATTCTTGTCCGGTAGATGTTTCGGCATCGTGATGAGAGTCAAATCCAGAGGTGTAGAAGAGGATGAAGATGAAGGTGCCGATTGTCGCCAGGATCAGTAGGCGTACTCGGCGTGGAGAAGGCATCACGGGTGGGATGAGAACGAAGATCGCTCGCAGGACAGGACCAGGGTAGGTTGAACGGGAATGCGCTAAAGAGCGAGCTCTGCTCTGGTCGAAGTAGAGCTCTCGGGATCGCGGGATGGACTGAGGAGTAACAGACTCGGTGGTTTGAACGACAGTCGAGGGTGGAAAGAACGGAAAGGACAGTGGAACAAATATCGTATCGGTCGGTTGGGGCGATGAACCGAGGGCGGATTGATTTGACTTGGGTTGATGAATGGGGAGCGGCCAGGGACAGATCAAATTGGTAGTGGAAATGTAAGGGAGAGCTCCCAATTCCAGCGGAGGGTTTAGTGGATGGGAGCCAATCAGAGCGTCATACGGAGATAAGACGGTGCATGCGTCACTAGGAACTGTGTATCTTGAACTTCATCTACATCAGTATGACAGGGTTAATATTTGGTAATCAAATAAGTGATATTTAAGAGATATGATCCATACAAATGAGAATAATTATTAAGTACAGGACACAAATATTAATATCCCACCGACGCCAGCATCAGCCCTCCATATCAAACAGCTGTACAGTCAACTACCTAGGCCAGATGAGCCAGCTCTCAAGCCATTCTTTACTTGTTTGCTGTATAAAGTTTCTGTTAATCTCAGTAATTATATTTAGTTGAGAAGACGTATTACTTACCACTGAGATTGTATTCTATACTGTCAACCTCTCGACGGAATGAGGTCCTTGGTCAGGTGCGGCCAGCGCTGGTAGGCTTTCACTTGGCTGTTGAGGCTCTTCAAACATGACTTGGGGAGCTTCTTGATGACTGTGTGAATGCGATCTTGTTCGAAGACGCAGTGCTGCTCTTTCGGCGTGAAGGCTTTGAAGATGGTGATTGCCATGATGGTGATGGTGCATTGCTGGTGCAGCTTCGAGGGTCATGGCCCAGAAGAAGAAGGCTAGGAAGAAAGATAAGTTGAAAGACAGCATCTTGATGTGTTTGAGTGTAAGCGCTGGAGATGATTGTTCTGAGTATCTGCTCTGATATCTAGATCTGCCAACCATCGACTCTTATATCTATCTTCAAGGGCCATCCCCCCCTTTGACATATAAGACCTTATGACGAGTGAGTCAATTATATGAGGTTATTTCCATGCTTCAACTGCCGCTTTCAGCCTCCTCGAGACCCTTTGTGAGGAATTTACAGGGTCGTGGGCCGCGCTGAGACAACCCACCCGATAGAGCTGGTTACGACAAAGCGCTATTTCTAGTGAGTACAGCCCCTTCAACTTATGCTCCCTCCGTCACCTGAACTATTATACTACTAAACAAGTTTAACGGGTCATGTTTCAATATCTCAGGTTTGTTCATCATCTTGGCCGTTGAAAACATCGTCAACGTTGATTAGCCCTCGTGGAAAAGGGAAGGCTGGCATGTATGTCATGTATCTTGAGACATTCTCAATAATCTCGATCCACTCGACCTTGTGATCACTACATTCTGGCTATCAGACAGAAATTACAATTGATGTTGACGTGTTGAATCATACTCTCTTCTCGAGGTTCGACTTACATGAAAGTCAGCTTTACCGAATGACTAAGCAGACGAAGACCTTGAACCAATAAGAATTTGCCAAAACTCTTTTCTATTTCTACAGTGAACGTCCACGGTGGCACGAGCGCTGTAACTAAGTGATGATGGGCGGATCCGTATCCATTTCTAGGCATTTCTTGACAAGTTGCCATTTCTAGTGACTTCGATTCATCCATCACATCAAACAAGTGAAGTGTCCTTTTGCTCGACTGACTCATATCTTGAAGTTGATACAACTTATAATAGATAGAACTTCTATCATTTTTTGTTAAACTATTACACTTTTTCCGTCATCATAAAACTTTATCATTGTCTTTGTATTCCTTCGATACCCACTTCTACTTGCCCTTGCTGTTTAACCATCTCCCACCTTTTACCTGCAGAACAATCCCCTTCAACAAGACTCGAGTGTCTGCCAGGGACAAACCCTCCCTAGTCCAATACTTGACCTCCCCCTTCCGGGAACTTGCATCTCTAAAAGACATATCGTCCTTCAGCTCTCCACCATGGCTCCTTCTAGGGCGAAATCATTACCCTTCTTCGTTGCCCTGTTACTGGGCATTCTTCTCTGCATCTTCACAGCACCGACACTCGCCTCACCAGCCTCAGAACCTTCTCCCAACGCAGATGTCGAGCTCATTTGCCACACAGACAACCCAAAGGACTGTTACCCCAAAGTTTTCCAACCAACAGATGAGTTTCAGGTCGTTCATGATGATCAAGAACTTCCCCACGGACTCCACGTCCGCCTGAACATGTCTAATGGCAAGAAAGAGGCCAAGATCAACGTTCCTGATGAGGGAAACCCTGCTCTTGAGGGACTCCCTGTTGATCAAGCAGTTGTCGTTGTAGACCAGCAGCAACAGGAGGACCCTCAAATTCCCAAGGGTGCCCCGGCCTATGAGCCTATTGGAAAGATCAAGGAGCCCGAGGATGAAGACTTTGTTGGAAAGCCGTTTTTCACAGCCATGAGAATGTTGAAGGCTGGCGAAACAGGTGAAGGCAAAGAGCTCGACGACGCGCTTGAGGGAATGGAGGAACTGTCTCACGACATTTACTACGGTCTCAAGGTCACAGAAGACCCCGCGGTGTTGAAGGCTCTGTTCTGCATGATGGGTGATTCCGAGATCACTACCCCCGCAGGTGCCACTCCTCGTGGCCACCAAGCAGCCGCTATCCTGGGAGCTTCTCTGCAAAACAACGCAGCCGCCTTGAAGGAAGTCACCAAGCAGTGGTCTGGTCTGATGGAGGCCCAGTGCCCTGCTAACGCCAAGTCTCTCAAGGAGTCTCTCTACACATCTCTTGTGCCTTCTCATGTCCCGTCCTCTATCAACACCAAGACACTGGCCTCCACGGTGAAGGCCAAGGTTGGAGCCATCAACGGCCTCATGAAGAGCGACGTGATCCGGGCAGATTTCCTCAAGAACGACGGCATGAAGCTTCTCCTCGAAGTGCTTGTGCCCGAGGGCAATGAATGGGGTACAACCCAGCGCAAAGTTGGACAGCTAGTCCTCGACACATTTTTGGATGAGGATATGGGCGCTAAGCTTGGACAGTGGCCTCGCACAGAGCGATCTAGCGATGCCAAGTGTCGTGTGCATGAGACCAGTACTGAAGAGGGTTGCTGGGATTACCACATTGCAAGAATCATGAAGGAGAACAAGAAGGATAGAAGCCATTGGAGCCGAGACTTGAATGACCGTCTTGCGGCTTTGAGGAAGAGCGGCATGGTGCCTCCTAAAGTCGAATTGTAGAATGTTTGCGAAATCATGAGTTAAACAATAGAATGTGTATTAATTTTGATAAAATACATAGAATTTTCTATACGTGATGATATTGGTGAATGCTATGGTGAATTGTTGGCCCGCAGTGAGCGACGAATGGTTCAGCGTGTAAAGAATTTCATGGAAACCTCACCATACATCTCCACTAACACAAGCACTAACACAACACACCGACAACTACTTGATAGCCCGATTTCACCTCAGTCGATTATATTCATCTGTAATTCGCCCAGATGGATCAGCCAGCGCCTTTTCAAGTAGAGTCCCTTAGCAAAGGTCGTGGCATCTTCTCCACCAAAACCTTTGTTCCAGGCGACATTATCCTTCCATTCACACCTACAATCCTCATTCCCTCGCTCTCCCACATAAACACAGTCTGTAGTCACTGCTTCAAACAGACAGAAGTGCGCTCCTGTTCCAGATGTCACGCCGTGTCCTACTGTGATGCCGCCTGCCAATCGGCAAACTGGACAGCCGTCCACTCCAAAGAGTGCAAGGTTCTACGCAAGGTCACGGAACAAGGGCGCCCAGGACTTCCGACACCAGTACGTGCCGTCGTTCAAGCTCTGGTGAAGCCTGAGATTGGTGCTGTGTTGGAGGGCCTGGAGGGGAATGTCGCGTCTTGGAGGAAGAGTGAGAAGTGGGCGGATATGGAGATGATGGCCATGGGCGCGAGTGCTTTTGCTGGGCTGGGAACTGGTCAAGAGGAGGTGCAAAAGGCATTGACACTTCTCTGCAAAGTATGTTACAGATATGATACTACATGCGACTCTCCACTGATACAACCTAGATCCAAACAAATGCCTTTCACAGATACGACACTGATCTGGGTCAAGTGGGCATTTTCCTAGGACCAAAGCTCGCCATGGCGAACCACTCCTGTATCCCAAATGCTATGGTTCAATTTGTTGGCAGAAAAGCTATTCTAAGGGCAGAGAGACCAATTACGGTTGATGATGAGATCGAAATCTCTTACACAGGTATGTTTTCAGGCCTTGTTCCTCTACCTTCACTAACAGGTTATCAGATTACACATTCCCTCTGTCAAAGCGAAAGCAGGCACTCGCACCATACTTCTTTGACTGCATGTGTCAAAGATGTGAGAAGGATCTTAACATATACCAAGTATGCGCTGATTCACCCATTATCGACATGAACCGCCATAGCCTGGCAGCGGATATTGGTAAACTTGCTCGACATCCTGTCGCAATAAACTCGAGCAAGATTTCAGCAGCGAGAAGATACAGCGAAGAACTCTCTGGACTACTGGATGAGAAAGAGTCAACTGGCTCACTGGAAGGCCGTCGAACATCTTTGCGTATGCGCTACCAACAATGCCGAGGACTAGTCGGTGAAGAGATGTGGGCTATATCACCACTCGCTCAGCTGCTGTCAGAGATATCGATTCTACACGCCGAAGAGGGCAACTTTGTGTACGCTCTGGTGACAGCATGCTTCATAGCAACATCCTGCGACCCGTACCGACATGTTCTACCATACCATCCAATCCGCATCAAGGGTCTGTTACTCGTCGCCAAACTTCTAGCCAACACAGCAGCAGATACAGCTTCTCTCGGAAACTCGCAGGCAGTGGCATTCAAGGGAGACTTTAACCAAAGAGCTCTGCAGACGCTTCAGGAGATCGACCAGGTGTCGCTGTGCCAGATGTTGCTCATGATGGTTCTCAAGTCTGTTCCCAGAGGCTATGTGCAAGAATGGGAAGTCTCAATCACTGCCAAGCAGATGTTGGATGAGATAAACCAACTGCCAGGCAGAGAGCAAGAGTTGACACTGATCGATGCTTGGAGAGAAAATCCTGAAGCTGATCAAGCAAAGGCCTTTTTCGAATATGCTGTTGTGAAACAGGTTGATGCCCTGGCTAATTTGGGGATGGATGTATTTAAGATGGATTTTGGGCAGTGAGAAGAAGATGAAGTGCTGCCTTTAGAATCAGTATCAGTCAAGACCAACACAATGAGGCAGCTACAAAAGTCGATTCTATTTAAAATATCCTTCCAGTCACCTAGCCCAGCTCAGTATCTCCATTTGTGATTAATGACTATCCAGCATCTCCGTGGTTTAAACATCGAGGTTGACCCCCAGGCAGGTCAGAATCCAATAGGCACATCGCAAGAAGTCACCCACTAAACAGCTGCACGATTTGTAACAACTTGTTACGACGGTCATAACTAAAGATATCCCAATGGGACTAGTAACGCTTTTTTACTTACTTACCATGCCACAAGAGACATGGCTGTAGTGTACATAGTTTGTTACAGCGCCTTCGATCGTCAAGTTAAAATCCATGGTTTCGTGGTCTAACGGTTATGACTGCGGATTCTGATTCCGCCAGCGAGGGTTCGACTCCCTCCGAGACCTACTTTTTGGCTTTCTAAAGATTTATCTCTCATATCTACTTTGAGGCGTAAACTCTTTTTTCTTTTTTCTTGTTTTTTTTTCTTGAGTATGGTTCTTCTTGACTGCCTAGGCGTTAGATGAACGCTGCAACTCATCAGTAGTACAATTACAAGAAAGTCTAGATCGGCAGATCCGGGAATAGATTGGTTCTCACCCAAGGATCTATGATACAAACCAACTCGTTCAGACACAAAAGCATTCACTTGATAAACAGTCAAATACAAGCATGTCACTCAACTCCATGGCTTAAACCTAATCAGATTATACTATCATCGATAGTCGCTGGAATAACGCCGTCTCCAACTGACTCTATACAAAAACAGATTCTGTCCACCATCGCTTACCCAGGGCATCAAAACATAAATACTTCTCCTCAAGAATGTGACCCCTAATTACATATATGTGCGTGCGTACCATCATCAAATACCCTTCGTTTTCAAAATGCTGCAAATCATAGCTCAAGGCGCTCGAAATCAAGCGTCAGAGTAGTACTCCTCATTATACTGGTGGCCTGGGGGGCTCGTCCAGCTTTGTCCACCACCTCCTCCAATAACATTCTCCCTTGAGCCCCAGTAACCACTCTTTGATCGCTTGTCGCGCTCAAACTCGGCCCATCGCTTCATCGTAATCTTACTGCTGTCGAATTCACCCTCGTACTCAAGGCCAGCCTTCTTAGTCTTTTCACCAGCTGTCTTTCGAGTCTCACCCCAGGAGAAGTCATCGAATTTCCAGAACGCATAGGTCGGTAGAACAAAATTCCAGATTGGCAGCGCCAGCAGGTAGATGAGCATCCACACAATGTAGGACCATGAGTGGGCTGTGACGATAACAAGAAGACCGGGTAGACCAAGAATCAAGGCCAAGAGGACAAGAGGAATGATTTGGGGCGGTGAGTTGATGATGGAGGTAATAACTAGATATTTGTTAGACAAGAAACGATCCGTATGCGTTTGTTACTTACCGACGTAGAAGGTGAATGCAATGGCAGCAGGCAGAACCAGAGTGCCGACCAGTTCGACGAAAATGATAAACTGCATGGAGAAGCAAAAGGTACCGCAAAGATCACGGACCAGAACCAGTTCCATCAGGTTGTGGATAGTTGAGTTGATCCATCGACGTCTTTGAGAAAGGAGAACCATGAACTCGTCGGGGACGGTTGTTTTGCATACTGCCTGTGGAATAAAGACCTGCTTTCGCTTGGGGAACGTTCGGAGCATCAGAGTTGTAAGGAAACGATCCTCACCCAAAAGGTACAAGTTCTTCTCGTGCAAGGTCTCGACCACGTTCTCCGAGTAATGCTCAACAATGTCGGGGTTGGCCAGAATGGGAACCCAGTAGTTGTGACCACCCTTGGGTGCCTTGATACGGTACATACAGAAACAACCGGGCAGACAGGTGACACCACCAAAGACGGATTCGAACGACTTGGCAAGATGATGAGAGACAAAGTACTCAAACACCTGGATGGCCGTGACCCAGCTGTCTCGTTTGTTGGCAATCTTCGTTTCACCGCAAAGACCCATGATCTCAGGATCCTTGACCATAGCAGAAATCATGTGAGTCAAACTGTCCGGGAACACTTTAGTGTCGGCGTCAACCATAAGGATAATTTCGTAATAATCCGGCGAGATACCCGTAACCTTCCATAAACCGTTAAACATTTCGTACTCGAGCTCTGTCATTCGCTCATCAAACATGACCTTCTGGAGGAAAGACATGAGAATGATCTGACTGTCTCTCTTTCCACGGTTACCAGGCTTGGACTTGGAGGCTTCATCGGGAGTTCCGCACTTAACAACGACCATCATTGGCACTCGCTGCTGACGATCAGCGGGGATACGAGAGTTCTTTCCATAATCGTAGAAACCACAGTAGATCTTGGCCATGTTGTGTCGCTTGGAACCGCTGGCAACAGCCACATACGAGAATGGCTCAACCATGTCCGGAGGAATTGAGTGATCCTTCAGCATACCCAGGCAGACATCAGGTGTCGACATGGTTTCACCTTGACCCTTGATGATACCGTCACAGATAACAACAATAACCTTGTGGCTGTTGGGATAATCAGTGGTTGCAATCGAGTCCAGAGTAGTTCGGATACCCTCTTCTCCTTCAGAGTAAGCAGTGACCAGACACATCGTGTGAGCCAATGGGAAACCAAAGGGCATCCAGTCAGAGGGAGGCTGAGGAACCACAGCATCATGAATGAAGCCAGCAGGACCGGGGCCATCGGTAGGTGTGCTCGAGTATGGGTCGGAACGGAGGAAGCTGCCGCGGCTCTCGTTACCCTGCTTGAACATACCGCCAGGTGAGAGTAGCTGGTTAGAGGTGCTCTGACTGGCCATGGTTGTTGGCATGCGTCGCCCAGTTTGAGCCCTGACATCGGGACCGCCGACAGTGGAGAATCGAGATGTAGTAGGGAGGAATGATCCACGTTTGCTGCTTCGATCCGACGAGCCATAGACTGTGCTTCCAACATCGCCAGGAAGGCGAATGGGGGCGCGGTAAATATCCTCTGACCAATCCTCGATCTGTTTGTTACGCTTTCTGCGGTCCGAGGTCTGGGAGGTCTTGCTGGGCGCGTACTTGCGACAGATGAACCATTGGAAGATGATGGCCAAGAAAAAGCGAACACCAACGACTGAAAGAATAAGAACCAGTGCACAATAAAGAACAATCTTGGAAGCAATGCAGCCGATTGACTCAGTATCAACAGAGCCGACCTTAATAATCTCTTCAAAACATTGGACATACTTCTTGTCTGAAGAAGACTGGAACATGCGTGTGACATCGCGACCGCGAATAGCCTTATTGACTTCCGATTTCTTGTCTCGGAGCTCTTCAAAACGCTTGGGAATGTCAACCTGACTTGAGTTGAACCAGTGGAGGAGATCGAGATCGAGAACGTTTCCTGAGTAGACGACGAGGTTACGAGAGTTGTTCTTGATATCGTCCCAGGTGAAGTAGACATCCGCAGCACCACTCAAGTCGAGATAGAACGCGTTTCGGGAGTTGAGTGTCGTGTGACAGCCATAGCCAGAAGAATAAGGAACGGTTGTGTTGACCTTGCTGGAGCCGTCTTGCTTAAAGGTTTTGCAAGGAAAGTACCAGGCCAAATCGCCATCATCATTCGTAGGCACGTCCGACTTGTCAGCGAGTGTGATCAAACCCTTGCATCGACCGTTGACGTTCTGGAACAAAAAGCTTCCGTCCATACCCGCGTTCTTCTCCGGAAGATCGTAAAGGACGTTAGGACCTAATCCATCTCCACGAAGAGGCATTCCCTGTGCCGGAGGGTGATGAGATTTAGACAGATCGTAGGCCACACCGTGGAAGATCATGTTGCCGCCATCAACCTTGTTGACGCGCAGTCGCTCCTGGGGGGCACCACAAACCACGGCGGTGAATCCGAATGTGAGAAAGCCGACAATGGCCATGATAACAAAGATAATACTGATGAGACCCATCTTTTCACGCCAAGCACGCTGCTGTGCCCTTGTTGGCATACCGCAGCACTTCATGATGAAGCCGGGCGCCCAAAAAGTGACAATGGCACAGTAAACATTCCAGAAAGTAGGCGGCCGAAGCTGCTCTTCAATTCGCTTTGGCGGCTTCGAATGGCGCTTCGATCTTCTCTTGATCTTACCTGACTTTGTACGGTCTGGGGTAGGAACAGCCGATGCAACAGCAGCGCTCTTCTCGTGGTCCCCACTGACGGTTCGCCTTTGTCGAGGAGAACCATCTGAGCCACCGTCGTTGTAGTTCGAGTTAGACCGCTCTGTTGATGCTTCAAAATCCTCATAAATAGGGTCATTTCCAGTCGAAGATGGCAGGATATTCATGTGAGCAGCGTGCTTGTGGTAGTGGTAGTTTCTGTGATCTCTATCGATTCTGTTTCTCTCCGGGCGAATCAAACTTCGTTTTCGAGAAATGGGTTGTTCCGGGCCGGCATGGCGCGTTTGTCCGTCTGGGGACGTTGGCGACAGAGGCATGCTCTCTGTATTCGAATTAATACCGATGGACTCTGCGAAAGAGGAACCAGATTTCCCACGTTGGTGTGAAGCCAGATTGTCTACTGCATGGTAACCACCAGTCTCGATATCGACGGGTCTTGAGCGTCGCGATGGTGAGTTGCGGTAAGCATTGCGCTGATTGTAGGTCGGGCTTGCGCCCGGCCGTTCGGGAAGAGACATTGTCCTGGCAGAACAACGTTAGAATATGACGAGTTTACCGTTAAACGTAGGAGGCGTTATTAGGCTCAGCGCCCATGAGTCGAGGGAGGAGGTGAGGTATCGGTGAGGTTGATAACAATCCAGCATAGGAAAGGGGGATGTTGCGACAAGAAGTTGAACGCCAAGGCGAGGCAAAATCAATTGCGATGAATGTGTAAAGCAGACAAAACGGAGAGCCGAGCTGCAAGGAAACAAAGTTGACGAGATCTACTTACGAGAAGATGGGCTGTGGTTGTTCCAACAACCTCTCTCGAGGATTAGAGTTGGGAATATCCCTGCAAAACTGGGAAGGTCTCTTAGGAAACGAGCAAGGCGAAGCACAGGACACGCAGTGCCCGTGTGTCGTAAGAGTCGAGTTGTCAAAGCTTAGTGTGGAGAGAAAAGCATGGAGTCGAATTGAATAAACTTGTCGTCCAGTCAGAACGAAAGAAACCGGACGGCGTTGTTTGGATTAGATGAAAGTTGAGCGATGTCTGGACGCTGGCGTGGAGCAGAGCGAGCGAGTGATGGGGCGACCAGGGTTTTTCGGTCTCTGCAACTTCTGCAGGGGACGGCAGTGCTTTGGAGCGGTAAATGTCGTGATCAATGATGAGAGCGAAAGTGGGAGCGAAAATGAAACGTAAAAGACAACAAGAAGCGACCGAGTCAACGACCCTCGAGCGAAGACAACGACAACGAACGGTTGTGTCTGCACGAGTTTAGTTGAGAAGAGAGAAAGCGAGCGAACGAGCGAACGAGAGAAGGCGATTGATTGAACGGCCAACGGTCTGTTCCTCCTTCCTTCCCTTGCCGTTAGTCTGGCTAATCTGGCTGCTGTCTGGGCAAGAGCAAGCATGGGAAGGGGGCGGGCAATGACCAATTAGAGAATAGCCTTTCCACTGATGGTTGCACTAATTGATGGCGCTAAGTTAAAATAGTCCGAGCATGTGGCCCCTTGGGCTTAGGGATTTGCAGGGGCTTTCTTTCTGTGGGTTGATGGCCCGGCGGTTGCCCCGGCAGCTCGATCAAATCCTGGACTTGTTTGGGAAAGAGGGTTCAACAGCTCTTCTTCCAAGGCAAGAACCCAGAGAATTCTTGTTCTGGCTGCTACTACTCCAGGTGCATTGTTTAGATACGTAAGATGACACTATAGGATTGCTTTTCGCAAGTCATGACAATGCCTTGTTATTGAATCAAGGCCCATAACAAAGAGATAATATACCAGTAGTATTAGTGACCAGGGCCGTAGTCGAGTTCAGTGCTTGGCTAATTCAAGACCAACACTCGACTAATGTTGGACTGAACCACAGTCGTAATCCCCAAGAGATTCAATCTGTCTCCTGCATATACACTTAAATACACTAAAGTATGGCATGCATCAGCAGTTTGGGTTTTTTACACCACACATGCCCTGCTCTCAGGCTCCTTCATACGCAGGAACGAGCTTCTAAAGATGCAAAGGCCAGGGGTCAGTGAACCAGTTATCGCCATGTCGCTTGTCGAGCCGATCTGGTCCTCTAGTTTAATTGCTCCGCATGTTTTCTCCCCTTACTGACCGATAAGCCAAGACCAGTGGGTAGGAGGGTCTCATCCTTTACCATTCCAGCTTTTCTTCCTCGTCACGTCAGAATAGTATCACAAGTCTTGCACTGTCTCTTTTCACAGCAAAAGTATCATAAGAATCTCTATCATGGTGGATTGGATATCTTGCTCTGTTTGTCTTCGGAGATGAAGATACGATTGATGAATAATTGCTCATCAGCTTCAGAAAATTGCAAGGCATCCACGAATGCGGAACAATACCCGACCCCTTCAAGAGATCTGCAATGACCTTATCTTGCTCTCCCTACATAGTAATTTCAGTACCTAGCAGATAACAGTTAGCACCTCGTTGACCATAACCACCGTGTGAAAGGTTTCTCATCAGCGGGCGACTGCGCTTGTTTGTGTAGGTAAAGTAGGTATTCATTTACTTCACAAGACACGTCTAACTCTACACCACGTGTATCTGCAGCCCGGATATTTTGCCGTTGAATCGGCTTTATTTCCAGTCGTTCGGGTCGCATGAACTCAAAATTAATTAAAACCGATAGAACCGTGGCATTTCCTTTGAATATCTACACTTAGTGTCGCTCCGGTGATCTTGCACATGTTTTATTTATTTCCTTACCGGTGGCGCACTCGATCCGCTCCGAACTCTACCCCACTTTGCCCCGATGCCAACCCCGAAAACTATCAAAATACCAGTGAAGCGTTCACTTCGTCGCGGTAGAGATAGCGATGCAATTACTCAAGTGAAATAGGTTTGTCAATAATACGTCTGTTCTATTTGAGGACTAAGATATAGACTGGATTCATTACTCCCAAATTCAGGCCTAGGGTCTCAACATGGAAGGCATCTAACAAGTCAGAGCGCAAGCAGCCAGCTATGTAGGCGATGTGATAGATTAGCAGCAATGCAGCAAGACTGCGTGAGTGGATCTCCTAGAGTTGTGGAATCTCAGATACGAGCAAGATCAACTGGATCATGTGGGTGTTTACAACACTAGCTTGCCTCTTATACGAGATGTATCGCAGAATGATGGGAATGACAAGATGACGACGATGCATCCAGACACAAAAGCTGGGTTCACTTGTAAAGTTGTGAGTGGGTGAAATATCAATAACTAAATTTGGAACATCGTTGCACCAGCATTGACTTCGTCGCGGGGTTCCCCAGGTCAGGAATCAAAGAAGCATGATCCTAGGAAAAGTGAGCCCCTCCAAATTTCTGGCAAATGGGATATCTCTCCAATCACCAATTATTGATTAGCAGATATTGGGGAAATGGGAAGGTTTCAGTATAGTTAAATCAGGAAGCCTGACCATTACAAAGCAAGCTGGAGGTTTTAAGAGTCTGGTTCCGTTAACATAAGCAAGCGTTGTATGCAGGTTGACCACCTTCCGGAGTGGGGTCCTTCAAGGCCCCGGAGCAGCGGTCGGCTCGGGTAGGTGGGGCCGTATGTCGATCGGACGGCCCGCCGTTTATATAAACAACCTGGATCCTGTGAAATGTCCCATAAAGCTCACCCCGCAGGGAGCTCAAAGCCATAAGACATGTCATAAAACAAACTGCTCTATTAGCAGTGCATATTGCTGGATCGTTCGACCGGTAGTGCTATTGGGCCTCAATGCTAGAGGTGCAGATATAAAGGCTTCGGTACAATCAGGGGAATAATGGAGATCAAGAAAAGCAAGAGAGATCAAGACTAAGACCCTGGCCTAGCACAGCCTCAATCGGATAACACACCTGGCTGACCAAGGCAGCACTGGCTACTATGACTATAACCAGGATACGAAAGGTTTCTTTGGTACATTCGTGGGGGTAAGGAACTGCAGTACTCATAAGGATGTTTGCCAGACGCCAGGGACGAAGCACAGTTTTCCAAGATGGTCTTAGTGCAGGCGAGATAGCTCAAAAGGATGGCCAATTTAACAGGGCACTTGGCGCGTAGCAAACATGAGGATGGGCTTGCGCCTCTAGAAAGAGCAGGGGGCATCCGAAGCTGTGACAATAATAACAGTGTGTTCTAGTTTCAATTGGCATTCGTCGTTCTGACAAGTTGCTTTGAAAAGCACTTCTTGTGCACCGATTTGTAATACGTAGGGACAATGTGCTCGCCTTCTTCCCGGGTCTGTGGACAAAGTAAAAAGCAAAGAGACGTTACCGTCCAATCCGGATGTGACAGCAGAGGAAATCTCCGATCAGCTTTGCTTGTGCAAGCAAGCCATTGGCGATTTGACGGCGGTAGTTTGTGTGACGATACCGACGCCATGGCGGCAGCTCAGCCCTGTTGAACCCCAAACACTGATATAGGTAGAGAACGAGAGCAAGGGCTAATGATCACACTGATGCTTCTTTGTATGTCATGCCATCGTGATTCCATCCAAGGCCACGAATCCCCCTGTATTGTACAACACTCAAAGCTTGGAGCTGCTGAAACAACAAAAGTCCAATGCCAGGATTAGTTCACCCGCATTGAAGCAACTCAAGGCCAAGCTTTTGAACATATGAGTATGTATTTGGACGCAGAACCTCGTGGCGGTCAGGCCACAGGTACGTTGGAAACCTAGAGCTTGGCGCAATTATCCGCCGGCCTGGGCTAGACCTGGACCCTTGAGTTGAGTTATTTACGGTGCAGCCACGGGTTATGCTGCAATGACGCTAACGTGCAGTTTCGTAAATGGGCGCGACGGGCTCTGCAATATTGGGAAGCATTGCATGACAGAGGCTTTTCAGCTCTAGCTCGTTGGTTCACGAAACGAATTGAAATCGCAGTGCTTGTCATCTGGAGACTTTGTGTTTCCCTTTTGAGAATAGGAATAAGCCCGGTAATTTTTTACCGACCGTGCCATTTCCGCACACAAGACAAGAGGTTTCGTTCGTCATGCCGAGCCTTCTTGTAGGGAGCTCCGTATCTTCCATCCCTTTAGGGCCGCGTATTGAGATTGGGAAAAGGGGGTGTGCACGACGCTTGTTGCTTTTTAGACACACGTAATTGCTGTGATGCAATCACTTTTGATTCAGAAGACAGTTGAAAGATTGGTACTTTTGACTTGCTTATGTACGATTAGTGGAGGTAGTAAATATCTGTGGTGTAACAAGACGGGAGGGTCCTGAGTTAAAGAGGCACTTGTAAAAGTAAATCGACAGAGCCTGCCTGCCTGCCCGTGCCTTCCTGGGTGACACTCGGTAGAGAAAATCCTTGTTCCTTCCCAGTCATGGCCAGTTCAGCTATCCACGCCAATAAATGTTGGCTTCAATACTCCGTACCTGCCTAGTAAGTCTCTAACTGATTCTTGGTCGTAACTGCCCCATGATGCGGCTTGGCTCGATTGCAGTACTTTTCTAGCCTTGGATATTTGTTCCTGATTCATCATCATCACACTAATTCGTCACCCTTTCTTTCAAGCGAAACAACAATCAATAAGTATTTATTATCCAAACAATTATGATAATATAAACCCCAGACAAACAACCCCCGCGAGTTTCTACAGTAGGGACTATGCACATGGACCATCCGCTCCACTACTAAGCTAAACTCCAGTTGGCACTTGGACCTTGGACCTGACCTCTCACCACCACCAACCGCCAATATCCATCCATCCATCGGACGGCGCAGCGCCAGGACAAGGAAGACCCTCATTGGATCTCAGCCCCAAGTCCACTCATCTTATTGCTTGGAATTTCCTTTGCTTCCGTCCAATTCTGGGACTAGTTAAGTCTTGGCTCTTCCCGTCCTTCTCTCTCCCTTCCATTCTTTGCAGAGAAAGAAGTAAGTGAAAAAAATTGAGATAGGCACAGGTACCTGTTTCGTCGATTCCAGCACCTCACTTTCTCAGGGTCGTCTTTCCCCAGCTAACCTTCTCTGCAACCACCCCTAGTCACTGCACTGTCGCTCGCTGATCCATTCTCTCTTTGCCCTACTGCCCCTTGTCCCCGCTGTATCGCCGCGTTTCGGATCCTACCCAAATATCCTTCGTGCAGCATCCACTCCATAACTGACTGCTACTCCATACGCTACCTGCGCTAAACCGTCCATCACTGACTACAAACTACGACGATCGCTCCTTCTCCTCCTCCACAGTCGCTATCTTCGGATCTTTCGTCTTGTCTTTCTTTCCACGCCTTCGCTTTTCGCACGCTTCGGTCTCAGTGAGTTAGGGTTCATCGTGGTTTTGGATACACAACTATCATCGAGTTCCCTTGCGCACCGTTGCCGCTGTCGAACCACACAGCTTTACCCCCGACACTCGTTCTGAAAGATACCTTAAGTTACGTTTGGCTGCTTCGGCACTACCAAACTTTCACCTTCGTCCTACCATGGCAGCAGTTAATCATTCGTCCTCTGCTGCTGCAGACTCATCCGACTACTACGAGTCCCCTTCGAGACCCTCTTCAAGACCGACCAGTGCTTCTCGCCATAGCCCGGTCCGCATTCCCAATCTCGATCATGCCGAGGGTCCAAGACTGCGCGATGGGCCAGTCTCTCCTGTTCGCGTTAATTCACAGCAGGGAAACTGGGTCCAGCCTTCAAACGCTGATGTGGAATATACTCCGAAGCAAGCCTTGAGAGGAGAATTGGTTGACCGAACTCTTCATCCGCTACCTTCGCCCCCGGAATTTGCTCCTCCTCCACCTCCACAACACGGTCGATCAGAGCCAACGAGCCCTCGGGAATTACAAAATATGACTTCAGCGGTTAGAGACAGCTCTGCATTGTCTTCTGATACAATAGCTATGCCTGGATCTACTAAGCCAACGCCGACAGAAAGAGTCCGCGACCAAGACCAATATCGAAACAGTCGTGAATCAGATGAAACTACGAGCACAAACCCACAACAAGTCTCGATCGAGTCTTCGGCGACAACAAGCGCAAGCTCTCTTTCTGGTGTAAATGAGAATACCGATGGTCAGGCATTAGGTGAATCTCCAGAAAGCTCCATTATTGAAGGCAACGTGCCCGAGGTGCCGCTCTTTCAGTATCACCATCAGAAAGATTTTCCACCAAGTGTTCCCAACGCGGAAGTCAAGAACTCTTCAACTCCTGATTTGTCTGAGAGCGCTTCGAGTGTTGGCCGCCACCTTACTCCAAACCCCGGTAATCATATGAGGACTTCTCTCCCTCGGCCGCCGTCTTCTTATTCTGTCTATTCTGACTCTCGTGGTCGCTCTCCAGGCTTGATTCCAGGTGGCCCACAGTCACGTAAATCTCCTGATGTAAGACAGTCGACATATGCAGAATTACTGAATGCGCCTTATCCTCAACAAGCACCGGCGCCTCTGACTCCTGATAACTCGAACCTCCGAACTGTCATAGGCAATAATGCGTCTCTCCTCAGTACACAAAAGACTTTGGACATGTATCGTGCGAACGTCAAGAAGACGAATGACTCCTCGATCCAGTACTCATTTGCCATTTTCCTGATTTCGACTGCCCAGGAACAAGGTTTGGACTTTTCGGACCCTAAGACGCGCAAGAATAGTCCGAAACCTCAAAAAGGCCGTGATAGCCCAGCTGCTGAAGGTTCAGTGCCGAGCCCTCACGAGTTGGTTCGCGAAGCTCGACAAATTCTGCAGCGTCTTGCCAGTGCGGGCTACCCTTTTGCCCAATACTACCTTGCAGATGGTTTTGCCTCTGGGCTTTTCAGTAAGGGTAAGGAGGACTATAATTCGGCCTTCCCACTGTTTGTTCTGGCGGCAAAGCATGGACATGCTGAATCTGGATATCGAACTGCGTTGTGCTACGAATTTGGCTGGGGCTGCCGAAAGGACCCTGCTAAGGCGGTACAGTTCTTGCGCACAGCTGCCTCGAAGCGTCACCCCGGTGCCATGACACGTTTGGGTAAGGCCTGCCTATCTGGTGACCTTGGAGAGAAGCGCTATCGAGAAGGAATTAAGTGGATGAAGCTTGCTGCTGAAGCCGCTGATGTACAATACAACTCAGCACCGTACCAGCTTGGTTGCTTGTATGAGAATGGATATGGTGCGGATATTTTCAAGGATGACAACCATGCTGCCGAGCTTTTTACCCAAGCTGCCGAGCTGGGGCACCCTGAGGCTAATTATCGTCTTGGGGATGCCTATGAGCACGGCCTACTTAATTGCCCCCGAGACCCAGCTCTTAGTGTACATTTCTATACTGGAGCAGCTGAACGTGGACATGCTGGTGCCATGATGGGTTTGTGTGCGTGGTACATGGTCGGCGCTCCTCCGATTCTGGAGAAGGACGAGGAGGAGGCCTACGAGTGGGCGCGCCGATCTGCTGATTTGGGTGAGTCTTGCTTTCACGTCAATGCATTGAGGCAAGTTTACTAATAACAACACAGGTTTTGTCAAGGCACAATATGCCGTTGGTTACTTTACAGAGATGGGCATCGGATGCCGTCGTGATGTCTTGGAGGCCAATGTTTGGTATGTCAAGGCTGCCGATGCCGGTGAGGAGCGAGCCAAACAACGTTTGGCCATTATCCAAGCGGCTGTCAGCGGACAGGGCACCCCGATGGAGGTTGCTCCTCCGCGCAACGGAAAGATCCAGAAGAACGGCAAAGACGACAAGGACTGCATCGTGATGTGATGGAAGCAGGCGAATTTTTATTCGTTCTGGGTTCAATATTGGGAGGCACATAATCAACGACGACTACGCTTCTTAATGAAAATGCGGCTGAAGCGCATATCGACTATCGACTTTTACTGTCATTGCTGATGTCACCAACGACATGTTCTTGGGGCATATATTCTTTATCTATCCCGGCGTACACAGCATCGTATCGCGTATGATTACTTCGCGTGATCTACGGTCCAGAGGGTCGGTTTCCTTTCTAACGTTTCGTATGAGAATCTGTTACGGCATATATTTTTTTCCCGAGCGTCACCTTTAGAGTAATACCAGGCGTGGGATGATGAGATGTAATATGTTGGAGATGGCGGTCCACATCTTTGGTTGGTGTCTAGTTGAGCATAAGTTGCCTGTTTTCAGTGGAAAGGGAACATTATTTGGGTTGTGGTTCACAGCATCTGTTTGTATGGCAAGCACGTTGTGTTGGGTTAGCTTGCAGTGGTGATTAATGTCTTGATTTTGGCTACTGCAGAGAGACACCTTGGAGATAGTCATGACATAGTAATATAATGCCTACCATGAACGAAGGTATGCATAGTACATTCACCACATGAGCCATCCGATGCGATATACGTTTTCGTCCTGCAGCATGTGATATTTCCGTCATCGACTTACTCATGGTTCTTAAACTTAGATGTCTTGGTTGATATGCAAGGGGGTCTCTGGAACTGCTAATGCTCACATGGATGAGTATACAGGGTAGGTTCAGCTATATCTGGATCACAGCAAAGAATGTCATTGTTTCATGGATTTTTGTACTATTTTACTCTGTGAATCTATTATTTGATATATCTTGCCGATTCATATGCCTCCGGTGACTTCATTCACTCGATTTGAGACGTCATGCGTGATGATCTTCTGCTTTGATAGATCGATGATATTCAAGACCATCATCAAACATCTGAACTAGTCCAGATGCAAAAGAGAAAGAAAGGGGCTCCTCAATTCATGACGCTACTTGGGCTATTGTCTTGAACCCTCCCTCGTTGATCTGTTAAACCATGTGACCATCCTCCGTCGTCCAAGCCAAAACACTATGCAAGGGACGAATGACGACTTCGGACGAAGTTAGAGTAGTCAATAGTCTGTCTCGGCACGAATCGATGACTTCTCATCAGTGTTCAAAGCCGCTTTTGTTAAGTTAAGTCTTTACAGGAGTTTCAGGATATTCATCCCGTGTGAAGAAGCTGTTTGTCAGATAGGCTATGTGTCCTGTTGGTTGATCACACAAGTTATTGGCTTACAGGGAGAACCAACAATAGAAAGCATAAACAGGAATAGACCAACCCCCGACCCAGACCGTATCATTCAGCTTGTTCCTAATTTACATCACTCATCATGAAGAAGTTATTTCCGCCTTTGAACTATAATTACCCACTGGACAAAGGCCTCGACAGGGAGCAGTGATTACACTTGTATAATGCATGTACCTAATCCCAGAACTCGGGAAGGGCGTCACTAGTCAGGGCTTGATAGATCTCGATCTGGTACTCGGGCAAAGGAAAGTGTATGTTACAAGGGAGAAACTCCAATTGCACCTGTGAAAGAGTGCTCCCCCACTGGGTCGACCGAGAGCAGGGAGCGAGGGTCTTGACACTGAGACAATCAGCTGAATTGAGGGGTTCTTGGTGTGTTGACGGCGATAGCCCAGGCGCGTTTTGTGTGTTTACATGTCTCGCTATTCTGTTGAAAGATGTTAGTTCAGTGGATAGTGACAATTGACTTATCATGGCTGAAGGGCGGGGATGAGTGGAGTGGATAGGTCTTTATCTTTACAGACAGCGAAACCGCATGAGGATAAACTCTGGTAGCCGTCAGTCATGGTTTGGTTCGATCATCCATATGAGAGGAGAACATGTGTGAGCGATATATTGGCTTGTCTTGTCTTGTCTTCTCGGTACTTGGTTCACTCCACAAGGATTTGAAGTACCTAGGTAGGGTAAGACGATGTGATACCATCCAGCTGGAGTCTATCCAAGTTTCGGGAGCCGGATTTGGAAGCAATTGGGAGTCATCAAAAGATTCTTGTGGCGGTGACGCAATGGCCATGACCATGAGCAACAAAGAACAAGATACCCGACGTGCCATGGTTTCAGCAATTATAGACACCAGAAACAAAGAGCTGGCCTAACTCAACCTCATGGTAAGGCAAAGGCAAGCCGTAAGAAGAATCATGAGCACACTGTACACACATCCATGCCATAACCTTTGCAATACCCATGTCCTGTTCACGTCCCATGTCAAGAGCGACAGGTACTTGATGCACGCACCGACCACCATCGGAAGTGGTTGCGTGCCTCTCCACTTATACCCATAATTGCGTATTCTTCCATTGGTCAAGCTTAGAGATCATGCATGTCTCAATTAACGCGTTGTCGCGTCCAAGTCGCGATTTTCCAACTTCAAACGCGTATTTCTCGCGCCTTTGTGCGGTAATCGCGCGACGATACAAGAACACGACTGTCTTCTGGGGCCAATGACTGGGAATCTGAGCGGCATGCGTTATAAACCGGGCGGTGAATGATTTGTGAATGTCTTGTGAAAATAACTTGACCTGCTGCCCATCGCTTCATAGAGAATATGGTGCAAGTCATCAGGAAGACCACTTCATGATGAGGGAGGCATCAAATTGAGAAGTGCAACCCCAAAGAGAGGAATCAGTAAGTGTCTCGATCGAAAAGATCGAGTATTCATTGGGGATCGAGGAATAATCCTGCCATGCACGTCATCAGTATAACTGAGCATGCTTTGACCGTTCCAGCGTCTAAGACGGGTCCATAATCCTTTCAGCCAGCAAATCGTGCATACTCATGATACTTTTAAACGGGGTAGGGTATCGAAGAACAAAGAGCGGTAGAACTTGAATCAGGCATGATCTCACCGACTCGTTTGTAAAGATTGTCACGAACAAGGTCACGCCGGCACACACTCCCACCGTTTGGTAAATCGTGCTGGTATCATCCATGAACGGCTCAGGAAGTAGGGAGGGGTACGGATATAGACCAAGGAATTTTTTCGTGTCGACACAATACAGATAGTCCCGTGTAAAGCATCTTTCGTCACTTGCAAGTCCTAACATCTAGGACCCTGCAGCACATCAACGTGGAAGCGAGCGGTACGCCATGGTAGGGGAGGAAGAAGGGTAGCGATGGGATGGTCCTAGCCTGTGCCGCGACGGCTCGCTCCCACCAGGCTTAGTAGGGTAGCGAGCGAAGGTAGTGTATCCCACCACGGCTGGTGCGCCAGCGGAGAGTTTTTGTATTATGTGCGTCAAATATTGCTCTTGAGCGACTTGCCAATAGACAGACATGTTGCTTTGTCTCAGGAACAGCCTTTCAACTCGGTTCCGCCGACTGACTAACTGTAACATCATTGAGACATGCCTCCTTTGTGTGGATGAACAAGCGCGGCGTCCAGGTTGCTCGTGTCTATTGGCTGAGCAAAAGACTCTCCGTGTTGGACCAAGACAAGACAAAGTTGATCAACTTGGCAGGATCCAGCAAGGTTACCTGATGCAGTGTAGATAGTTCGATCCAAATACTAGTACGCAGTAGTACACAAAATTCTGTAACTGGTGTGTCTGACTCTGCACTCTGCATTAAACCCTTGTCTTCGTGGGATGCACAGGATAGTAAGCTGGTGTCTCGAGTCAGGTAGGGCATCAAACCCAACATGGACAGTATCCATGGGTTTCTAGACCTAGAAACACTAATTAGATCCTTCGACTCAAGGGCGATTGTGTAAGAGGGAGACGTTGAACAAGCGAAAACGTGTTAGGCTTCTTGTCATGTGTAATTGATTTGGACTTGGTCACATTCAGTGTCTTGCCCTTGAAAGGATTGTGAAGGGCTGAGCACTGGTGAAGCTCTTCTGTATTTGCTCAGCCCTGCCATTCTGCTTGCTTCTCCAAATCCATGACCTAGGCAATGTGAGATACACAGAGGATACGTTTAATTGTGTCCTGGTTGAAATTGTGAGCCAATTGTCGTGTATCGATATCGCGGTCGAAATGATAGAAAGAAAGAACAAAAAAAGTGAGCGGTAGTGTCGTATGATTTGATTGTGGGGACATGTGTATAGATTTGCTCAGTCCTTCTTTTTCTCGCCTCGGCTTCATGACACTGAACAGATCAATATTGCGGAACCATGTCGCCAAACGATTACGAAACGAGGGATTGCAATCGATTCTTTCTTTTCTTCTTTCGGCTGTGTGTGTAGAACTATGATCTGCATTTGTCTGTCTTGGACATGGCCTGGCTATTTCTTGCATAATGATCGAAGGGATAAAGGTGAAGGTTTATTGCTTTTGGCTCAGTAGAGGGAGAGATACGGAGAAGAATATGCAGGGGCCAATCGAGCCGTTGAAAAGACGTCAGAAAAGGCAATACTTTGATCGATAGATGAAAAAGATAAAGGGATAACGAGGGGGATCGGACACAACACCTACCCTAAGGTTCTAGACAATGAACACTGGAGTTGAAGGGTTAAGGGTTAAAGAAAGGTGGATGACTACATCGATAGTGATTTTTTTTGGCGGAGTATCACACGATGTGAAGGGGAAGCAAAGGGGAAAAGACAAAGACACAATTAATTACAACTGGTTTAAACCATAGTGAGGCTGTTCATTAACAGCTTGTAATCGGGCATGAAAGTGTGTTGAGGTTGAAGCCGTTCAAGATGTCTCAGGTATATTTGTGTAATTGGACAAGAAAGTCGTCAGCTTCGTCGATAGGTACAGTGCAATACTCGGCAGGGATTTGCATGCAAGTGATATATGTCTGCACTTTGTGATGAAGCAGGTACGGACACACTCAGGGCAGGTAACCCATGTTTGAGTTGGTCTTTCTTTCCTTTCTCTGTCGTGTAAATCTATTTGTGACTTCTTACCCGGAAGTCACGAACAAGCACCTCACCTCAGTCTGTCTTTGTGTTCAGTTAGATCCAAAAACAGGTGCTCTCACCCCCTGTAATGCCCTTGTAGTATGGATCGAGCCCCAACAATGGATGGACACCACAACCTGGAGGTAGTGGAGGTACCCATCCACAGACCCAACTGGGCTCTGGAGTGTGGACTTTTTGAGCCCAAAATACTTTTTGGTCAAAGAGCAGGACTGCCAGGTTACGACGATCAGGCGGTGCACGGGGTCCCTCACCCGTCTTTAACTCTCGTGTCTACCTGGGTACCTGGGTAGGTTTACGAAGACTGCACTGTACTGTGCTGTCAGTCCTCGACCTTTACCGCTACCTCGAAGCTGTTAGATTTACCGCTGCCGCTAAAACGGGCGCGACGTAAAACTCACGGGAGGGTCCAGTCCACGTCGTTGAGGCGTCTGGATAGGCGTAGGGGAGGTACAGTATCTGTTGGTTTCTGTGCAGCCTGCCAACGCACCTCCCTCAATGGACTGAAGAAGTTAGGTGGAGTGCAGTGGGTACCACAGACCCCAATTGCGACTGCCTGCAGCTGCAGCTGCTAGAGCTGCAAGTGCGAGTGCAGGTGCACTGTGAATTGTGGACTGTGAACTGTGGAACCTTCACCTGGACCCTCCTTCCCACCCTGGTCCAGCACAAGGTTCTTCTCGTCCACTTCCACATCCATATTAGGCCACTGCGTCCCTGCCCCTTCCCATGCCATTCCCATGCCACTTGCCTGACCAACCCCCCGTTCATTCCAATTCCCACCACAACCACCGCATTTCCTACTCTTCACTCCGACAACAGACTCCTTTCTACCTACAACAAACATCAACACAAACACAAACAGTCAAACCACCAAATTATTTACATTACTCAACCCGGCAGCCGCATCGCAACTTATTCATATTCCGTCAACCCGCTTTCTCACTCACCACTTACAACCCTCGTCAAGACCCTAACTTTCCTTCCTGACGGACTTTTGCGCCAGCGCCGCGTCTTATCCCAGTCGCAATCGCACCACACGCCAACCACACGCTCAACCACTTTTAACAAAACAACAACTGTTGCTGTGATCAAATTTCGCATCAAACTTCGAAATCATACAACTTCAAACCGCAAATATGCTCCTCCCGTCTGCGCTACCATGCGATGCGTCGCACTCAGCTCACTCCCGACTTCAACACTCGCTCTTCTCTCCTCCCGCCAGCCCTCCAGCATCCTCACACGGTTCCTTCGCCAACCTCATGACCACTTGCCGCTCACTCCAATCACTTCTATCGATGCCTACGCCCATCGTTACCGACTCTCGCCCTGCTCCTTCTCACACTCAACTACCAACTCCACCACTCGCTCACGCCGCGCCTCCTCTGAAGTTGCGCCTGCGACCACGCCCTCAACGTCGCGAGCCAGTCGGACCCAAGAAGGTCACTAAGCGCGCCGCACCCCGCACTACCAACAAGAAACGTCGCGTTGCCGACGAAGAGATGGACCGCTATTCATCAGCAAGCGAGTCTGGTAGCGAGTCCCCGTCGCGTTGCTCTCTGGAGCAAATGGCACCCTCAACACCCAGACGTACGCGCATTGCTCCCGAGCAATTGCCGCTTGGTCTCGATCGTTCTGACTTTCACAACATGCACCTTCGACAAGGTGGTCACCTCATCAACGAGGAGGACTCTGATGAAGAGGACTGGAGTGCTGAGGACGATCGCGTACTCATTGAGATTGTATTGGAGAAGCTTAGGCTGTCCAAGGCAGAATGGCAAGATTGCGCCCGAAATCTCGGCCGCGATCGTCATGCTGTCGACCGTCGTTGGAAGACACTATTGCTCAATGGCGACGTCGGTCTCAAGTCGCGACCAGGTCGTTAAGCAAACTTTACGGATCTTACAAGCATCTTCTCACGTACATGATTTATACATTTGATATTTAGCGAAAGCCTCGGCCGACCGTCATCGGTAGCGAGCATATATAAACTGGCGGGACTACAGAACATGGGGCAATGGATTGCCATTGGCGTTTGGGTATTGATTCCCATTTTGTAATGATATCCCCACACGCAGAAAGCGTGCGTCTTAAGTTTCATGTTTGCTTTTTTGAACTAAGAATTGGAATTGGCTACTATAGACGTCAAAGAATTTACAGATAGTGAACATGATTGTTTCACTTTTTACTCAAAATCTGCCTGTATCTCTTCATTCACGTGTGTTCCCCTTGAATTAATGCCATTAACCAACCACCTGCACCATGTGGTAACCGTCGCGGATAACCGTTGTGGTTCCATCAGGGTCTCGTCGCCTACACCAACCACCTTATTTTGTCTCAACGGTTATCAGAGTGGCTGGACAATCCATGCACATCCTTGGTTATCGTAAGTTTCCACAAATGACATTTTCTTCATGGAGCACAGTATCAATCGGATTGCGATCAATTGCAATCCGAGGCGCAATTGTGTGCTGAAGCTTGACATCCATTTAGTCTATCATGAAGTTTGTTGACATTTGAAACTTCCAACCTAATTTTCAAAGCTAACCCAGATTCTCTTCGCTTCATCCGTGAACGAGTCAAGCATTATCATCTGCTACGTACTGTTAGTCTCTGTCAACTGATCGTAGCTCCGTCTTGTCCCTCATCTGGTCCTTATCCATCGCTCATCCCGCATTCTAGCCCAGTCACATCGGCCAAGCGCACGGTCAGTCCGAGCGATACTGAACGATACGATACGCGAAGAAAGCATCCATCTGGATAGCAACGATACTAGTCCATCTAGTCCATCAAGCACTGGAGCAAAAATACCAATGCATTAGGTACTACTGTCCCTCCTGGCCTCTGCGCGTTTCACACTTCACACCAAGAAAAGCTCAGTTGATACCTATGATAAACTTTGCGCTTGGGCTGTCAGCCTGAGCCAGGGTCCTTCCACTGATCTTCTGCCTGTCTTCGATCTCTCAACTTGACTTAGCGTGAGCCCGTACCGGGGAAAGGGACGGGCGCGGCGGCGGGCCGAGATGGGGGTTGGGCTGTTGCTGGGTGACCTGTAAGGGTTGTTTATTGTTGACTATCAAGATGAAATTAGACATCCATCGTCTTAACATTCGGTATGTGTTAGATGAAACAGAGCTTAATCAACCTCCCAATGCAAAGATAGTATAGTTTCATAAGAACATAGGTCTAATTTAATTTCCCAGAGCAACCACTATGCTCTCATGCCTTGATTGTGCCTGTCTATGAGACCATGCCATGTGCTTCTAAAAACCTGCAGCAAACCGTTGATGCACCCCCCTTGCTTCGCCTGCCACGCCATGTATATCATTAAAGTGGAATTTTGACTCCGTACAAACTTCTATATCGCCGATCTTGCCCTCCAATAATCCTCGAGACTCGGAACCACCGGTGATAGAGGTTACGGTATTCGTGGGAAAATGAAGGCAACAAACCTCCGAGCCAACTGTGAATGCAAAGTCGATGAGTATGAATGTAAAGCTTATACAACCGAACCGAACCGTTCTGCTATGCTATGTTGCGCAGAAAATAAGAAAATCTACAATGGTAAAATGTTGTGCGGGAAAACGCAAGACGAAAGGATGGAGAAGGACTGGGGACACTCATCCATCCTAAGGAGGTGTCATCTGCTCCTCCATGAGCATCTTGCGGACCTCTGTCTCAAGTGTTTGCTCTGCCACGGCGGGATCTTCATCCTCGACAGCTCCTGTGACCTTGTTCGCGAGCTCGATCTTCTTCTGACATGCCTTGTAGATGAGCTCCTCGATAGTATTAGTGGAGATGAGTCGAATGATTTCAACATCTCGTTTCTGGCCGAGACGATGGGCGCGGTTCTCTGCTTGGATGTCGTCCTGAGGATTGTCCGACTGATCAAAGATGATGACCTTGTTGGCAGCCGTGAGATTGATACCGGTGCCGCCTGCTCCAGTAGTGAGCAGGAAGACGGGAATCTCAGGGTCATCATTGAACTCATCGATCAGCGTCTGTCGTTCTTCCACACTGGTGCTACCCATCAGGACTCGATGCTGGATGCTTTGTTGAGCAAGAACCTCTTGCAGCAGCTCAATGACACGAGAGAATTTGCTGAAAACCAAAACTCGATCACCGTTCTCTTGGTATTGGTTGATCAGTTCCAGTAGCTTCTTAACCTTGCCACTGTCCATTTCTGTCTCCGGGGGAATGTCGAATTTCCCGAGGAGCCCTGGGTAGTCGCGGCACCAGAGATGGAGACCAAAGTCTGAGGAATCCTTGAGCTCCTGAATCAGATGCTTGATGTCTGGTTGACGTAGGTCATCCTGCGAGACACTATCCATGAGGATTTTGGCCATTTTTTCAACCTTCTTGTCGTCAAAGTGACGTCGGAAGAGGAGTGGATGTAAAGCTGCCTTGCGCAACTGCATCCAACAATTGTTCTGATCGTTTCCGCGACCACGAGCCTTGGTTACACGCTTCGAAGGCTCCATCTTGAATGTCTCTTCGTACTCGGCGTACACTTGCTTCTGCTTCTCATCCAGGTCGCAACGAACGACAGTGCAGATCTTGGGAGGCATGTCGGATAGGACCTGGTCCTTACGACGCTGGAGAATAAACGGCTCCAGAATAGTACGAGCTCGCTTGACACGCTCGCTATACAGGAAAGCACCATTGGAAACATCTCGAATGGTGACCTTTTGACTGAAGATGTACTGTATATGTTCCATACAGCCCTTGAATATTTCGGGATTAATAAAATTCAGAAGTGAAGTCATCTCCAACAAGTTGTTCTGCACAGGAGTTCCTGTTAAACATCGTTAGCATCGACACTGTTTACCAAAAATAAGGACACCATACCTGTAAGGAGCATCTTCCACGACGCCGGAATGCGGCGAAGATCTCTGTAGATCTTGGTCTGGGGATTTTTCATCTTGTGACCTTCGTCGAAGATGGCAGCATTAAGTCCAAAGGACTGCATAGACTCGATATCTGTTTCGTTGTTGATCTGAGAGTATGTTGCAAGAACGACATGGTATGCCCCAGACTGATCTGCAATCTCCTCTGCGATCTCAGCTCGCTGGGCCTGAGAACCTCGATATCCGATGACCGATAGATCGGGGGCAAATTTTTCGAACTCGACAAGCCAGTTGTTGTACGTACTGGGCGGAACGACAACGAGGTTGGGCCATGGCCGTCTTCTCTTGTCGCTACCTCTCTCTCTACTCTCTTCATAATCTTCATAATCTTCAACAAGATGACTGATGAGCGAGATGACCTGGCAAGTTTTGCCCAAACCCATCTCATCGGCTAGAATACAGCCAATGTTGAAGTTGTAGAGCAAGGACATCCAGTTGAGACCGACGAGCTGAAACGGCTTCATTTTGCAGTGTCCATCCATGTACCTGGGCTGTTTAGCGATAGGTGGGCGCACGTATTTGGGCGCGCTGATGCTTGTAGGAGTGGGAGGGAGGTCCTCAGAGTCCTGTCGTTGGCCTTGCAGCTTATCATGACCAAAAGTGTCAATGTCCCAGGTGTCAACTTGCTGCTTGATAGCCTTGGCATCACGCTCGCACTTTGCAACAACGTTGTCGATTGCTTCAACTGCGTTGTGGAAAACTTCCACAGCCTCAACCACGTTCTCTCCAATGCTGACCTTGGAGGCTTTCCTTGCGCCAGGTTTCTTGCCGACAGTGACACGCCTGGCTGATGAAATATCGTTGAAGGGCCGCTTCGCGATTATGCACTCAAGCTGATCCTCCTTCATACCCGTCATGGCCGCCAATTCTTGGATAGTGCAAGTGTTGAGAGAAGTCAGCACCCTATCGTCTTCGTCGTCAGAAAGATCTGGTGACGCCTCGGCCTGGTAGGCTTCTTCCTTGTCATCGTCGACAAGATCAATGACCAATGGATCGTCGCTCGACGCGTGCGCAGGTGCCGCAGCAGGCGAAGATGGGAACGGTGGTGAAGATGGAACAGACTGCTTTCGAAGTCCTTGCACCAATCGTCGTCGAGGAGGCAGCTTCTCGGGGCTAGGGGATGCTGTGTGAGATACAGAACGTGAAGTATCCCGGCTGTTTGTTGCTGATGTTTGCAAAGCTCCCTTGCTGATCAGGCGCCTACCAGTCTTAGGCTTTGAAGCTGGTCTGGGCTGAGATGCCCGGCGCTCAAGAAAACTGATTGTGTTGTCGAGATCATATTCACACGCATCTAAAGCCTCCTTTGCTTTGTGTGATGGAACACTGTCCCCAAAAACATCGAATATCTGTCGGAGTTTTGTTGTAACATCGTGCCTCGCGGACGGTTTGGGCTCGGGTCTGTACGCGAATGCCGCGACCTGTGCCTTAAACGTTGTCGGTCGGATATCACCGCGGGGAGGTGTGAGGTCGTCCTCGTCGTCTGAAATGAGGCTGATAGGCTCTTGAGCCGGACGCTTATTGTTCATGGAGGGAAAAGTCCGCTGTGGTGGACGGAAGACTGTGCCAGCAGGGGCGAGTCGGTTGCCTAGCGGTGTAGACTTCTTGGCCTGTTGGAAAGGTGAGGACGCAGGAACTTCAATTATGCTGCTTGCAGGTGATGAGGATCTCATAGGTGCAAGTGTAGGTTTTTGGAGGACTTGGGTCGGCTGTGTTGTCTGTGGATCTCGTAGAAAAGCGGACGGGGAGCAGGGAATGGTATCAGCTAGGTCGTCGTCGTCAATGGTGATTGTGTTGTGAGCGAGCGACGGGGTGCGTGGTAAAGCGTTTGAGTGCCGGATTGGCAAGGGTGAAGAGTTTCGTGCCATTATATATTTCTGAGAAATATGCGCATCCGATAGAATAGGAGGGAGTTAATCGAAACTAGCTTTTCGGGGGCGGAGACCGCCAGTGCAATTGAGCGGTTCGAGCTTTTTGCTGTTTCTCTTCCAGCGTTAATTGTTCGGTCAACGGGCAAAAGAGCACTGGACGAAAGAGGCAGACGGGCGTTACAATGAGGACCGAAGAGGAAAAAGAAAAGACTGAATGAGAGAAGAAATAAAAAACTGATAGGCAAATAACTCTTGATCGAGTGGAAGAAGCGGCAGGCAATGCTCAAGAGTTACAGGATGTTCCAATCTAAATCCTTCCTAGAGGGGCGTTAAAGAGGGTGGAGATTTTTCTAAAGTGACCCGACCACCTAAACTCGCTGCGAGACGCGACCCGCATAAACGGTATCGCGAAATCACGTGAGGTTGATATCTAGGTAGGGAAGAGGATGCATGCGATAGAATACGCAAGTGGATGTTAATCTGGAGTAGACCAACGGGAATAGCAATTGGTTGGAAAGGAGTTATTGGAGAGAGATCAATTCGATTCTTTATTGTTTTTATTTCTCAAGGTCTATTGTAAGAACAAAGAGCTCATTTTTCTCCTGCGTATGTTTCTCCAAGCTCAAGCTCAAGCTCCTTTGCACGTGCAAGTGGGACATCCACCTCCAGCCTCATAGCTCAATTAGGTAGCCTCAACTCAACCACGACACAGACGATACCATCAATCCATTTGAACAAGGGCACAATATCTCCCTATTTCTTTTTTGTTCAAAATGGCTACCCGGCGCATTGTTGCTACTGAAAAGACTTTCCTTGATAAGGATGACCCCATTGACGAAACCTCGAGCACTGCTCCTGCTGTCCCCAGGTAAGTTTTATCCTTCACTCAAACCACCACTGTCGCCACAGGTGTACTTGTCTGCGATAATTTCATTTGACAATTGTATCGAGACTGACATAATTGAAATAGTCACGTCATCTACAAGCTTCTGGCCTTTACTTTTGCCATGATTGTTGTGCCCATTGGCTCATACTTCCTTACCGTCAACACTGTCTTCAATGGCAAGTCTCTCCTCTCATTCCTGCGCGTCACAACTCAAACTAACGCTGCCCAGGCAACTCTTCTCTCGCTGGTGGTTTGGCTGCTGTCTTGGCCAATGTAGTCCTTGTGGGATACATTATTGTTGCTATGAAGGAGGACCAGTCGGACCAACTAAAGCCAGAAAGCAAGAAGGACAAGTAGACACAAAACCAAGACCTTTTAATACAAGTGATTCACGCCCATCGATTCTGAAATGCACATGTATAGTTTTGAGTCATCCATCTCGATTATTTTCTCACGTCATCTTCATGAGTTTGCCCTTCTGGCCGACCATCATGTCTGGATGACTGCTACAGCCACGTATATATGCTATGTACGTCTCAGGGTTTGTTATGATTAATGGTGATCGTGGCGGTAGATCCAGCTTTTACTCCGCATCTCAAGGATATCCTCAAGGGGACCAGTTGCACAAAGTCCAGCCTGCCAACGCCTCGTACAGTTTCGTGTGCTAATGTACCATCCCATAATAAATTCAAGCCCTTCGCCTTGTCTTGTCGTCAAGACACCTCATCATCCTGACCTTAAACCAATTTGACTAAAGTAAAAACAAAGCTCGCTCAGCCGGCCCCATGGCAGGGGCAAATCGCAAGTTGTAGGAGTATACTCGGTATCCACCGCAAAAAATCGTCGAATAGAACACGGCTATTTAACGCTGTCCGACCGTGGCATTCCGACGTTGAATATCAAAGAAACGGGTATCGACAAAGGAGAGTGGGTGATTGTTGCATGAGGTTTGTGCGTGTACGTTTCAAACGTGTATCGTCATTACTGAACTGTTGGGTTTTCAAGAGTTTTTACTGAACCTACGAGAAAACCAACTCTTGCGCTTGTCCCCGCCAGCTGTTTGCTGGGGTTGTTGTGCTGATTGTTGCGTGGAAGTTCTCCTCAAAAGAGTGTTCTTCTGCTTCTGAGCTGGCAACGAAGCCTGATCATGCGCCGGAGTAGGTTGCGCATGAGAAGGTGGTGGCATTTGAGGATTTCCTCCATATCCGTTCGCACCGGGAGCTGGGTAAGGGCGTGACTGATATCCTGGCTGAGGTTGGGAGGAACCTGACGCATGCTCGTTAAAAGGCTCGCGGCGCTTAGCCGGCATTGTCCGATCAATCGAGCTGTTGTCGCTACTCGTAGGGTCTGTCTGATAACCTGCGTGGTCTGAATTGCCGCTGCCCCCAGCAGAAGTCACGGTCTCATAGGATCGATCCTTGTGAGGCAGGGGATATATGGCTTGGTCATGACCGTTCTGGTATTGCGGCTCTGATTGCATCCTAGACATTCGTTGCCGCGATGGACCAGTGCCGTAACCGTTGCTGTAAGCCTGACCATCGAAATAGTTGCTTCGGGACCCCGAATCGTATTGATTGCCCTCCGGCCTAAGCGAAACTGGACGGCTGTTGTAGTAGCTATCACGGGGGAATCGTGGCTGGTTGCTAAACGAGCTGTTACGCTTATTCCAGTTGGCTTGCGAGTCTGTTTCTACACCAGAGTTAGTGATTGGACTACTTTGGTGGTTGATTTTGTACATACCTGCTCGGTAAAGAGATTTGCGCGAGTACCCCCCGTCGATCGCAGCCTCGAAACTTCGAATAGTGTCTAAGGGACGCTCCCATCTGTTTCGTGTCGGGTTCGATTTGTCGGGATCCTCTGCATAGATTGTTAATTACGTCGTCGTTAGACACAGGGAAATTGACTGACCGATAGAATTGCCATAATGGTCTTTGTGTTGCATAGATCGTAGTGGAGCGTAACTCGACTCGGTAATCATGGCGGCTTCGGCGGCTGTTCATCACATCAGCAAATGATCTCTCTCTTTCTCCTCTGTTATCGAGTTTGTAAAAGGACGACATACAAGGCTCTGCTTCGTTCAAAGCAAAAGTAGGATCCGCTGTGCTATGCAAACGCTTCGCTTCCTTCTCTGCGTGGGTTTCGTGTAAGTCCTTGCTACCAGAGCTCTTATGCGACTTTTGAGAATGAAAGCTGAAGGTTCGGTTGTGAGCAGGCGGGTTCTGCGAAGTTTTGTGTGGTGAAGCCGGGGCAGTAGGTTGATATTGCTTCTGATAATGCTCTTGCGCCGGATAATTCGCCGGCGCTGGTGGGTATTGACGATACTGCTCGGTGGAGGTCGCCATGGTTGCGGCGCTTGGGGGCACGACTGTTTTATTAGACGTATTGCTTGGCAGAGACGGATCTCTGAACGGCCCTTACCCTTGACGATTAGAGTCTCAGGGTGATAAGAGAGTGGAGAGTTGTAAGCGATCGACCGATGCGATGGGGACAGTGGGTAAGTGCTGGAGCGTGCAAGGAGCAGGTTGCGTCGGGGAGAAATGACCGAAACCAGACGAAACGGTTGATACTAGCAAGGACGTCCAGGACTTATCGTGGGCCCTGGGAGACGGATATATTGGGAGTGGAGATGTTAGGAGTCGTTTGGCTTAAGAGACTCTTGTAAGAAAAGAGGTTGGGGCTTGCGCGAACAATAATGTGTTTGGCTGCAGCAGAGTTTTGGGGGGTACGTATCGCACTTAGTCGTTGACCGGATCCCGGAAAATGGGTGGGGTTGGCGCCTGCAGTCTGCAGTGCGAGAGAAGAGCAAGGTACAGCTGGGCTTATAAAAAGACGAGTGGCTAGGAAGACGACAAGATGATACCGTATTTTGCGCGCCAAAGTGAGGTGACGACCAGTATGGCTGATGGCTGCGGGTGTCTCTGTTTCTGACCGTACACGGGACGAAACGATGCAATCATTCGTTGGCACCGTGGTCCGTGTTCTTTGACTGGGATCAGCACTCTAATTGTGAGCAACCATCAGACAGCAAAGTTGCAAGCGAGCAATGCACTGATTTCTTGCACTTGGCGTTGGCCGTGAAACAATCCAGTACAGTAAAAAGCGGCCGGGATGTGGGCGGTGCAAATCGGTGTTTACTCTATCAAGTCGCGCTTCAAAAGTAAGCTAAAATGGCGCTGGGTGCGTTTTGCTGCTAATGCCTGCGGCTGCGTGATAATGATGTGGGATATGCGGGCAGATCCTCGTAAATTGACTGCCACCTCTGCGATCCGCTCGACGTTTCTTTGGATTATCGGGGCTTATCCCTTTTCGTGTTTGACTGATCTTTTTTTATCTTCCTTGTGCTGGGGTATGTCAACAGAGGGAGAAGATGCTCTGCGTTTCAGTCAAACAGTACTGTATGAGATACAGTGCTTCGTAAGTGCTTGCGTTGGGACCCAGTGCCTGACGTTTTTGTCCAGGTTTGTTTCTTGACGTCACTATCGATTGGAAATTTCTAGTGTCGACTGGTGCGCAAAACGTTCAGGGGGAACTGAGCCGTGCCACGTTGAATCGTGCTCGGAAAAATCGTCCGCAGTGGCTTGCCTTGCTAGCAGCTCTCAGACTTAGGACTCAATAGACGGACAGGGGTACGGATTTCGTGGTGGGGTCTCGCGTGTTGTCGAGTCACTAGGAAGCGATGGAATGGAGTTGACGGTTCCTCTCGATGGTGGGGGTTAACGAAGGTCGTTATCTCGAAATGCCCTGCCTGCCCTGCAATTCGGTTGTTTGTGGAACTGGAGCAGCCAAGCCAAGTATAATGAGATGAAAACCTGGGGATGGCTGGCAGATAGATAGTCTAATTGTCGTAGAGGAATTGTTTGTTTAATGGGGTCTTGACCGCGGATCGAATGAGTCCCAGGGATTGCTGGATGGATGGTTGGCTGATGGCAGGTAAGATACCGATATCCGAGGATGAGATGGGGTGTGAGTTGAAACGATCGCAACGAGGGACAAACGGATGAAGCGAAGGCGAGAGAAAACTATTCTCAAGTAATTAAGAGTGTGTGTTAGAGAGAAGAAAAGAGAGGCTTTTTAGGGAAAATGAAAGGGAGCTGGCGGCCAAGACGTTTTTAAGTGAGGTGATCTGCTTCTAGATAGAGGTAGGTAACTGTAGGTTGCCGCGCCTTCCCTCCCGCGAACTCGTGTTCATCAATCCACCGGCTTCCTTCCTTGTGACTTTGGTTGGTATCGTACAGTAAGTCAGCTAACTGAGTTTCTGGGTCAGTTTGAGGCTCAACACCACACCAATATTGGCAATGGATGTACAATCGGTACGTGGCCTAGGGTCATATAGAGGCAATTGCATACGCGTACTGCCCCAGAGTTACAGCAATGATTCCAATCATTTATTTTACAAAGTGGACGGGCTTCATTGATTACAGCGGTGCTAGGTACCGTCAGATCTGGATGATGTCTTTGTACAGTCACTGTGGCCTTGGTAGAGGCTGAGAGGGAGCCCTAGACTGCAGTTAGACCATCGCCTCGGAGAGAATCGAGAGTTCGAGACACATCAGATCGTCAGGTCATGACGCGTCGTTCTCTCTTACTCTCTCACTCTTCCCCTGCCACTGGAACAGCTTTGCGATATGCGGTGACAGCCACGGCATGTGTCTCTTCTGCATGGCCTGCTTACCATTGCCGTTTTACGAGGGAGGTGCTGCAGTGTTGCATGCAACCGTCTGCACTAAAGTTTGGTACCTTGAATTCTTGTTCGAGACTAGCTGAGCATCTAAAAGCACCTTGTGTAGCTGGGTTTGATGCTAAAGTAGGTAGCTTAATATGTAGAATTTTTTGGCCGACATCGTCGTAAGCCTAAAAGCTACGCCATTATCAAAAGTCAGTCAGTAAGTTAACCCTCATCCACTTTGTTCGGATGGATGTCGTGCTGTACCGGTATCCATTACACCCGCATAAACCTGGTCTCGACCAAAAGCCAAGAACAAGAACCCTTCATGGGTCTTGAAGTGGTGCTATTGATGTCCTGCCACGTCCTCTTGATAACCTAGTCTCCATGCTCGTGCAGCAATAGACGGAATAAATAGTCTATCTTATCTTGTCTTACTCTGATAGCGTGAGCTGTGCTGTGCTGTGCTTTGATGCTCTGTCGTGTAAGCGAACCTCAGGTTAAAGTCAGACCAAGCTGAGAGTACGTAAATGGAGGACCCTTTCATTGTACTCCGTAGGCCTCTCAGCAATTGTTGGAGGACAAAGGTCATCTTGACGTTTATCCACGGATGCTTCGCCCCTGTTTTATCTCGTGTTAGGTGGCTCCCACACACCATCTTTTGCTTCCATCGTAGTGTACAGTACAGTAACAGAAGAGTATCCATACGGGTACCTACAAAAAAACACAAGTTCAACTTTATCAATTGTACTGTAAATGTAACCTAAACAAGCCAGCTCAGCCACAATTAGGGTTGTGGTTCTAAATCTCGATGCTCCTCTACATCGGGCCTTTGTCCCAACTGGCTTGGCTGCTTGCACAAACGCCATTCAATTGCATTCGCTTTTTTTTTTGGTGAAAAACCTGCTATTAGCGTTTATGCAGAGCAAAAGCCCCCCAACGAATAGACTTGTTTAGTTTCTTGGCTATCTAGTCTACGCAGGAGGCATTAAACCTGGCCTGCCATTTCTTTGGGAGTTGCGATTTGGTATTGGAGTGGTCGGTCTGTTGCCAGCCACCATGATAAATTACTGCGTACTTTGCAGAGGGTAGACAGTAGACACTCTGGGTGTCAATTCTCTTGTTTCTAGAAGGGATCACTAACCTAGTAGTCGTTTTGGTCAGGGACCCCATGGGCAGTCAATCAACTAACGCTCAACCTTGCAATGCGACTTTTCTTATCTCGTCGAGTTCCCCATTCGAGAACATGCAAATGGTACATCTTCCCGATAACTAGAGAAGCCTCATTAAAAACCCTGACCGACACTAGAGCAAAAGTAATAAAGATAGCCGATCACTGCCATATTGAAATCTCCTCTGGGCCAAATTAGGTTCAGCGTTTTGCAAGCCATGGGCCACGGCAGTAACCGTCTGTAGCTGACGAATATCAGCTTTGTGATGGAAGTTAATGAATAACCATACATAATAAGCTGCTGCTCTGCCTTGTTTCGTTTCCATCCCTCCTCTTACTGAAACGCACTTGTTGAAAGGGAGGGATGGATGCTGAACCTTCCAAAGGTCCAATGCCTTGGATCAATACAGTAGACGAGGCAGTGCTTGAGACTGAATCAACCCAGGAGCATGAACTCAAAATGTCTATATCAGCCATACACATGGTTTTCCATGGCCGATCCTTCCGGCTGGGCTGCAAAAGAGATGCATACTACCGCAACCCATGCAATATTGTTTTCTTGTTATTGTAACACTCCAGCGCTGACCCTGGCTTCCTTGGCCTGCAGCTATTCTGCATATTATTGGCTTACCAGCAAGTTCTTTGCAGACTACAGCGGCCAATATAGCCCGGGAGTTGATCATCTATGACCTCTTCATCGGTTTCAATAGATGCCTAGCGGTTCTATTGTCATATCATAACTTCCAGCATGTCAGATGGTTAATTTTAATGACCTTCTTTGTTCTTATCAGTGAGCTGAAAGCACTTCGCTATGTAGCAAACAAAGTACTGGTACACAAGACACAAAACTTAATTATGGTGGCTGTTGGGAGATTCATCTCTGCATCGTCTTCTCCGTGTAGCCAATAAGAGACTTCGCTTTTGGCGTGGATAGTTCGCAACTTCGATATCACGGCATTTTATATACCGTATATGCAATATCCATATGCTGTAAGACTGCAGATGAAACATATCACCTGGATTCAAATTTCTTTTGAGCACCGTCACAATGGTTTCATTTCTCCGACCAAGGTCCTTAGATTTAACTCGACGGATAAGCTAGTCAATAACATCATGCTATAAGATCCGAAACTGGGTATACCGAGATTAACGGATGGAAGACCCAGAGTCGGATGGATGATAGCTTTATCAAAGCAGTAGATAGTTAACCCTATGGGATAATGTTTGTCGAACTAAACAGGTCCGTAACGAAGAAAGTCGACAATACAAAATAAAAGTATGAGCTGTTCCATGTCCGAAGCCCTAACGCACAATACTAGCAACTGTATTCAGCTAGTTGTCTCTTAGGACCATGGGAATGAGGAAACGCAGTGGACTTTAAGAATTATATTTACGAATTTGCTGAAAGTGCCTGTCTGCTCTCTGTACGCCCACTTCGAAGCATCATGTGCGATAGAATATGAACCTGAACATGCTTTTGTTGATGTACGACCGATAGCCCGTGACAT